GGCATTTGAATACAAGAAATCACATAGATAATCTAATTTAATAAGGAAAAACAGCAAGACTACCAAGGAAAGTGCAGCATTCAAGAAGCACATAAAAAAAGAAGTCCCAAGTTACCCTAATTTGGTAATGAAAATTTACCTGCAAGCACTCATTGATAGCTTCCAACATACTCACACAGATCTCTGTATCAGGTTCCTACATAAAATCCGGACATCCGCCCCATCACAACAGTGAATCAAAGCCAAAAAAAGAAAAGAAAAAAAGAACAGAACAAACACTAACTTTATGCAAAGCTTCCAGCATGGCTGGAATAATGTAGTCAGAAAGCTGCTTCAAATAGGATAGATCGCGACCTTGAGATTCCCCTTTCTCTATTGCCAGCTTGGCTGAGCGCATTAGTTCCGGCATGGCTAGAAAGAAAAATTATCCAAATTCTTAGAAACTTGCGCTCTAATGATCCAAAGAATACATTATAGACAATTTGTTTTCTGATATACCTGAAACAGCTGCTCTTCTAACTTCTTCGTGAAAATAGAATTTCAGTAAAGGAACCAATGTAGGTGCAACCTAAAGTATAGAAAATCACTCTCCTGAACCCATGGCTAAAAAAAAACAGATAATGACACAATTTGGAGTTATTTAACTATACTAACCTGATCAATCCAAGGAAAAAATCCTTCTTTTAACTCATCAGCATAACAACAAAGCATGTTACAAGCCGTGGCCTTTTCCTCTAGAACACTTGTTTTGATCCCTATTCTTTTGTCTCCCAGGATAATGGTCTCCATGCTGCATCAAGAAATGGAAATAGCACAAATTTATGTATGCTATTTATGCATGATATCTTAAAACATATCATATATTATAATATCGACAGAATCTCAGTATCGTTAAATATCTCAGGAAAAACAAATGCAGGGAGGGCAGCTGCACCTCCAACAACCCAGAGAAGAATTGTTTTTCTATGCAAAGGCATCGGAACTAAATAAACGCAAGGTATAGAGGTATCATAACAATCAGATGAAGTGTCAAGAAGAATGGAAACCTTTCATCATCAGAATCTTCTGCTTCATCTTCTGAATCAGCAGAAGTAATTGTTACATCTGGCTTAAGTTGAGCTGACTGAAGCAAAGGAGGCATCACAACACTCATGTATGGGAGGAAATCTTGACCTAGACACTTGCAAAGCCTAGCCCATGCCTACGAAAGTGTAAGGTAAATGTAAGCAAGTGAACTTACCTATTTATATTTATAAATTAACAGATAGACCTAGCATGTTGTAAGAATTCACCTGTAACATGTAACTCGTTATTGGATCGTCTGCCTCCATCTGAGACCCTTGCAATGACATGAGCACTTCCATGACCTGGCATGGATATGTGAAATATTTTCATGCAATAGTGAATAGGATAACTGCATATAGCATCAATTTAGATAGTAACTGCAAATTGATTTGACCCACGCATATAAGCATACCTGCCTAGCATCATCCTTAAATCTGTCCTTTCCAACTGCCATTCCAACTAGACTGATGCACTCCATGGATTTGGCTCGAAGCATCCGCTTAGACTTGTCAGTTGCATTCATCAAAATAGTTTTGAGATAAGGCATGACAGCATCATAGTACTTTTGAAAGTGTTCCTACAAATTTAGATTATGTTAGATCAGGAGTTGCATGTAAGGAAAACAACAGATGCAACACAACTTCTTTACAAATACCTGTGATGAATCAGCAACTGAAGCAAGAGCAGTTAAAGCTCCTTCTTGCACCATTTGTTTACCATTCTGTAAGAAACACCATTATAATTCAAAGTCAATCATTTAAAATCAATAGAGTGCAAGCAAGATATTTGCTTTTTTTTTTTAATTTATTTATCTTAAGAAATAATTTACACAATGGACTTACTTGTAGCAGCACAAGCAACTTGCTCACTACTCCGTCTAAATAAGGTGCCAATATTTCAGGTGTACAATTTTCACTGAAGTTAAGTACTGCTGAAGCAGCATGAGCCTACATGAAAAGGTCACAAGGTAGTGCTTTAGAAGTTTCAGAAGATTATATTCACAAAGAAACAGGGGATCTTACCTGCACTCGTGGATTCTGAAAATCATCCATAGCAGCAGCAAGTGCGGGGAGCACTCTCTCATGATGTTGGTTTTGCAAATCTGGACCCAAATCTGTAGACAACTGTCCAATCGCATTTATAGCAGCCCACCTTACGCGAGGATGAGGACTTTGAAACTGGCTCAAAACCATGGACACCACTTGGTCTAGATTTTTTATCATCACCTACATCAAAGTTCAAGATATTCAATATCAGATTGAAAACCCCAAAGTGATGTATGTGTTTGGCAGGTCCTCCCAAGATAAATCAACTCAGAATCAATCATTATTTAACATCCAATTGAAAGCAGAAACAATGAAACAATAAAGGAAAAAGTAAATTAAGACATGTTATTCAAGTATTCAACTGCCATCACTAACAATTATACCTTTGAGCAACCTTCAGCAATCTGAGCAAGTGCAATCAAAGAAGCATGGTGTTTCTGCCACTCAGAGGCAGCCAAGTAGGCAGAAAACTGCTGATATGCAACCGGAACAATGGTGTTTCCTCCCAAAGAAATTGCCAACCGATCCAAACACTCTTGACCCATGCTGTAGTTGCTTGTCTCGCCGGCATCTTCGTCCTCGGTCTCAGCACTGTACCAAGCAGGATCGTCCTCAATATCCTCGAGCATCTTCATAAGAACCGCAAACAACCTGTCAATGAACTGAGGGAGCTTCCTGACCATACCAGGGGCACGCTCACGCGCCTCGGCCAGAGTTACCAAAAACTCAATCGCAAGATGACGGGTACTTTCCTCCAAAGAATCAGCCTCTGCGATCTGAAGCATCGAACCAACTATGTCAAGAAGTTGCCGTCTAAGGAACCGTGGCTCAGTACCAGCCAATTCAATCAAAAGCTCAAGAGCCTCCTGTGCAGTTGCTTCGTTCCCGTTGTTCAGAGATTCGGTCAACGTCCTGATCATCGCAGGCAAAACATCTTGGAATCTATCTCTCTCCGTTGAGTTCGACAGACACTGAACGAAACTAATCACAGCGTTGAGAGCGGCGATTTTAACATCGGAGCTAGCAGAGTTACTACTCAAGCACTGAAGAAACACGCCATGGAGAAGCTTGATGTGAGGAGTCAGAGTTTCCCCAACGTACTGTGACAATTGCGCCAAGATTAAAAACGCCGATTCCTGCAATTTAGGGGAATCAGATGAAACACACTGGAAAACAAACGGAAGCAACTCCGGCCATCCATTCTCCGGCAAAATCCCCGATGCAAGTTCAGAGACTGTATCGCAAATCTTCTTAGAGATCGATTTAGCCTCCTCACGCTGAATACAAGACAACATCGAAGATTTGAGGGAAGATTGAGTGGAGAGGGAGAGACGAGGCCATAGATAAGCATCGTCGCGTGTTAACAACTTGCGGAGAAGGACGGCGGCCATAGCACGACCTTCAGGATGAGGAGAAAGCTGAAGAAGATGAGCTAGCTTCAAGGCAAGGGTATCGGGATTGCTTTGCTTAGCGAGATTGAAAAGAGCCTCGGCGGAGGAACGTTGCTCGTTGGAAGAAGACATGAGGTGAGAGATTAGCGTCTCGAAGGGGGCCGAATCGGAGCCGAGAACCATCGCGAGTTGCGCTTGTTGAAGCTGATTCGCCTCGGAAGCCATGGGGGAAGGTGGCGGCGGGAAAAACTAGGGTTAAAAAGTGGCTTAAGCTATCTCTCTCCCCTTAGGATGCGAGAGTCTATAGAGAGAGAGAGAGTAAGAGGAATGAAGGAAGGAGGTATCGAAGGAGGGATGAGGTTGTGAAGAGATAATTATATTTTTTTATTTTTTATTTCCATTTATTTTCCAACTATTATGTATTCGTGATTTGAGGTGGTGTGGGCCCTGGGGAAAATTAAATTAAGGAAAAAAAGAAAAGCAAAGCAATGATAATGTCATTAGCTGTATTTCAAGGGTGGATGATAAAACTGATCACCAATGCGTGTTTTCCTTTTATAAATTTATTTAAAGTTAAGTTTTCAATTATTTCCTATATATAATAAATAAAAATACTTTTTAAGCAAATAATTTTTTTTAGGTTATTATCTTCAATGATAATGTAATAGATGAAAAAGAAAAAAAAATCTTACAAATATGGAATCCATGTTTTTAGTATGGAAGTAGAGGACCATTATTCATGGATTTATAACCATAATGAATTTGGAGTGTTTTGATTTTTGAACCGAGTTTGCATGCCATTATCAAGTCATTTAAAAAGTGAAAAAGTATTTAACTGTAAAACTTCATGTGGAAGTGCTTTTTAAAATTTTACAGAGTTGATTTTACTGCAAAATTTCATGGGATCAACTCCGTAACAAATCTTAAACTCTTTAACAGGCTAACAGCCCAAGCCTATTAACATACTACAACCTACCTACCTCAAATTAATCAGAAATGGTCTTGCCCATTTTTTGGGGTTTTCAATGCTAAAACAAATTCTGAGATGTACTATAGAATTGGATGAATTCTAGATGACGAAAACTGAGTTTTCAGTGAAATGGAATGGAACAAAAGCATTTCCAAAATTATGAATCATTGTGAGGCTGAAAACTCCTGCACTATCTTGGACGATGCTAGGTCTTGTTTAATTTCGTGTTAAAAAGAAGTGAAATTCTACAAAAACACTCAAATTCAGATTTCACTGATATTCAGAAAAGTCTAGTGACTAAATACGGCTATACTAGTAAGTAGTAAGTCGTAATTGGTTAAGACCGATTTTGGAGTTTGGATGAGATGCATTAATAATGTTGGTATAAAAGAAATATTCTTTTTTGTAATTCTCAGAGTTGCATTTCAGAACCTAAACCCCTAATTCCGACTAAACAGTCCGACTCAGTCGTCGTTCTCTGTATCCTCTTTTCAAATCCTTTTCTCCACCCGTCACAATCGCTACGACTCCGGACAACTGCAACTCTCCTCTCATTTTGTAAGTGTAGCCAGTCAAAGTTTATAACATCGATTTTAGTATCAGCGCTTCTGTGTTGAGAATTCACACAGAGAAGGCTAATTTGTAGTATTTATAACCACTAATCTGGGAATTGTTGGTTTGGTAAATTGAGTTTAGGGATCCTTGAAGCTATGTTGAGTAGGTTGTCAAGGCGTTGCTATTGCACTTCTGTTCATCGGCCATGGCTGTTTTTGGGATTGGGCAATCCAGGGGACAAATACAAAGGGACTAGACACAACGTACTCTAATGTTTTTCTTTTGTGATAATGCATTTAACATAACTCGGATCTGGTTGTGTTGATTTTAGATGTCTGCTCTTGTTTGGCAGATTGGGTTCGAAATGATTGATGTTTTTGCTGAGTCACTGGGTATTCAGATGAACCTGGTAAATTTCAAGGCTATAATGGGACAAGGTATGGGAGTTACATGAGTTTTTTTAACTGTGTGACTTTGATGTTGAAATTAAGGGCTTCCATTTTTGTGTTGCCATCTCTCAGGTTTCGTGGACGATCTCCCTGTTATCCTGGCAAAGCCGCAAACCTACATGAACTTGAGCGGTGAATCAGTAATCTGCTTCTCCTATTCTTACTATGAGTCTTGAAAATTTTGTGTAGATTATGGCATCTAGGGATTCTAGGCATATGAAATTATGAGACTCAGGCTGTGTAGAAAAAGTAGAGGTATCTGAATGATTCATGAGGCTTAAAGACTGGTCTTTTTTTCCAAGCATATTCTTGTACATCATATACAGCCATTGATATCTAAACCGAGGTTAGGGGCATTCTCTGCTTGTGCGAAAGACATGTTAAAGGCCTGTTGAGAAGCTTCCTCATTACAGTATTATACTATTGTAGTAGAGATGTATGGTCATAAAAATCTACTGCTTATCATTCCAATTAAATTAGCTGTATTTACCTATTTTTTATCATTGATTTAGCTTCATTTTGTAGCATTTTAGCTTTGGTTGATTGTGTTAGTAACTGCGCTTCTCCTTAAATTGGTCAGAGTGGACCTCTCGCGGCTTATTACAAGTTACCTCTCAATCGTGTGCTTGTGGTAATCCTATTACTGTTTCTGGCTCAAGGCCTAACCTTACGGTTTTTTTTTACCAGAAGACGTCTAATTCCATTGTTACTCTGGGATTTGGTGATGTAGGTGCATGATGATATGCAATTGCCATGTGGTGTTCTTCGTCTTCAAGAAAAAGGAGGCCATGGATGTCACAACGGGTATGGGAATCACATTTTTCTCACTAGTTTGCGCTCTTGTGTAAAACATAGTTCATCCATAACGTTCTTAAGTTTTCCCTGGTTCTTGTAAGACAATATTTGTCACATGTTTCAGACTGTAGTTTCTACCATCTAATATGCGAATCGCGATATTGAAAATCTTATGTTTATACTTGTTTGGGGTATTACTGACACATTAGTGTATATGGTAGTTATTAATCTTGTGTTCTTCTCAGGTTAAAAAGTGTAATGAACCATTTCCGAGGCAACAGGGAATTTGCAAGGCTACGAATCGGTTGGTTTCGAACTCTGTTCTACTTAACACTTTCTCTATCTCATGAACATCTTTAATTTTGAATCGAGATATTATTATCATTATCCGACAATGGCAAGGAATTGGAAATCCTCCAGGACAAATGGACCCAAAGGCATTCTTATTGCAGAAGTTTAGCATGCCAGCTCGTGAACGAGTAAGTCTTTGAGCCTATATTATTGACATTGAACCATTGTGGCTTATATCACCATGAGGAAATGTACTTATTTATGGCTCCCTGTGTGCTGTGCGTTTCTCGGAAAGATGGATAAAGCTTTATGCGAAGGGGTGGACGCTCTGAAGCTGGTCTTGTCTAAAGACTTTGGAGAAAGCTGGAGATTGTTCAATGTAGAACAGAAGTACAAACACTTAAGACAACACACAATAATTGCAGCTTGACCAAATGCTCTCTAGTCTCTCCAGATCATATTCATCAAAGATGAGTTTGATAAAGGAAGTGCCGTTTATGGGTTTTTGAATACCGGATAAGACGACTTGTGTTCCTTGTGAAGTCATGTATATATTTCTCATCCTGTGTCTGTCCCTGGTTCCATTTTTTCTTTAATTTTTACTGTATTGTTGTTACCTGGATGATATATACAATTTTTTCAAAATAGTCTTTTCTAGATTTCAGAATTTTTAGAGCCATTCTCCAGGGCTGGCATGCCTAATAAGGCTGTCCATTTGGGATTACACGAATTTTTTTGAATTAATTACACAACTTATAATTTTGCATTTGACCTAAACTTGAATTAGTGAGAATCTTAGGTACTTAATCCGACTTTATCTTCCTCATTGGATCAAAAACTCGTATATATATATGGTCGTAACTGACTTTTTGAAGTTTTTAACGAAATCCCCACTGCCTGTAGAGTAAAGTATGCCGATGGGATGCGAGTTTCCGAAGATTCAAACCTTCGAGAGTGCTCTTTCTGCCGCCGACTTCGAGTCTACCGTCGAACTCACCAACTTCCCTGCAGTAATTCACCTCTCTTTTTTTCTTTCACTGAATCTGTCGTCTGATTCGTAATTTGCTTTCTCTTTCTTATGGAGGTTTTTCGAGGATGCGCTAGCGACTGGGATGCGTATTCTAAGTGGAATCCATTCAACAGTGGGCTTGATTATCTGGAGGTAGTGTTCTTACTCTCCCTACTTGATTCCGATTTCGTTTCCTTTTTCTGGGAATTGAAGATTGTGTAATCTTATACGTCAATTGGATTATTATATGAAGGAACGTGCAGGTTCAGTTGAAGTGGAGGCAATGCTTTCAAGGACGGCTCCGATTTTCAATGGTGATATCAGAAGCCATGAGAGGGTAAAAGAAACCCCCATTTCTCGGTTCTCAAACAGATTGTCTCATCTCTTCAATCACTATCTTGTTGTAGCCGGATTCTTTGCCAATCTAGCTAGAAATTTAATGATTTGAGCTGTAATTGTTTCTGGTAATATAGCTTTTAGTATCCATCACAATTTTTTTCTGTGTCCTGTAGGTATCATTGCCGTTCTCGGATTTTATCAGATTCTGCAAGCAGCATATGAGTGACAAAGGGAATGGTTCTGGTGTTGATGCTAAGTCTGCAGATTTAACTCCTATGCCTGAGGACTATAGACCTGGACAAATATACCTAGCACAGGTTCAGATCATATTCAGTTTTCGTCTTTCTGCTTCTCGTGTATGAATATGTTTGCCCTTGGCCCTTGCCCCTTGCCCCTTGCCTTGAACTTACAAATCTATGTATTTTTTTCCAGTTTCCAATTCTGAATGATGAGAAAGAAGAGAAGGTTCAACTCAAGATTCTGAGACAAGACATCCAGACGGTATGCATACTTCTTTCAACTCCTGTTTCTGCAAAGCTGGTTACTTGAGCTTTCTTAACATCAACTATCTGAATTGATGCAGCCCACACTTTTAGGGGAAAAGTCATTGTCTTCTATCAACTTTTGGATGAATTCTGCACAAGCTCGATCAAGTACCCACTATGATCCACATCATAACCTTTTATGCGTAGTCTCAGGGCGTAAAAAAGGTTAACCCATTGTTTTCCTTCGTGATAAACTGTCAGGAAGTTTTTGTTCTGTTGTCTGTTTTTACTGGAGTCAAATTGGAATCGTATGGTCCAAGTATAAATAAAATTGCTTCGTAGAAATTTAGGGCATGTGGTTTATAGAATGTTAAGTCAGCTCGTTTGAAGTCAGTATAAGGTTCATCTGAAATATTGGCAGATTCAATGATTTAACTATATGTTTTATGGCTTCTTACATCTAAATCAATTTCAACCTTCAAAAATCATCAACAGTTGTCTTGTGGCCCCCTTCTGCAAGTCCCTCGCTCTACCCGATGCCTATATACGGAGAAGCGTCAAACCATAGGTATTATTCTTGGACTTTCCATATGGTTTTCATTGTGGTTACGTCATGAGCACACACTTCAGTTACTGCACCTTAGCAGTATCAATGTTTATTTACGAGATTTTCATTACATTTTATAATTGTTGTTCATGTAGTTCGGTTGGTCTAGAAAATCCAAAATTATCAGATTATCCAAGAGCAGAGCATTCCCTGAAGCAGTCACAGGAGATTACTCTTAACGCTGGTGATGCAGTATTCATTCCTGAAGGTTGGTGAGTATACTCGTATTTTCTCATAAAAGCTCTCCTAGTAGCGCATAGCTTTGCATTTCAGAATAAGCTTAATATTCTAAGATATCCTGCATCATCTGTGTCAACCTGTTTTTCCTAAATCACTTGTAGTTATCATGTCTCTGTTATGTAGCTTTTTCTGGCTGAGCCGCTATTGTAGATGCTGCAATTATATCAATAACGTATGCAAAAGAAATCTCTTAATTTTCCTCGGTCTTTCTTTAGTGTGTGGGTTTGTATATAGTTTATGTCATATCGTATGCGTATGCCTAGAGTCTCTAATCTAGATGCTTGACATGAGGTCCTTTAGGTTTTAATTCCAGACACAAACAAAGATGCTTGAGATGTCGTTTTGATTAGCTAGCTTACTCAAAATCATGCTAATGAAAGTGACACTTCTTTGGTTACCTTGTAAGATAATTGTAAGTATCGAAGTTTTGACACTTTACTTAAGCCTCATAGGTTTAAAGCGAGAACAATCAGTAGGCAGGTTGATGGATTATTTCAGATTAAGTTTTATTTTACTTATGCAGGTTCCATCAGGTGGATAGTGATGAGCTGACTGTTGCTGTCAACTTTTGGTGGCAATCAAACATTATGTCTAACATGCATGAACACATGGATTCATATTATCTGCGTAGAATCACAAGAAGGTCTTGATTACACATCTTGGATTCTTATACAGGATATCTTTTTGCATACCATATTTGTTTCGTTTCCTGACTTCTGTTCTTTTTTTCTTGCATGTGCTCCTGGATCTTGTGTCATCCATTAAGATTGATAGACAGAGAAATGGTGTGTAAGTTATTCTGTCTCATCAGTAAAGATTGTTGGTGTTATGATATATTTCTTACTCATCTTTATTTTAAGTTAAAAAGGTGTATGTTCGTCTTCTCATCTTTGCTTGCATTTACGAAGTTTTCTACCTTTCTATTTACTGGTGTAACATGGATATTGACAGAGCCTGGTAGTCTCGAAGCCTTCTTCAACTGATTTAAGGCACCTGTCTGAGCATATTGACCAATCTCACATTGAGATGGCAGGTAAGACACTGATGGTTAAATCCTGAGAAAACCTTACAATTTTTTACCTAACTTGGCCGGTGATTGAATGACCGCAGAAGGTGGGAATGATAATTTAGGCAATGAAAGCATTAAAAAGGGCCTCAGCACATTGCATGAAAAAGCGTCTCTGCATGATCTAGATCCTTCTGCTTCCCAGGCGCTTCATGAGCTTATTTCTTTAGTCCATGACCACGTTAATGCTGTTGAGACAAGTAAGGGACTCCAACACACTTCACCCAGTTGTTCAGAGGGCGAAAAAAGCAAGTTCCTGGTGAATGCATTATCTTGTTTAGAAGATGATCGTGTTGCCCATTTGCTTTGGAATCTTGAAGCATCTAGACTTCGGGATGTTCTCCTTGCAATGGCAGTAAGTTAACTCTAAAATGCATTACTTTACTGTGTTTATCCTCACATGGTATTGCCCTAGCTGGAGTTAAGTTACCTAAAACTATTTTTACTTCATCAATTTTGGTCAAAATGGAGATATTCGTTTTAGTTTTACATAAGATTTTTTGAGTGAAAATCCTTTGAATTTATTTGGTCCTATCATGTAACTCATTTCAGCGTTATTTCCCAAGAACCTTAGAAGCATTAATAATCCACATGCTCTCACCCATTGCTGCGGAAGTTCTAACACAGAAGTTTGATGAGATTGACCAACAGACTGGTGAAGAAGATAGGTTTGTTCTGAAGCAGTGTTGTGTTTTTTATTTCCATACTTTAAAACTGGAGAGTAACTTGTTATCTCTCTTCTTTTTTTCGTTTCCAATTCTTAGGAACCAATTCTTTCGGGAATTCTATGGTGCATTCGATGATGAAGCAGCTGCGATGGATATAATTTTAAGTAGGAAAGAGTCTTTTGCATTTCAGGTATGTTCTCTAGCGTCACTTTGTTGACTGTGAACCACCATAAACTCAAAGGAGAGAAATTTCTGGCATCATGCTGATATCTGCATAAACCTGGTTATAAATCTCTAGCATCTCTTTGTTGAGTTTGAACCAACGTAAGATCGAAGGAGATGTTTTGGCATTAGGCTGATACTTGCACAAAACCAGTTAGATGAATCCACATTGTTAACTCTGGATTTCTCCGTACTAGAGAACTTTATCTGACTAGTTGATGCAGAAAAGACTTATGAGCAAATGCTTTGAAGATCAACATGGACATAAAATTTTATCTACTTTTGTTATACAGGCATTTAAGAGTGTACTAGACAAGTATTTGGGGGTCAACATTGCTTCACCTACAATAAACATTTGAAGGGTCTTGGGTGTGGTCGTTTGTGGTGGCCAGATGAATGTGATCGGACAAGAGAGTGCATGTTGGTAGTGCCGTGTTAGTTGGGAAACTGATAAAAATGTTGCTGTTGATATTGGAAGGTGCTCCGTTCACTCTCATTAGCATTTCTTCTGCCATCGAATAGGATGTCTACTTTTTTTCATGGCCAATGGGGGAGGGAGCTTTTGAATATTATAGCTGACAAAACCAGAATTTTGGATAGGGAATTAAGGAAGTGATGTATGGTTTCCTAATTTGTTAGATATAGGTCTTGCAAGAAAATGTGTTTATGTTTAATGGAAACCAATCATGAATTCTTGTGTTGAAACTTGAAAGTCTTGTATTTCCATTGGGTTTGGAAAAAAAAGGTTTGTTTCTCTTACCAAGCTCTTTACTCCATCAACATCTGTACCCATACAATCACAGTTTTGTCACTTCTGAAAAATCTCACCTGACTATTCATGCACAACTCTTGAGTGTTCGTGCAGGTTCACAAGATGTGTTTTCTGTACAGATAAAAAAAAATCTAGAGAGATTAAATGTCTGGGGCGATGGATGTATTGGACTTTCAGTGTCTCGCAACAAATGATTCAATAAGTGGGTTCACCATCTCTGGCTTCTCGTCCTGCAAGTTTTACAGAAACATAATAAGAAGAAAACAAAGGTTACTTGCTGGATTTCCATCTTCAGAGGGAGGCAGGGAGAGATACCTGAGGACAGTGGCCGGCATCAGGAAGAACAACGAAATCTTCAACCGCGTCAAAATTGCTATACGCTCGTCCAAGCTCGATTGGCTCCCATGGATCTTTCTCTCCCCATGCAATTAGAACTGGGCACTGCAACAGTTAGAGAACTTAGATTAAGGTTTAGTTTTAACTAGAGTCAAGGAAAAGACCAGAGTAACGAACCTTGACCAGTGGGAGTAAATCCTCTGGAAGGGGTCCACCGGAGTAACAGATAAATTCGAGGAAGACATCGACTGCACCAGGCTCAAGCCCTGGACGTAGAATTGCCTCAACTAGCTCATCTGTCACTTGCGAGCTATCGTGGTAACACTAATTTGCAAATTTACAAAAACAAACAAACTTTCCTTAAGCTCACTAATAATATACAAAGATCTTTCTTATTTTTACAGATGCAACCATCAATACCTGGCAAAGAATGCTTTTTACTGTCTCCGGTTTAGCAATGCTCTTGAAAAATAATTTTCCAACTGGAGTATTCCTGAGACCGACATGATATTATATTCAGATGCAACACCAAAGAAGTTCTTCGTGAAGCAGGCATACAATACCTAAGTAAATTCTGGAATGATTTGATGAAAGGTCTTCCAATAAATGGTTGTTTCTTGATATGAAGCATGCGGAGCGATATGTTTATAAGCATAAGCCCTCTGCATATCTCTGGCTTACTTACTGCTGCCTGAAGACCAACAAGTCCTAATGAACACCAATCTCTCTGTCATTACTGAACCCAAACAAAAAAACTCAAAACCCGAAAGAGTTGCAACTTCAAAGCTTTACCTCCAATAGAGTTGCATATAAAGAAGGCTTCATCTTTGACCACATCCAGACAGAAATCATTGAGTTGCTCACCCCATGTCTCAAAAGTGTAGAATGGTTCTCCACCAAACTCCCGAGGATTCGGTTTATCAGAGTATCCATATCCGATAAGATCGATTGAGTACACCCTATGTGATTTCCCAAGAATAGGTGTGTTCTTCCTCCAATGGTCACTAATAACAGAACAAAAACTTGTGAGGAAAATGCTACTGTTGAAACCATGGTTCTCAATTCTCTAATGAAGAATTCAAAGCCTCAATTAAGAGCATGCTTTTTAAGTTTGTGGTAATGAGAAGCGAAATGGGTAATGAGTTAGACCTGTTAGCACCGAAACCATGAACCAAGACCAAGGCAGGGCCACTGGTTCCAGCACATTGATATCTTATCGAATAACCTTTCCACTTCCATGTCCTGCAAACGCCAAAAAGAAACCACATTTCATCAACCAATGGATTATAAACAGAAATCCAGAAAGATCAGTCCAATAGTCAGCTACAGGTTTATGCAGAAATTAAAGAGGAAGGTGATATTACAAGGTTCGAACTTGTAGTTCTTCAGAAGAAGCTTCGTCCGTGACCGAAGAACATGAGACGAACCCAATTCCCCTTGGAGTCGGAGTTCTTACGATACCGGTCGAAATCGATTGTCGGAGAAAATTGGTTTCGGTGAAACTGATAATCGAAGAGTTCTTGACACGGAACAGCGACGGGAATTCGAAGTTGGTAAAAGGTGGAGCAGCAAAAATGCTAGTCTTCGCCATGAATTTTTCGGCGTGGTTTCGTGCTGAGTGAGGACTGTAATATCTTTTACTCAAAAAAGTCAAAACCTTTTTGAAGTTGTTACGAGGACAAGTGTTCCGATTTGGACCAACCGTTATTTTCCTTAATCATGCCCACGTCATTGCATTTAAGCCTGTGCTTGCTTATTAAGGGTGACAAAACTCAAAACTAATGCATCAATATATTTTACATGCAAATAGTAGGAACTTCACGCTTGTTTCAGACAAATATCATGTTAGTTTATGCTCTTGACATGGTAATAATTTTAATGTGAGAGGTGTGACTTGTGAGCGTAAGAGGTGACTGAGAAAGTTTCCCGAGCACAAGAAGGGTATTGTTTTTGCCCCTAAGATCATATAGTACATGCCAAGAATAGACATAATCATATACACACTGCTCTTTCAACTATAATAATATGTATTCAAACTAAAAAACTCAAAGTCCTAAAAACTGAGAAGCAATTTGACAAAGCAAATGCTGTGGCTGTGGTGTGCGCAGCCTTCTTCAGCCAATTACCTCTGAGTCATCAGAAGGCCATATCACTGTTTCCATCAGGCGTTCACGCATCAACGCCAAGTTCTCATCCGATATATCTTGGTATATCTTCCCATGGTCGCATTTCTACACAACAAACTATACAACATTAGATTTTGAGTCTTTTCTAGTTCCTATGGCAGGAAGGGAAAACACAAATCCGAAACTAGAGTGAGATTTAGCAGGTGATTTTACCTTGATCCACTTGCCATACAAGTGAAGACGCGTGATCATCACTCTTTCTGCAAGCTCCTGACTCTCCTACAAGTAGTTGAGACAAAAAAACAAAAAAATCTCAATGTTTGTTTATGCTCTCAGATAAAACACAAAAGTACGCCTCGTTCTCCACTTGTTGATATCTTCCATACCAAGCTCTAACCAATGTTGAATCAAACATAATTTATCACAACACAGTGTGATTATGATAAGAACAAATCGATGAAGCTGCTATCCTTGTTCCAATTCACCAAACCAGAGACAACAAGTCTTATAAACTTCAGTCCTCACTAATTGCTAACTAACCAACTCACCACAGCTACAATCTGCTACATTCAGTCCTAGGCTAGTTATAGTATACCAGCTGAACTTGTTCAACTAGACCCAATGCATCTTGGCTTATCAGATGATGCTGCTTCTGGTGAGATATAAACTAAACTTTTTTACCTTGCCGAGGGCGCGAAGAAAACGTTTGCCATCCGTTGGTCTGTTTGTTATGATATGACTGTTGTATAACAAAGGAGAAACACAATTAATACCACAAGGTAAAAAAAATGATCGGAGTAAAGTGTTTCTGTTAAATCTAATCCTATACACAACTTCATCAAATGATAAACCATAAGAAACTTACTTATAGAACCAAGTGTATTGAGGAGGATTCATTTCGTAGAGCTGATGAAGAACCGTCCTCACAGCTTTGTATGTGAAATAATTAACAATTTGCTGCAAAAAAAATTGAAAAGGTCGATCTTTTGTCAAATCTTTCTCTATAAAAACAAGGGTTCATGCAAAAAGTTCTCACCTTTTGGACATCACCGAAGGTATCTTCGTAATTCCCAGCAATATCCTCATTCACAATCAAGAGCTTTTTGCTCTTTCGATTCGCAATTCTCGACACACGCTTCGAAGAAAGCCTAAAAACAATGCGTGAGCCAGTAAAAGAGCTTCCTAATTCCAGATTTCTTGCACTGCCAAGGATCTTCTTCCTCCTGATGTTACCCGTCGTGTGAGCATCCAGACACAAACATGGACTGCTCGAAGAGTCCATCACCGGTGAGCCAACAACAAACCAAGCACCCACCATTACTCCAAACCAAAAAGCAAGATCAAGACTTTTCCCACCAGAAATCACGGAACAGTTGGTAGATAGATTCCTTAGATCGATTTGTAAGAATCAGTGGGAAAAGAATATGGAAGATAGAATCCTGACCCTGTTTTGTATTACTACTACAAAACAGAAAACAGGAATTGGGTCTGTAAGATGGAAAATGGCCGTTGAATCTTAGCCAGTCAAAATCAGGGACTTGTGATATTTATTTATTTATTCCTAGCAAGCAAAGGCAAAGTAGAAAAGCACCGGGTGGGCTTTCGGGTTTACGTGGACGCCTCCCTAGAATAAGGTGTATTTCTTGTCGTCTTGTATGTTGTAACTTAGAAAAAACATGGGAGAATTTCAGAATCACGAGAAAGTCTTCCAAATCACGAGTTCGGGCATCAGTCTAAAAGGCTTGTGAATCCAAGGCATAATCAAAGGCCGCAACTTTTTGGTTACCAATGGAGAAAAGAAGTTTACTATAAGACTCTCGACCATCTTATTCAACATATCTCAGTCACCATGACTCTCGAATCAGTAGTTCAAAACCTCTAACCCAACCACCAAGGCTTGTGCTCAACATTTCCCTTCATCACAGCCACTAAAACCCTTACGTCACCAAGAATGATTAAACTATGGTTTCAAACAGATCAAGTTCTCAATCAGATCACTTTCTATTGTAATATTTGAAACAACCTATAGGCTCTTAGAATGCACTTCCATTCGTTATGTCATACACGATAAAACACTACTAGTAGTAAGGAACTTAACGGCCAGAGTCTACTATGGTGGTGAGGAAAGAACTCAGGGACATTTAGTCATGAGATACAACATTTTCGTGGAACCCAGTTTTAACAAGACGTACATAATGGATATATCGACATTTCATACCAAGTCTTAGAAAAAGACTTGTCTAGTTATTGTATGTATATGTACAAAGACTTGACTTGAGACTCAACTCTATCTGTGTGTTGTCACAGACTCTGTGATTGCAAAGAGTGTTTTACTCGGTGATTAACATTTCCGCTTCATCCATCATTCCTTGCCCTTTCTGAGAAAAACAAAAACTTCTGTTATTGCAAGTAACAACAATTTCCTACAAACCAGCCTGAATCACTTTTGCGGGTTGGCTGGTTTGAAACGATCTAAGCCAATAACCATTCTAGGAACCAGACAAAACCATCAAAGATCGGAAAACATTTGTTAGAGGCTTGTACATTGCAGCTAGAAATAACAACTGACATTGCATGAAATGCAGAATGACCTACTATAAACACACAGCATTTCACTATTATCAGCTACCCATTAAGCTATCACTAAGAACTTAAAGAACAAAAAGACAACCAAACAAAGGAAAAGAACGCTCCTTGCAGTTTCAATGATGTATTCCCACAACAACTCAAAACAACAGCAATGTGAAAGCATTAAATATGGTTTCTTCACTCAAATCTTAGATAAATACATTTCAAATCCTTTCTCAAGTTTAGTCTGACTCTCCAAGGACTTTTCTTTTAGCCTTTGTGGTTAAATTTTGAGAAAGCTGACATGTTCATGTTGTTCCTCAATAAATGTGTAAATTACATTCACAGAAATATATACCCACTCATTTACCCATAATCCATGCCTAAAGATATGAAGAAACAATCTACAAATCCAACAATGGTCAATCCACAAAACCAACTGAAAACTTGAACCCCAGAAACTCAGAGATAGATTCCAGAATCTATCCGTATCTCAGACAAAAACCCTTTTCCTATAAATCCTCTAAAACCCAGAAATATCTTCAATCATATCAGCCAAATCATGGTGTCACAATTGATTCGTTATTACTAGAAAGTCAGGACATTTCAAATAAGACTCTCCATCATCGAAGTCAACCAACGTTATTCATCAATCCATAAGAAGATTCACATCAAATTCAACAACCCAGAAACGCAAGATCTTATCTTTACCTCGAGAAAACTCTTCCAAGAATCTCCACAAGAACCAGAGACACCATTGTCATGGCAAGAATGTATAGTCTTAAACTGGTCAATATCAAGCTTCTTATTGATAAACCCAACTTTGAAGTAGATGGAATCAGACGGCGGAAGATCGACCTTGATTTCATCGACATCGAGCCAAATAAAGAATTTCTTCACCTGAATACCCTTGAGCTCGGTGATTGAGCCGTAACCGATACGGCCAGATATAGTCTTGTCGTAGTGAACGAGGTAGTCAAATTCAATTTCGCAGGAATTGGGCAAGTGGACGACGAATCTGCCATCGTCGGAGAGGGTGAAATCGGTGACGGAGTCCGGTAAGAGACCGCTTGGGAGACCGTACTTCGGGAGGAGTTCGTAAACGGTGGAAATCGAATCCGGGTCGGGTTCGTAGAGGGAATGGGTCGTCGTAGTGAAGAGGGTCAGAGAGAAGAAGACGATTGAGATGAAGAAACGATAAAGGGCCATACTTTGTTTGAGGATAGAGAGAGAGAGAGAGAAGACTTCTGAGATTAATGGATTATGTAGAAAATCGTATTTTGAGATTACTTTGACTCTTTTTTTTTTTTAGACTAGAAAAATTGTTGCCGTAATTGCCACGTCTCATCTAAAATTTTTAGTGTCACTAAAATAAAATACACAATATGTTTATATATACAATATACACATGATCTCTTTGAATTGGAATATGAAAACATTGTGAGAAAGTGACTTAAACTTCAGCCATGGTCATCATGATCTCCATGTTTTTGGATTCCTTTGTTCGAAGCTGAGAATATTCTATTTTCTCACCGTAGATTCTTTGCAGAAATATATAAAACCACATTGCAAAGATGGTTATGATCACAAGAAACCAGCTGAATTGGATGTTTACCAATGATATTGCTCTATGAAGAGCTTTGACGCTTGAGCATCTAATGGTATGTTTACCCTCTTCAATGTGAAGGAAACAATCCTTGGGGACCAAACTTGGCGTCCAAAGCATGCAAGCCATTGACATAAGCCATATTCCTTGGAAGGAAACACTAAGTGATCGAACAAAACTCAACATGAAGCTACTTGGCAACGCGATTCCCAATAGTGTTGTGACCAAAGAGACAAAAACTACGAGTTGGAGCAACAAATGGTAGTGGCCCTCAACGCCTGTGTGGTCTGACGAATGGAAATGGAAGAGGAAGAGTTGTTGGGCGAAGGTGAGGGCCGCGATCAAGTTGATGAGGGCCCGATGAGCCATTGGTCTTGTTTTATCAAAGACGATGGCGAAAGCTGCATAGGTGATGAAGGTGAAGGAGATGCAAGAGTGTTCAAAGTTATGGAGATGGTTTGATGGGATGGTTCCATCATTGGGATCAAATGGTTGGTGATTCTTTTGGCCAAGGAAGAGTTCCACAGAAATGGAAAGTGAGGAGCCTATAATGATCAAGATAGGCTCTAAATATCTTGGTTTGGATAAGGGGAACCATAAAGGTGCTATGTATGATTTTGAGTGTAGAGAAAATAATTTGATGTGGTTAAAGAGGTGCCAAAGACCAAGTGCAAAGAAGAAAAAGCCCGGTAAAATGTGACCCACCAATGTTCCCATGTTGAAGCTTTAGAGGTTGAGATTATGGAGGGTCCTATAAATATAACTTGGGGAAAATTAATGAATTGAAGATGACTATAAAAGTTGATGAGCAAAGAGATTATGCCATTTCTTGATTTTGCTTCAAGGATGATGATGCTTTGTGTTTGGTCATGTATGTGTAAGGCAAGTGAGAAGACACGATTCGATTTTATATTTGTAATACATCGATCTCAAAGTAACTTGCAAGTATAGGCTAACGACCTTACGTGTATGTTTACGTTATCATATCTTTGTGGCCTTTCCTATATAAGCTTAGGCTGTTTGGGCCTCTCATTTCTGGTAGACTTCAATTGGGTTTTTCATGTAACACAATTTAGGAAATAAAAACTAATATGGCACGGAAAACTTTGATGAAATAATGAAGAACCCAATTGATGTATGTTATAAGCACATAAATTTTTTGTTGTTAACTCATACATGCATGCTACTGGATTTACATTCGTGTAGAAATAATAAAAAGAAAATAAATTAAGGAAAGACAAGCAAAAATTCATGAAAATTTGGATTTGGAAAATTAATATCAATAACAACTTACTATTTTTGGTTTAGAACTATAAATCTATATATAGAGTATTTGTGTTACGAAATAGAATAAAAAAGACTAGTGGAAGGACCAAATCGAAGAAGACATATGTGTCTTCTTGAGTTTGAAAACCCTAGTGCACCATTCAATTTTTGGTTGGACATTTAATCAGGACAATATTCATCTAAACAATGAAAGTTATGCCTTACTCCTCCAGGCTCCCACCTTCCAGCGCATCCATTACTAGACAAAATATCTTAATTTGAAAAGTGTTTTTTTTTTTTAATCAATTAGCAAGAATAGCTCTTTTTAAACACACACGAAAAAGGTAAGAAAAACTATTTTTTCGAACGATCCAAAAGTTTTAGAGATTTTTAGATAATTCTTCTCTAATAATTCAAACGATCCAAATAGAACCATAGCTGAAGAATATCATCCAAATAATTCTTAGAGCACACCTACCTTCTATTTAAAAATTTATGTTGTTTAAATATACGAATAATGACGAGAAAGTGCCCCTTTAGTTTAGCTTTATTTGGCTTTAAATCCAAAAGCAATAACTATATAGTATTAAGGGCCCAAGTATTAATACAGAATTACAAACACCCATAGGATCACATCCACGTGGTCTCGACCGACCACTTCAAAAACCGAAAAGCCCTGAAATAATTTAATCTATTAATAAGGTAAATAATAACACCCATTCAAAGCATACTCTTTTCTTCTCTCCAAAGATAATCTAACTTCTTTATATACAGAGACATCTAGATTTCACTTCCACATTCTAAAAAACCTAGTCCTTTATCAAAACCAGAGAAAAAAGCCAAGAAGAAGGCATGGCGAGATCACCATACTATGGCTCATCTTACTTAGACTACCTCGCTCTCCCAAACCCACATCTCTGTTTCTTCTTCATCGTCGTCTTTTTCGTGTTGTCCCTCACATGGTACTTGAACTACGAGTCCATCATCGAAGACACCCTGGACCAGCTTAAACTCGTCTTTATGTTCACCCCTCTCTTCCTCCTCCTCCTCGTCCACTTCTTCTCCGGCGGCCTCTCCTTCTACGTCCCCTGGCCTGAACAAGACTCCATTCACCGTGCTGGTTCTTCCCCTTGGGGCGTAGCAGCCGTGCTCGTGCTCATATTGTTCATGGTTTCGTACCAGTCAGATTTCCAGGAGAGGTGGTTCCCGTTTGGGGCTAAGTAGATCGATCAAAGTTTATGATGACCAGCTTTAGTTATTCTCTAGCAAGATATGGATCGGCCATGTAAAATATCAAAGTACCTGAGTAATATGGTAATAGTAGATTATATGTATTTTCTTAAGATCATGAAGATTTAGTCTTTCATGTGAAATATGTGTAGTAATTAAACTTTTTTCGAAGGTCTTATAAAGAGATTTATATATGTAGATGAAGTTGGCTCAGCGTATGTTTTTCTTTTATTTGTAAAATTTCTTATGGAAAATGAGATTTTTGGATGCAACAGAAAAGTTTGATGGATGAACATGGATGGCTAAAATGAATACTCTTTTTGCAATAGATGTGAATATGGTGCGTAATGTGTGTGTATTGACTTAGACAACGAGTGGTAGTAGTGGTCTTTCTTGTCCTTCTTTTGACAAGTGGGGGTTTGTTATTGTCTATGTAATATTTTCCGGAGTTTTTCACCATTTTTTTTTTGTTTTTTGCTAAAAAATTGCAACAGTTTTTGCGTCCAAGTGCACTTTACTGGACGTAGTAAAAAAAAAAAAATTTCCTAGAATTCAATGAACTGTAGTGCTTTTGTTGGAGCATCTCTAGTTTGGCTGCGTGAAGCCATACTGATTTACAATTTTTTTTTTTTTTTACTAATTTACAATTTACTAAGCTTCTGTCAAGTTTCAATCTGATTGATTATTGCTGGATACTTGTTCATTTTTAAAAAAATATCGGTAACGTTAAATTATTTTAATTAGTTAATAGAAATAGTAATTTTTAAAATTTAAATCATATGATAATTACCGAAGTGTTATCTTTGACTTTAAAGTTTGTTTGTGAGAAAAAGATATATACCGACGTGTTTTGGTTACATTCCCACCACTCCTTTATAAAGTTAGGGGTAGATTCTAGAGTACTCTGATAAAATACTCAGGATTGAAAGCGACATTGTCCCACTATAATTTTGCCAAATTTTCAAATCTTCCTATCTAAATAATTATAGAAATGGCTAAATTAATTATAATCAAAGAGATGACGACCACAAAAAAAAAATCAGAGAGGCAACGAGAATCGGAGAGTCAACTATCCTATAGATTTGAATACTAAATGAAAAATAAATGATTTCTGTCTCCTAATAATAAAATATATTTTCGTTTTCCATGACCTTCAAGTTCTCAACCGAACTGTTCTTAGAACCACACACATCACTGGCTTGATCATCACGTATATAAATCAGAATGACAATTTGAAACCAAATTAATTAATTAAATTAGAAATATATGTATGTATGGTTTTCTTTTTCTTTTTTAAAGTTAAAAGAAAGATTTTGAAAATACATATTTTGGATAAACTGGATCAACGGATACATAACTAGTGGAAAAAGACATAAAATACACGTTAATGAAGTGGAATATGTCACAGAATATTGAGTCGAGACATACATCAAAGAAAAATCATTAGAAGACAACGATAATGTTTTAAACAAAATAAGCATCAGATATGAATTACCTATTTACTCGCGAGGAAGGTAGTAAAAAACTTACCTTTTGACTGGGTCAAGCGACTAGCTCATGCCTCGTTAAGAGCCGTTGGATCGGTCTAATAAAACGTAAGGTGGACTAAAATAATGTATAACGTAAAAAATAAAATAAAAAGAAGAAAATAGGATCTCAGATATGATAGTGAAATGTTTCAAAAAGAACATTAATAGTATATATGATTTACAATTAATCAATTATAAGTAACAATGGCATGCTTAACAGTAAAACAAAATCAAAAAAGAAGAAAAACAATTGTGAAGAAGCACAAATAACACTTATTTCGTGTATAACAAGAAGTTTTACGTTTGATGATTTGAACATGCAAAACTTATTAATTGACCCGTCTGCAGTCTCTACGAATCTCTCCCTCACTTCCTGTGAGAATCCTTACATTTCCCATCTTGATCATTGATCTCGCAAAATTTCTATAGAACTCGTTTTGGCTCTCAGCAAAACGATTCACCAAAGATACAGTAGGCGCTCCTGTCGAAGAGAACAAGATTTGGTCTGATTCAATCACTCCGCGGTTGTTTTGAAGGTTCTTGAAATAGTCGTTATCAAACGAGTCCGGGCTCGTAGGATCAAGATTTACCCTCGCTGTGAGATCTCCGCTTTGCGGGCATTGTCGTCGCAATGTTTGTAAGAAGTCAGGTTCGATACTCGGGTCGGACTGTCCGTTGTTACCACTAAAGTTGTGCAGACGATTGTTTATCACTCCACACTGGACCCTCCCGAAGGTATGAGCACCTGTATGTACATTGTTATGATTCATACTTCCTTAAGATATATCGTGACAAAGTACTATTGAAGTATTTACTAATTTTACTCTATAAATTATATAATCATGTTTCTGAGATGACCAAATACAACATATATATATTAAGATGCAAAAGTGAATTACCAGACAAAGCGACGAGATCAGTAGTGTCAAGATTGTGTACGGAGAATTTGGAAGTAAGAATCTCTAGAGAATCAGGTCCTAGTGGAAGTGCAGCCACTGCGTCCGCACGGATCGCCGTCCTGCCATCTCTCCTTCCTAGCAATACGTCCCATGACGGCCCTCCCGCCTTAAATGATATAAACAAATAAAAACATTAGAGTATTCGGTATGTTATAATGTTTTCATAATATTTCGTCTCAACATGTATTAGAAAATTTGAATGCGAGTGGTAACACAGTCTTGGTTATGGTTATGTTTCCATTGGTTAAAAAAGGGAATTTGAAAGCACATAATTTTCAAGAATTATGTTATTACCAGTGCAACAGAGATTTCAGATGCGATAGCAAGGATATCGGCACAAGAGACAACTCCGGGACAAACATTCTCGAGGGCGGTTTTGATATCATCGATCACTTCAAATCCGTCAAGAGAGCCCGCGTTTTGGAAAGCCTCCTTTTCACCCTCTACCCCATCCGCAGGAGCAGCGTCCAATAGTACCGAACCATCGCAACCCTGTGTTCACATACTATGACTTCAATATTTTTTGCATGTCTCAATTTTAAAAGAAACCTAATTCCACTAACCAAATAAACCTAGTTATGTTTTGTTGACAAAGTCTATGTACTTTTCTTATTTAAAGATTAGAGAAGAAACAAAAAAAAAAAGGGATATTTAATTAGAGTTTGGGTTAAGAAAGCCCGTTACTTTCTCAATATGAAACCAAGCTTAATGACAGAATCTACGGTCAAACATATATAATCAAACATCAAACTTTTCCTTAATTTTCTATCGGTTTGATGTCCATCACCCTTTACAACGACTAGGTACAACGTTTTTTGGTCAAACAACGAGTATGAACTATTAATATCCATTAAATCTAAAAACAAAAATAAATGCAGCCTAATCAGACATGTTCAGTCATGTCCTAGTTAGCTTCATTCATAAACCTTCACATGTACTGGTTTGGATTCAAGATGAATCATGAGATCATTACATGCGCATTAAACGGTTGGTTTCATTAGTAAGTAAACGAAAAAAATCACGAACATATGGTAATGCATGAATAGAAATAGATCTTACGTTCACGAAACAGTCGTGAAAGTGAAGACGCATGACTTTAGCAGTGAGTCTGACGTCGTTACGGCTAGCTCGCTCGATCAGACCCCTAGCGATGGCTGTGACGTTAGGGCAGGTTGTGGAGTAAAAATCAGAGGTAAGCTGTGCGTTACTCAAAACCCCAAACATCAAAATCGAGGGTAAAATTAAGGAAATAGTTTTGCTTAGACCCATTTTTGGTATATCTCTTTGTTTGTAAAAGTGAGAGATAGAAAGAAGAGGTTAGAGGAGTTGATGCTAAAATGGAAGACTTGCGTAGCCTTTTATAGAGAGCTTGGACCTAATGTTTGAAGAAATTTCTACATCTACCAGGAAAATTACAAAACATTTCAGTTTTGATTCGTCTAGACTTTTACTTTTCTTCCGGTAGGAGTAGGACACAAAAAATCATAATATAATGATAAGTATTCAATTATACACTAGACAACGACTCTGAAATTTAGTAGCCGTAAAGCGAACATTAAAAATAAGTGTTTAATTTTTATTTTTTTTTCTAATCATCACGGACTGATATATATTTCACAATTTATTGTAACCGAAAAAAAAACGATTTTTTTTTTTTGAGGAAAAACTGGAAATTGTTCAAGGATATTAAAGGCTGAAAGCAATCTATAAAAGCTATTACATATTTTTCTTTTCTTAAACCAAATAATGAAAATATTATACAGCTTTTCTGTTAATCCAATCATATCAAAGCATAGTCATTTTAAAAATATATCTCTTTATTATAATCTATGTCATGTACGTCATGAAAAGAAAATAACTACAGATGATTACAAAAGGACAAAAAAACTCGTAACGGCATGTTGAATAAATAGCAAGCTAGAACAATTAATTGACTTGAAGAAATTTAGGTATATATCGTAATACTCGATCGACGAGTTAAAAAAAACATGTGTTTTGACCTTGTTTTGTTACATTATCTTTTTATTTTTAGTTCTTAAAGTCAATGACTCTTTCAGTCTAACATTTAACACGTCTAACTAGTCTAACGAGATGTGAAATAAACCAAAGAAAGTTGTTGCTATACAAAATAAACAATTTATACTAAATAATGAAGAATTTTTACAATAACTATACAAAAACATTTTTTAAGTAATTGATTAAAATGAATTTTAAGTTGCTCATTTTTTTAAGTTACTAGTCTAATGAGATGTGAAGTAAACATTTTTAACTAAATATTTTCTTTTACTTATAGTTGCTCAGAAATTGATTAAAATGAATTTAAAGTAAACGAGTTAATTAAATCATGGTTATGAATAAAAAAATATTAATGCAAAATCAATTAAAGAAAAAAGTAGCGTACGTCAACACTAACTATTAGTTATATGTTGGAATTGCATAATGCTTACTATTATTCCTTTCCGCGTAAATTTGAAAGTGTCCTATTCAAGCCATCGAAATAGAGTCAGTTTTGTTGACAAAAAAAAAAAAGATTAATTGGAGTCAGTTGTCTCAAAACAATTGGACGGAGTCGTTTTCATCTGCATAAAGAGTCGTTGCATTCCATGAAAACTAGAAGTATCAAACTGTATCAAACTTTTAATTTTCATTTCCTTATTTTGGTTTCAGCTAATTATTACCGGTCGATATTTTGTTACATAGATTGAATAATGGTATCATCTTCTTATTCGAAAGAAGTGTTGCGACTATATAATGCCCTTGGTTGTACAATACTAGTATTCCTTTGGACATCCGAAAAAACTAAAAAATCAACCATTTAACAAAAACAAAAAAACCCTAACAAAGTTTTTAAGAAAATTATATTCGAGGACACTATTTCGAAATTTAAAACTATGGAAGATTTTATTTATTTTGGTTGTATTATTATGAATTATGATCATTATAAATTTTAGGATTTTTCTAATCCATTTGTTTGATTTTAAAAATCCACATGATTGGTTTACAACACACTTCAATGAAAATTTCGAGATTTACCAAATCATTTTTTAATTAGACAAACCAACAAGGCAACAAACCACATTAATTCTTATTATTACACACGTGATCATTCTGATACACTCGAGACCGATCAACACCCAAACATAACAGAAAATCGAAAACACACACACACATGCTAATTAATTATTGATAACCCTGCAGTTCTTCCTAACCTCCCCACTAGCTCCATTTGCAATGTTTCCCATTCTGATCATCGAACATGTGAAGTCCCTGAAAAACAAGTTTTGGCTCCGACTATAAGCTTCCACTAGTCTCTTTGTTGTGTTCACGGCTAAATCACTCGAGAACAGAATCTGATCAGAGCTCAAAAGACCTTTCCCTTCGAGTAGGTTCTTGAAATAATTGTTGTCGAAGGTGTCCGTAGAGTTCCTGTCAAGGGGCGCTGTTGTGTTACTATTTCCTCCAAGGGGACAAACTGTTTGCAGATTAGACAACAGTGATGTCTCAAGTGTTGCGTCAGGAGTTCCCGCGCCGGTAAAGTTGAACAGACGGTTGCTGAAGACAGCACACTTCGCTTGTCCAAAGGTGTGAGCTCCTTTGTAATGAAAAAGGGCAGGCATAAGTGATAAGTAATTATAAGAAAAGAAGACAAGTTACGTTAAAAGAGGTTTCTAATTGAAGAAATGAGTTAAACCTGATAAAGCTACGACGTCGGTGATGTTAAGGTTTACGGCTACAAATTTGGCAATAATAGCGTCTAAAGGTTCAAAAGGAGATGGGAGATTGTTTGCACTGTTCTGATTTGCCACCAATCCATCTTTTCTTCCTAATGCCACTCTCCACTGAGGCCCTCCGCTCTACAAATTGAAACCATTATAGGCGATATAAAAACGAATAGACGACTGAGAGTATGCATGTGTAAATCATAGACGACCGAAGAAATATAATTAACACAAATATTATTATAATAAAGTATATAATCATTGATAAATATTTCAACCAATTTATGACAATATATATACATATTTCAACCAAATAAAAGATAATCATTTGTAAAAACGTAATCATTTTGTTTGTTACTACAAATAATCAACACCTAAGTCATATTAGAAATAGTTGTTATATGAAAATTAGTAAAATCTAATGGAGAATTTGCCTGAAAATATATATGTATTAAGGTTTTGATGTTTGTTAAATGGGGACAAAAAGGCTTACCAAGAAAACCGAGTCACGAGCGGCCAAAGTGAGGATATCAGCACAAGAAACAACCCCAGGACATGCGTTTTCCACAGCGTCTTTGATTGTATCAATTACTTCAAACCCTCTCACAGAATTAATGTTTGGGATCGCGAGTTTCTCGCTGTCAGCTCCATCCAACAATACAGACGCATCACACCCCTGAAATGTTCAAGTTACGTTTTAGGAAACTGATGAAAAGTGTTTGGAACATATTAATTTGTAACCAATATCCTATAACCTATAAAATTATTTAATAGAAAATATATATTTAGAAGAAAGTACGTAGAGATAACAATACATACATTAACAAAGCAGTCGTGGAAATGAAGACGAATGAGGGAAGCAGCCATCCGTATCTCGGCCTTCAGGGCAATTATAACTTGTCTACGGACAATTTGCACAAGATTGGGGCACGATTTAGCATAAATGTCAAAGCTTAGCTGTGCCCTAACCCCTGAGCAAAGCATACACAGAGTGAAAACAGTAAGCAAGACATGCCCTCCCATCACTTTGGTTTGTGTTTTCATTGTCTAGATGGCTTGTTTAAAAGACTTACTAGAGTGATAGTTTATTATGACTTGGAAGAATTGGAGTTCTATTTATAGAGAAAACTAGATAGTAACGAACGATATCAAGGTTTTTTCATTGTGCTTCTGCCAGTGGGCTATTAAGAGAATGATTAGTGCACAGTGACGTGTGGCGGCTTTGAAAGATTGATTTCTTATGCTCAAGAGGATGCATTAAACTTCATATTATTATAATTCTTGTAAGATGAGGCACTAAGAGCCATTTACGTTCATAGATTCATGAATTTCTATCTTGTTATTTAGTAAGTTGGCCGGTTTGATCTAATTACGTTTAATCCACTAAAATAAGTGACTGTGTTTACTAGGTAACATCATGTAGTCAACTTTGTTTCAATAGTGTTGTATTTTAATGTATTTTGAGGACGCAAGTGGATTTGGTGTAAAACAACTCTTCCCACTCGTATGGTATTTAGAGCATGCAATTGAGTTTTTTTAATATGAAAATTTGGACTATTTTTCTATATGTGCTTGTCATATTTGCGCAGGTACAAATTATTAACAAGTTATTTATGTCATTCTTTCCACGCTTCTCTAAGTCCATGACTTATCCAAAACAACGTATCTGAAAACATTCTGGCCATATGAAAAATTTCAACAGTTTTTTTTTTTTGAATATTTTTCAAAACTTATGCGTGTTTAATTTTTAACTAATTTGATAAATGACATACTAAATCCCAATTCATATATATTTTAAAGAAAATTGAAATTATAACATCATATATACATTTAAATTATTATTTTCTTTTAGAACACAACAAAATAACTTAGCACCTCGGAACTACATATCTCTGAAAACTATTTTGATGGTAGATTTCCACGTAACAGTCATTTTCGTATGATCAGTCAGTGTGTTACTTCCTCCTCGAACTTTGCAACTTGCGGCGATTTTTTTATATAATTCTTTTAATTTGCAAAGTGCATAGTCCAAATCCTTCCACTTAGCATTATCGGCATGCTAAATAAAAATTCATACAGCGCAAAGTCTTGCCACATGTAATTTATATCTATTCTTAATTCTTAGTTCTTATGTCAATATTGTATACTTACGTAAACTCTACATTCGATCCCTCTATATTATTTTGTATCACCAAAGCGTCAGAGAGAAATTTAAGGTTTAGAAAACCAAACTGAAAATACAAAGTTTACACAAAATTACGTGAAGTCAAAGAAAGAAAGAAAGAAAGAAAGAAGTGAATTTGGTGAAAAAAAGTTTGTGTATTAAAAAAAAAAAAAAAAAAAAAAAAAAAAAAAAAAAAAAAAAAAAGTTTGTGTATTATATATGCATACATATACCTCAAATATTAGGTTCTTGCGTTTCATATATATATAGATCTTTTTCAATATTGTAGTGTTTTCCGATACAAAAACTCGATCACACTTTTCTTGATTTAATACGTTTTTACAACTATTGCAATCGATCCACATAGAACTAACTGAAACTAGAGAAGATTCGAATATGATATAGCAAAGTAAATTGGATAAAGAAGAGAAAAAAAATTGGATAGAGAGACTTCACATCAAAGAAAAACTGAATAGGGATCTTTTATTAATGAGCCTTTGAAACATCCGTTTGTGAGGCAGAGTGCCGTGACATTGAGAAGCAATCTAAACATACTGATTTTGATAAGACAAATCCCGTTATATCTTCAAGTCTCGTACGGATTGCTACACAAAATGAAACAATGGTTAAAAAGTATAATTACGATGCAATTTTATTAAAAATTACAAAATTGTACATGTTCTAAACCTCAGATTGGTTTTTTAAAAAAAGTAATTAAACTTGAGATTTGCGCATCATTAATTAATTTGATATTTATATTTTAATTATAATATTTAATAAAATAGCATATTAAGCTTAATAAACAGATAAAACTGAAATTAAAAATATTCTGAACGCTATTTATTTATTTAGAAGCAATGTCGCATCATTATTAATTACGTAACCTTAATGAATTCTATTGCAAACCATATAATTAACTCTATAGAGATTTAATGATAAACCAACCAACTAACCCATTTGGGCCCAAACTTGGTTGGCCTAAATGTTTCTCAGATGCAAACCCAAATAGATCAAACTTGGATCCAAACAAGGACTTTTCATCCGTGCATTCGACTCAGAGATCCTCTTCTGCAACTGTCTCAAACCTAGACACAGATATTATGCTTATACTAGTAAAGTGAAGTATCCAAATGCATTAAGAGAAGAAACATAAAACTCTATCATCCATAAGTCTTTCACTACAATGATACTTGCTTTAACTACAATCTCATTAAACCCAGGAATCTTATCATCAACAAGATGTACCAGAAAAAGAAAAAAAAAAAAAAAAAAAAAAAGCTTACCATGACTTCATATGAATTTCTCCGTGAAAGTGAGCCTCCTAAACTCTGGTACCAAAAGCTGTGAGAGAACTAGACTACACCTACTAAGACAAGTACATTTTGACATATACATCATAGAGCTGCTGCAGAGATCCATCATTGACGCCTGTGCATATAAGAGACTTACATTATTTCAATGTGAAAATGGTATGCTTCAACTTTGCATCACCAGTTAGTTACCACTGCCTATCATCATGGGTTCTCGTCTGCTTCCCTCCTCTGTCCAGGTATCATATGGCTGCTCATTGTTTTCCAACAGAATCATTTTCCGACGCATCTTCAAGCTTCTCAATCACCATTTCATTTTCCTTACTTTGATCCATACCTTGGTTGGCTTCCTCACATTGTTCCCCTGACACTTCCCGAAAATCTGTCTCAGCTTTTTCCTTACCTTCAGGTTTACTTTCCCCAGAACTTCCCACACCAACTGATTGTTTTTTCTCTTTCACTTCATCCACGCTCTTGCTGTTGTTGTTGGTTTCTTTCACCGCAGCCTCATTACCCCTGGCAGCAACATCCTGCATACAAATGTCCTCTGCAGCTACATGGTTCTCCTTTGTTTCACCACTAGTACGTGCATCAGATCCCCCTGTATCATCACCATCACTTTCAGACTCATTCTCCACAACCTCCTCGTTAGCATCTTCAGCAACCATACCCCGCCTCTCGAGATACTGTAATCTTCTCCTCATGTCACCTAACTCCCTTTCCATCAGGAACAACCTTTCCTTCAAGGTTAAGTTCTCCTCCTCCAGTTGAGCAATATGGCTATCCTGATCATCCACTCGGTTTTCCAAAACATTGTTATACTCCGAACCACCATAATTCGGATAAATCATCTCAAACCGGCTCAAGTCATGGTCCAGTCTCCTCTCAACCTCAACATGCTCCTCCACATCACTCTCACTCGACCCTCCTTCATCTTCATCATCCTCTTCATAAGGTTCCAACTCATTTCCATCAGCTCTCAGCCTAATCAACCCTTTCATGGAGCCATAACCATCAACACCCCATTCCTCTTTCGCCATATCACCCAACACCTCCCTAGACGGCGAGAACATTGGCGTAGGCAATACCGCCGGTGTCACAGGGCATGGAGACACCAACTCAGCAATTCCACCAGATTTCTTCGCCCTGATAATAAACGAAGTCGTGTTCCTCGGCGCATAAGGAACATATCGGTTACCATACTTCTTCTTCGGGTAAAACTTCCTGGTTTTCAACCTGTTCTGAGACTGCAGCTCGTTCAAAGTCGGCGGCTTGTAACCAACCTGATTACTACTACCAGAACCAGGTAGTTGCTGAGGGTTATACATAGGAATCCCAGAGTTATGCATCCTCCTAATAGGCTGCTGCTCCATCATTGGCCTCTTGTCACTTGTAATCTTCTTCCCTTTCCAATTGTTCCGACTCATTTTCGAAACAAAGTTATTAGGAGCAAGATTCTGCTGATACTCGGAACTCAAACTCGGGTTAAGGTTAAAGTTGCGTGGATTCATCATCATAGGCTGATTGTTCATCATAACCTGTGGCTGCTGCTGATTCATACCCATAATCGGATGAGATTGGCCTAACATAGGAGTCTGGTTCATAATCCGTGGCTGAACCGGATTCATTACCTGAGAAGACGGCAGCGGCGGATTCATCCTCTGTTGCGGCGGAGGCTGACCAATCATTTGCGGTGGAGGTGGCGGATTCATCAGCTTAGATTGATCGTTCATCTAACAATACACACTAATTTTCGAAGCAAAAACCCTAATTTCGCAAATCTCAAATCAAAAGTCGAAGCAAGTCAAGAGATAGATCAATGAACAAGAGATCAATCCGAGTGCTGAAGAGTGAAATTTCACAAAAAAAACAAACAACAGATCAAAGAAACAAACAGATCAAACAAAAAGCCAACAAGAGAAGAAACTCTAGGATTGAGATTTTTCGTATTTTGAATTTGTTTGTTCAGTTTTATGATGAATTTTTGGAGTTTGAGAATCTTGTAATTTGGATCTGGAAACTTTTTTTTTTTTGGGCAGAAGAAAAATAATTAAAGGCAAAGAGAACCTCTGTCTACGAACGGCTTACGAGATGATGAGATTCTTTAAATAGAGGCGACGAAAAGATGCCAAGTCCAAATCGACGATGGAGATGCGACACGTTTAACCGACGGCTAAGATTTTATTTCTTTTTTAAAGGGTAGAGTCGGTTATTATTATTAGTACAGTTAGAAATATTTTAAATCAATAACCTAATCACTTGAAAATTTGGCAAAATTAATTTAAAACTTCGTTTTTTTTTTAATATCAAATTTCATCTTCAACGTTCTACTTTAGGTAATTATGGTATTTTCTTTTTCTTTTTTTCTTAATGATGGTATTTTATAGATTATTTTAGAGAAAAGTGGACTATTTTCAAAATTTGGGTTTTGAGTGCAATCACACATTATCCCCAAAATTTGGACTATTTTAATAAACCTCCCTATATTTATAGATTATCCCCAACATTTTAAGGTATCAAAGTCATTTCTAATCCATACATGCTCATGTTCTTCTCTTACTCATATCCTTGAGTTATGCTGTTTTCTTCTTATTTTCCACTTTCTTCTTCATTCTCATTCTCCTCTTTATCCTTAAGTTATGCTATTTCTATGCTCATTATTGTAAATACGGATTCGACCATATGTGTTATGTGTATACTGCTAGGTTACGAGCTACGTATCCTGGTTCGGATAGTTAACGAGTGCGATGAAGGTAGTCACATAAAACATACTTGACTTCTGATGAAAAGAAATTACTTGACTCACTTTGACGAGGAGAGATGGTCTGTTTTTCTTTTCTAAATCAGTGTCATGGGCCAGATGGGCCAGATCTTGAACCGTGAGTTACGTTAGACGAGTTTCATCACATATCAAGTTTCGTATACCATGGTCCATACCATAGCACACTCTATCATGTTTGGGTCTTCTAACTGTTGTCAAAGATACGTTAAGTACAAATTTCACCAACAAGTCACAAGTGCAACATGGAAACCCCACTCCTAATTAATGTGTTACCGGCAGAAGCAATCTCTGCCAAGGACAAATGTTTGACAGTTCCATAATTTTTTCTATTGCTTCTAAGCTTCTCAGAAAAAAAAAATTGTTGCAATCGCAATGAAAGTTTCTAGTGAGAAAAAAAAAATATGTTTTTAGTGAGAATCTCATTATCCTCCTTTAGTTACACGGCCAATTCACACATCACACCGGATTCAAATAAAGCGGCCGCAAAATTCTTCTACCTTGTGGTTTAACTGATCTCTTTAGCAAAGATGAGACTTTCGGCAAAACACAAATGCATCAACTTAATCATTTCAACTTCTAGTGACTCTAAAATTGTCCACTCTGTGTAATTTATTGTGCATGAGTTGGAACAATCCTACAATACCGAACCAATATGGTGATCAACGGTTAAACGTCAGCAGAAGTAGGACCATGAGATCCCCAGCTTCAGAGCAGAAAGAATCATTTGGATTGTAACAGACTGAACCACTCTTAAAACCACCATTCACTTAAAGATGACAGGTAGAATAACATTCATCTCTACTCCCAAAGAAATAAAGAGAAAGACTAAATCATAGACAAAGATTGAACACCATCTATGGCAACTTCCCGCTACGGATGACACGGAATGAATATACCGAGTTTCCAACATTTCTGTAACCTATTTCAAGTAGGCTTCCCTCTCTACGAAACGCAAGAAAGCATATCTGGAGCCATGGTGTGTGCTTCAGGGCAAGAAATGCTTATGTACCCTTCCTGACATTATATGACTCACATATTAGAATGTTACTTCTTCTCTTAACACATTTGCAGTCAATTTAAGAAAAACACAAAAATGATCATCATTATCAGGAAGACGAAAGGAGCACATACTTTCTCTTCCTACGATCAATTCCAGCAGCACCCATATTCCTCGTGTCATTCTTAGAAAGCATATTATTGTACTGCATAGGAGAAAGGGCTGGAGAGAGAGCAGCAGCTGCAGATGGAGCAGGTGGCAAAGAAGTTGAAGGTGCAACTGGTGGTTGTGGAGCTATAGGCTCTGGAAGTGGCCGAGGTAGAATGTGCTTCAGCCTGTTGTTTCTATAGTTCTTCCAATAGTAGAACTGTTGTCTATGTGCCAATTCCTGAAAAAGACAGATTCAACAGAAAACAGGGTTCAAAACTTAAGAAAACTTCGACAACAATAGATTACTAACAAGAACATAAGGTTTAGAATATTAAGATACTCTATCTATCTCATGAATCAACGAACATAACGCAGAATCACAGAACCAAACATAGCATTTTTTCATCTTTTCATTGGACTTGGTATTAAAATACCCGAAACTCTCCAAGTCCCCAAAACACATTCCAAAAACACCGGTACCCTAAACATTTGAAGCACTCCCTATCTACACTGCTAACTAACATGCTGATTTTAGTTGCTGATTGTTATCGTATTGTTTTACCTTGTTTGCAGGATGGGCCATAGCAGTCCTGAAGTTGGGGTTTTGAAGAAGTTCAAGGAAATATAAGCAGTGTGGGTACCTGTAACAAGAACATAAGGAACACGAATAAAACAAGCAGAGCAAGACTACCACAATTCCATTAGATATTCCAACTTACATGATGAACTTAATGTATTCAGGTCGCTGCCAGTATTGAAGATACTTCAAGTATCCAATAAATGCTTCATCTTCAAAATACCGATTCTGTGCCAGGTCTGCCAAGCAGAATTCAAGAACCCTTTTGAATCTCAATTTCGAACACTTAAACCCTAAGCCGAAGAACGAATTCTAAACTTACAGTGGATGTAAGTAGGATTGGCGAGACATTGAATGAATTCAAGTTCGAGTAAGAATCGTTGTCTTCCACCGTCGGGATCCTTGTAAGTGTTCTTTGGCCTGTAGAGATGCAAATTAGATACTAAAAAGCAGATTTGAAGTATATGAAATTGCAGAAGAGGAAGAAGATGCACTCACGGAGATGGAATATCTGATGAATCATCAATCTCCTCCGGTGAAGCCATGAACGAACGGAACCTGAATCGAATTTGGATTCTCAGAAAACCTTCGCACACCTTCTTAAGGGGAGAAAAGTGGGGAACACTGACGGAGACGGAGGATTTTGGTTCTGATTTCTGAATTGAATTTTGGTTATTAACCAAAAGGCTTAAACCGGTTCTGAATAAAAGAGAGAACAAATATTGAAATACAAAATTACGGTTTAAAAACTTGGAGTTTCTTTACATTTTACTTGGTGGCATTTTTATTCACGTTATGGATCTCTTTCATTCTTATATCTCAAGACCATGAATCACACAAAGTCCAATTTGAATTTTGAAGACATGGAATCTTTATGCAATCATTTCTTGACGCAAAAGTGGTTTGATCTCAAGTTTGTCGATCAGAGATATAATATCCGGACTACAATCATTATGGATGTTGAACTCTTTGCCATGCTTACTACGGACAACTGTGGTTGAAGACTAGGAAAAATAGAGATCTCCTCAGGTTCTTAACTTTTAGTCGAGCTATCAGAATTCAGAAATCTAAGGACATTTGGCTCCAACGAGTTTGCCCTCAAAAATGTATACTGTACGTTGTAGTAATGTTGTAATCCCCACAAAATGCAACAGTGTTTGTGTAAAAAGTTAGGTTTCCCACACTTAACAAAAAAAATTAACATACCAGAGCCTTCAGACCCTGGGACTGACCTATGCAACTTCCAAGACAGTTTTTGTATCCAGTGTGCGTGCTGTGGTCGAGTCTTCCTTGCCAATCAACACCTTGCCACAACTTGCAAGACAAGTTCTGTTACAGAAGTTACTGGCCTTCAAATATTCAGGAGGTGATGGCTTTAACAGTTTTCACCATAGCTTGTGAATCCCAATTGCTAAATCTGATGAGATGGAGACGAGCAGTGGATAAGAAGAGTGCCATTCGGCTTTAAACACTCTTTTCTTATGAGCTTTCATCGAGAGAGATGGGCTTGGTGCATTGTAGCGGATATCAAAGATGTGGATCACAGGGTCTGCAGAACCAGATGAGATGTGTAAACCATCTGGAGACCAAGACTGATTAATTAGAGCCGACTGTGATTCACTGCTTTCTTGCTTCCACCCAAAAGAAAATAGCTCCGTCTGAGGCAATCTAACATCATACAACCGTAGTTGCCGGTCTAGCTGCCTGCAAACATAACACAAGCAAAGGAAAGAATTTTAAGGCAATTGCTTTCTTGGGGGTTATATATATCAAGAGTATGTTTTACCTTGTGTGAACCATGACAAGATTAACATCTCGTGGGTTTGGCAGTATATTTGTGCATCTGTTGTCTAGTCTATGTTTGAATGTGACTTTTTCTTCTCGGGCATCAAACCCAACAAATCTCCTATCGTCTCCACATGACAAGACGAGATTTTTATGGCGCATTCCAGTAACTCCCATCACAGCCGATGAGTGCAAGTCCATATGCAGAAGTGTTGGCTTCCACGCATTATTCTCACATTGATCCCGCCATAACACTACTGCATGGTCACTCCCACCTGTGATGAAACAAGGATCATCCCAAGGCGTAAACATGATTCTGTTGATTAGACCTTTGCTATGAGGCCTGCCCTCCAGAAATTGTGACTTACAACTCTGCAGATGAACAGATATCCAAAAAAATATGAGCACATAACTAAATTCCCCAAAGAAAAAATAATATAAGAATCAAGTTAGATCTTACAACAAATAGTATATGCATCAGGTCAAGGGCTGAATCAAATTCCCAATTATTCCAGCTAAATTGTTTTTTTTTTCTAACAGGTTATGAAGACCAAGTTAACTTTCTACAAGTTTAAGCACACATTCCACTCATGAATGTCCAATCGCAAACTTAAATATTGTAAAACGGTAGAGTGCGCAGCAGCTTTCATATATTTTTTTACCTCTCCAGCTTCATTCAGATATATGGCTGATATCTGAGGGTGACCTTCATCTGCAGTATACGCAGAAAAAAGTGCACTCTTGTGTGGATGCCAAGCTATATCTTCTGCCCATTTCTTCTGATTTATTGCTACCCGATTAACCGTCTTAAATAGAGTAGCTGTGGACCTGCTCAATGGTGAAAGCAGTGATGGATAGGTTAGTATCCAAAGAAATTCAGATTAAAATATTCACGAAAATGAGAGTACAAAAGATTGGGGGTTCCTGAGACATAAAATTTCCTAGTAGCAAACATTGTACAAACCCTATCTCTTAAAATCTTGTACAACTAAATATTGCAGCTTGTTGACAATATAAGCAAAACTAAATTTCAACGACTTATCACGTGGATGGATGAAGATGATGTCAATTGGAATTGGAAATACATATAAAATTTTTGATACATTTGAAAATCAAGGAAATCTATATGGATTTTTGAAGTTGTACAATCCAATAACCCCTCCTAAAATCATTCGAAAACCCCAAGAAATCAGCAAGAAATATCATAATCAGTAGATCAGGTATATTTACAGCAGAGTTACCTATCAGACTGAAGCTTCCAGAAATGAACCGCCCCATCCAATGCACTGAAGAATAGCAAAAAACAAGAAAGGGAAAAGAAAAAGATTAAGCACAGGAGTCGAGAGTATATTAGATTAGTGAAATTTGTCCAGTGACTTTCTTGGTTCCCTCTTATGCATATAATATCATTTCCTTAGTAAAGAATCCAGACAATAAATTAGGTGTGAGACCGAATTTCATCCACGAGACTGGCAGACAATAAATTAGGTGGCATCTTTTATTCAATTTTGGAAAAGAAACAAACAAAAATAATCTAAAAAGCACCTTGTAGCAAATAGCTCACGGTTTGAAGGAGAAAGAGCAAGACTTCTCATTCTTTTCGTGTGGCAACTTGGTAGCATACCTACAGTACGACCTTCAATTGTGGGACGCAAAGAGCTTCTACCTATAAGTGCTATCAACTCATCATGTCCTCGGAATTCTGAAAAAAAAAAAACAATCGATTCAGACACAAAGAGAAGGAAAGATGTGGCAAATCGACCAAAAGAATGGCTTTTACCAGCTTTTTCCTGTTGTCCTTGTTGGGATATGTTAGAAGAAACTCTGATCCTCGGCTTTGCAAAATCCTTATTAGTGTGGTTATCTCGAGCTTGAGCTTGAGTTTCCCACACCACTTCATTAGGAATACTATGAGATCTCTTGGCCTCAAGACCACTTTTGTCTTCCTTTGGGACATAATAATCCCTTGTATCCATGGGTTGAGCTACGTTATCGCGACCTTGGGATTCCCTTACCACTTCATTAGGGATACTACGAGAACTCTTGGCCTCAGGAACACTTTTATCTTCTTTTGGAACATTATAATCCATCGTAGGCTTCGCAGCCATGGGTTGAGCTTCCTTATCTCGACCTTGGGTTTCCCTTACCACTTCATCAGGAATACTACGAGGTCTCTTGGGCTCGGGGCCACTTGTGTCTTCCTTTGAAATGTTATAATCCCTTGTAGCCATGGGTTGAGCTTGGGTGGTCTCATTTACTTCTGCTCTGACAGGAGCAGAAGCTCTTCGTTTGAAAGAAGGGGGTAAGATAATGGATGGCATTTTCAAGGATTCCATCTCACTACGTGATTGTGGAGTAGAGTTTTCATTGGCAGTCTTTGCCTTATTTCCCTCGGTCCAGAACTCAGCTATACCAAGTATACTTCCAGTTTTACCAGGCACTTTTGGTTTTGACTTAGAAAAGGTACCATTTTCACCACGATCAATTTGTAAAAATTTTGCCTCCGCATCTGCCATTAGTTTTCTCTCTTCAGCAAGCTGCAGATACATCAGAAATTTAAGAACAAGACCAAACAGTAAGACTCTCTCTTGTACATTCTAAGGGAAGAAAATACTCAGAACATCAGAAAACAAAAGCTGGAAACTTTTGAGTTTTGATTAGGTGCCATTTAAATTTTCCAGCAAGAGATGACATTTTGATATTACATACTACGAATCGAATAAAAAAAACCTCAATAACTATGTTGAAACTGAACTCCAATTGAAACAATTGTATCAACAATATTCTTAAAGAAATGCAAATGCCCAAATCAACAAAGCTAATGCAAACTCTACAATAAGCTGCATCGAATCTGAAAACTGCAAGTAGAGATTGAATGATATACAACGGAACAGCTACAAAAACAAATTGATCAAAAGAAACTTATGAAATCAAACCTAGACATTCAAATATTGTAGAGGCGATTGAAAAAGAAAAGCTGAACAATTTGCATAAAATTATACTCCAATTGAAACAAGAAGAGTAAATAAAAAAAGGGAAAAACGCAATCGCCGAATTAGCAGGTAATAACAATTGGTCAAAGCAAAGAAGATAGAAGAGACCTTCCTGTCGAAGCTTGAAATCTGGTCTTTAAGGCGTTGGATTGATTTGGCACGCTGGTCCATGAACTCTAAAAGAGCTTCTCTATCATCTGGGATTTGAGTCGAGAACGCTCTCACTTCTGTTTCTACTTCTTCCCCTTGTTCAATTTTAGGTTTGTTCATCGCCGTCGTAGCCATTGCAGTGACCGGTCGTCTTCTTCCCACCCTTTTATTCCCGCCCGATCGTGCGTAGTGGGGATTGAATTTTCCCTCTCGTTGTTTCAATTTTGGAACCACATTTTTTCACTTTTCCTGTTTTGCCGCTTCACTTACTAGGGCTTTTGTAGTCGTGTGCAGCTCCGTGCTTCTTAACGGAACCAGACAGTGTAAACACGGATTCGCCAAAATTCTTTAATATGAGTCCCCTTTTTGGGAACTTAAACCGTCAAAATTAAATATCATTTCCCCATACACAAAAAAAAAAAAAAAAACCCCTCAAATTCGTCAAACTAAAATAAAAAAATTCTAAAGTTTATTCGAGATTAGAAGTCTTTGATTTGACGGACGTTAAGCTCGGTGATACATCATCCGTTAAACAAAATTCATTAAAACAACTACATTTGTAGGCTTGTAGCTGTGATTATTGTATACAAACATACATAGAGGAGACTGTGTTCTATGAACTCAAAAAACTCATCTTAGCTTACAACAAATTAACAATTTGAGAAATAGAATCAAATTGTATACCAAATTTTGGCTTGAAAAGGGTGAAAGTCTGGTCAAGAAAGCAGACTGCTAGCTTTTAGTATTCAGAAAATGTACACTGAAGCAATGGAAGTCAGAAAAGATGTCAATAGTATGGAAACAAAGTTCACACCATTGTTGTCAAGAATGTCTACACCTGAAATCTTCTTTACCGTCGGCCCCGGTTTCCCTACAACCTGCACGACGCATAATTCAGTCATATACTCTTCTCTCTCGATCCGCCTATTTTACATGTGTTCTTTTAAACTTACCTTGTTCCGGACAGAGCAGAAACCACTGAATTGGATGGTTGCCCCTAGCACAGAATCAATAAGACTCCCACATAATCCAGCTAATGCAGAGACTGGAATGACTAAGAGTTGCTTGAGAGCCACATCACTTGCACAACTCGCGGTAAAGAATCCAAAGATAAGGAACGTTACTCCAACAGTGGTGCCGGCTGCCAAGGCAGCTAAGAGTCCTGCATTTGTAACCCCACCATTTGTGCCCTTCTTCACCGGCTGAGTGTGCGACCAAACGATTAGCTAAACAGGAAACACTAATTAGCGACTTGCAAAAAAAGGAACAGGAAAAAACCTTTAGCGTTGTGATTAGTCGAGGCTGGGCATCACTAAGAACCCCAAGCTCCGAGGACCAAGTGTCTCCATTACAGCACGCGTAATGACCGATGATTCCACCAATAAGAGCTGTTACAGTTTCTGACTGCTTCGAGTCCAAACACTTGTCCTGCCAACCCGTTAAAGTACAAGCAATTACAACTAGAACTGAAGCAATTCCACCATTGCAAAGCACTTGTACCCTGAAACAAGATATTTGAGGAATTCCCTGTCAAAACAACCTTTGTTGGTCAAATAAATAACAACTTCTGAAAGTGAAATCATTTGCTAATATGCCAATAGAAAATTGATAAGCTATTGGTTTACCATAAAGAAACAATCTCTTCAAGGAAGTTCTAAATATCAGCATCAACCGTAAATAACCAGGTAATCAATAATTATGGATTTTATGATTTTATCTGTCCTATTAAACCACATATACTCATCAAGAAGAAAGACTATGATTTCCAAGGGAAAGGAAGTATCTTTGTTTACAAAACAGTCCAGTGTATGTGGTTCAACGAAGGTCGAGAGGATGATTTCCACATCTAAATAATTTCATGTTACCAACAGGATGTTGAAAGTAAGACTAGATGCTATTCACTATAGACTCTTAAAGATCTCAAGTTCATTATTCCCTTTCCTTGATCGAAGATATATTCTCCGAAAGGACTCCATGAACGTTCAAGAAATATATGTATCTTTATCCTAAACTTTATACACAGAGATATCCAAATATCGAAAGATTGATGAGAAACGGAAGATCTTCTGTAGTATACTCCAGTTGATAACTAGATTTGCAGAGTAAAAATTCACAATTCCAAAAATTAGAACCTACAAAAACGAGGAAAGAAAGAAAATGTACCAGTTCCTTTGTCCACCTTCTTTGAACTCAACATCAACGCGTCGTTTTTTATCTTCGCCAACTTTGGTAAGCTTCGAGGAAGTAAGAAAAAATACAAGCAGCAAAGCTCCGTACCTTTCAGATTCAACAGATTAATCCGATCAAATCCGTCGGGAAACAATAGAAAACACTTTCTCAATGAACAAAAAATCGAATTTCATAACAAATAAAATCAAAAGCGGGAGAATAAACCTGAAGCCGGCGGTGAAGTGAATGGTCATAACAAGGAATCCAGCAATTCCACCAGAAAGATCGAGCGACTTCCTCTTGTACGATCGGAAAGCGATGAGAGAAGAAATGACGACGGCGACGATAAGCCTAAACTGCGGCGACGTTTCCATTTCTTCCAGTGGCGGAGAATCTGTTGACGACGAAGATTCAGTTCAGCGTCGGGAGAGGGTAGTTGACCCCAACGTCATCACTGATTTCATGTATTTCAAGTGTTGGTTACATGTTAGTTACGCAGGCTCGGACCTGGTATCAAAACATGGGCCTCAAATGGGCTGACCCAATAGATTTTGATAAAACAAATATTTAATCTAATCTAGATGTAGTCGTGGGCCAATTATTAGATTTTTGAGAATGGGACAGACGAGATAACGCGGGAGAAAATCCAATCACCGATCGAGATATGGGTCCCAGTAACGATTTCTACTATGACGTGGCACCACTTAAATCACAATATCCGTATTCCCTCTCTCTCTCTCTCTCTCCATTTCTATCTGAGCTTCTCTCTCTTACTCTCTAGAGCAACAATGGCTTCGGCTGCTTCTTCCCTTACAATCGCGTCTTCTTTCTCCGAACCACGGACTCAGATCCATTCCTCGAAGCGCTCGAATCTCCCTCTACAATATTCAATCCCGTACAAGGCCGTAACACGGAGCAGGACTAGAAGATTAGGACTCGTAGTGAGTTCCGTTTCAGCTCCCAACGTTGAGCTCCGTACTGGACCTGATGATCTCATTTCTACCCTCCTCTCTAAGGTTCCGTATCCCCGAATCTATAAGCCGATCTTGAGAATCTGACTTTATTTGAAAATTTCTACTCGTATAAGTGAAAACATAGAAGAGTATTTGATGAATATGGAGTGTGAACAGGTTGCGAATAGTGATGGAGGTGTGACTCTAAGCCCTGAGCAGCACAAGGAAGTGGCACAAGTGGCTGGAGAGCTTCAAAAGTACTGTGTCAAGGAGCCTGTTAAAAACCCTCTCATTTTCGGAGGTAATTAGTTTAAGAACCTAGCTGCATGCGATTGCTTCTTTCTTGAATGAAAATGTCAACTCGTGGATTCTGGTGCAGATTGGGAAGTGGTGTACTGTTCTAGACCGACCTCTCCTGGTGGAGGCTACAGAAGTGTGATAGGCCGTCTCTTCTTTAAAACGAAAGAGATGATACAAGCCATAGATGCTCCTGATATCGTTAGGAACAGAGTTTCCATCAATGCTTTTGGTTTTCTTGACGGAGATGTCTCCTTGACAGGTGACTATTGCAAAATTCACATATGCATTCAGACTCATCTTTTCCCATGTTTAATCTTCGACCTTTTGTGTGATCTTATTTTTAGGGAAGTTGAAAGCGTTGGACAGTGAGTGGGTGCAGGTGATATTTGAGCCTCCGGAAATCAAGGTAGGATCTTTGGAGTTCAAATACGGGTTTGAAAGCGAAGTGAAGCTTCGGATCACATATGTTGATGAGAAACTTAGACTGGGATTAGGCTCTAAAGGATCATTGTTCGTCTTTAGGAGGCGTCAATAATATATGTTTCTCCCTCGTGCATCAATCAATGCAATTCACTACAGACAAAAAAGGAAACAACATATGGGGTCCTGTGAGAGTATGATGGTCAAAATCCACAATGCTGTGTACACAAATGGTGTTTTAGATAGAACTTTGTTGTAATGTAAACTTCATTTTAAGAGTGTCTCACTTCAGATGAGTGGTTGAGGAAGGTACTGGTGAACTTCAACGTCTTTTCACAAAGTACTACTATAGCCACAAAGAAAGATAAATGACTTAGCAGCCTCTATGTTCAAATTCAAAACCTCCCACGAAAATCTGAATCACCCTAAAACACCATGTACAGAATCAGAGCTGCCACACCTGTGAGGACCAAAGCATACATGAGTAATAATGCTTTAAAATATGCATAAAGATACATGTTTACTCTAAAACATACATAACGATATACAGATGTAAATTATGAAGTTTTGTTTAATTACCACAAGCCTGGATGATTTCATTACAATCTACACACGTCCTCTTCCCCGCCTATGTCCTCGCCCTCTACCTCTTCCTCTTCCTCCTCTTCCTCTTCCATGACCAAAGTTATCGTCTGGTCTTCCGTAATCAAACATATTCATTCTTATATCCGCTGCCCCGGTTCCATGCACCTCCTGTTCCTATACAGAAAATTACAATCACAGTTCCCTCATTGTAACCATGTCTGTTTGAATGGTCCCAACAGACATTGAAAGCCATAAATGGTGTGCCAATCAAAATAATGGTCTGGTTAATTAATTAAATGGCCAATTAAGCACACAGAAGACGGATCATAGATTCATAGGGATAATCAAGATTCAAGGTTGTTGTGACTCACATAAGATTCTTCCAGATCAAACTGATTCTGAAGCTGCCATGCAAGATCTTCATCGCGGGTAGTGTCGCTCGGATGGTCAGCTGTTGGAAGAACTCCCCTGCCAGTATTCCTCTTTTCCCACTCATCTAGTGTAAATACTGCAGAGTCTTCTTCTTCCCTCCCCCTCCCTCTACCTCTACCTCTACCTCTACCTCTTCTTCCTTGGTATTGCTGGTCATTTGAACTTGAATGTTTCATCTTCTCGAGAAGTATCTGCGCAGCCGCTTGGTTCTGTAAAGGAACAGCTTCCACCACTGCAACATGGGAGATGTTGTTTGGCCTTATAGGGATGAACAATAGATATCTGATACCTCATCTCTAAGGTTTCAATGCAATTGCCAGATGAAAATGCCAAACTAATTTAACGCATCATAATGTTCTGCTGTGCAATGAGCTTTTGATCTAGAACGAGGAGGGAAAAAGATGATGGCAAACCTTGTTTAGGTCGTGTATCGGAACTGCTTGGCTTTTCCTGATTTTCGACTTTGACAGATATTTTTGGATCAGAATCTGCAGGATTCCTCTGTATATTCTTATCTGTGCCTCTTTTGTTCCCATCAACTTCACTACTTTCACCTCTTTCTACACCAGCGTGTTTTACAGAGCTTTCTGCAGCAGTAGTTACAATGTTCCTAGAAGTCGTCCTGTTGTAATCTGTCAACCATCAAACATATGCTGACAAGTCAATTTTTCTGATGCATTGGCCAAACTTCCATCACAAAACTTGATGTAAGCCCACACAAAGGATGAACAATTCAATAGAACATCATTTTACCACAATGGAAATGCATTCACTCAAGTTTAAGTATTGAAACAATGGAGATGCAACAGAGCCAAAGTTGGATAACAAGACAAAGGGAAAATATAGATCAGAACTCTACATGACTCATCATTGGTTACATAAACGGATACATTGGGATTTTGGAGCTCAGGTCAAATTACTAATATGTTTATGCTAAAGTGCATGTAGGTGGAGTAAGTCCTTGAAGCAGTCAGTGCATAGACAAGACATCTTTTACATATTTATTTGTTAGCAAAGATTGGCCAGCCGTTCCAAAGTGAACCAAATATGCGACAAACTACTAGAAGAAAATTAAATGAAAATGAGGAGAATAGGAAAAAATTTCTTACCCCGGTGATGGGAACCTGTTCGAATCTGCAACTCCTCAAATGGAGGAGGGCCAACACCAGCTTTGCTTTCCTGAGATCGAGCCAAATTAGCGTATTTTTTCTTCATCTGCCATTCTTCAGTGAGTGATTGCACATAACCGCCCAATACAGTCACCTCTTTCGGAGTCAAACATACTAAACCGTCACGTATCACAGCCTTATTTTCTAGACGGACCTGCCAACGAGACAGTACAAAATTTTAACAATACAAAATGATTTAGGATTTCCATAAGATATGTGCACTAGCTTCAATCCTAGAATAAATGAGTGAAAAACACAATATGAATCTGTCAATTAATTCATATTAACTTAGATCTTAATCCAAACTATTATATATTTGCATGAGACTTCGAGAAACATAGAAAAGAAGAATTTGAATTAGATTGATTTGGAACTACCTTAGTACCAGGAGTTACATCATTGTTAATCGATGGTATATGAGAGTACTCAAGCGCGGATATCTCGGTCTTGCCATCAGTCAGAGCGAATTTTAGCACTCGTTTACCAGTCGAACTTCCCAAAAATTCCTCTGCGCTACTTCTTGTAACATCCCTAACAGAACTTATCTATGTTCACAAAAGAAAACCATTGAAAACATATTAACACTAGGAATACTCAACAGCATGAATCAACTGCTACAAAATCTACGATTCTGAAACTTTTACATACAAACTACTTTAAATCTAAGTATAGCAGTAAGAGTGACTTATTGAATTAGCCAAAACCTAATAATAAGAATGCCAATTTTATTACTGTCTTTAGCTGATTGAAGCAATGTACCTGGAGAACTTTGGGGCCTTGAAGATGAGAACACCTGCGTAACTCGGTCGGGTCTGGGAGGGACTTACCTCCGATTAACTTAATATCCATGTTAAGCAGCTCCGCCTCCACTGACTCCACGACCGCGCCTGTTTGATTACCGGCGCCGATCAAGGAAGCGATTTCAGTGACCAGAGATTTCAAGTATTCGACGTCTCTGAAGCACCAGCCCCGGCTAGTCAGGGCATTTATCACGACGGTGTGGGTGTGGCCGCCGGCGGAGGAGCTTGATGTTCCCTCCATTGCTTCGATGCTTTAGTCGCGCTAAACCGATTGTGGGATGCGCCAGAGAAGTACCGAGGTTTTAATTTGGAGAATTGATTTAACTTTCTTATGGCCAATATCGGGTTAAACCAAAAATTATTAGTTCGTATAAAAATTAGTTAGATTACAGTAATTAACTTTTGTTTGATCCAAAAAAAAAAAAAAGTTAAATTAACTTAATGTATAAATTGAATTTTGCAGGTCATTAGTACATGTAACTGTTATGGTCATAATTTCATACATGAATTCATTTTCTTTTTCTCCATATCTTACATGCAAATAAGCAAAATACATTTTCTTTTTCTAATGGTTTAAGTTAGAGGTTTTGAATTCAAGAATTTCACATTATAAAATGAACAAACTACTGTACTATTCGCTAATGATATTTTTGGCATAATATTAGAAAGTTAACTATTTGAATCTTTGATCAATAAACAGCAACACTTTTAACAGTAAACATGCAAAGTAATTCGAAAATGTCTTATTAAAAAGGTGTTTTCCGGTTTCGTTTAGTGGGCCTAATGGCCCATATGTAAATTTCGACAGTTATGACCTTTAAGTTCTAAAGTACCTGCTTTCCTTGTTGAATTCCGACCAAAGTGTGTCGTTATGACGATGGACGATGGTAACTCCGTCTACGTCGGCGGCCTCCCTTACGACATCACCGAGGAGGCTGTCCGCCGTGTCTTCTCCATTTACGGCACTGTTCTCACCGTTAAGGTCAATTCTCTCTTCCCGTTGTTTGCTCCAATATCCAAATTTAGGTTTCTTAATTAGGATGATTCAAATTCGTTTCGTGATTTGAAATTCCAATCTTATGGGATGATCTTAGAGATAAGGTTTAGTAGATATGAATATGTACAAAGACTGACAAAGTGATTTTGATAACTTCCATGTTCCTAGTTGATATCTTACATGTGAGCTAGTCAGCGTGTATATTGACAAATTTGTTATTTTTGGGAATTCAGATTGTCAATGACCGGAGTGTAAGAGGGAAATGCTATGGCTTTGTTACGTTTTCAAACCGTCGATCGGCTGATGATGCTATTGAAGACATGGATGGAAAAGTATGGTTCTTGATCTTTTGTTTTTTCTTGGAAAAGAACGAAATTTAAGAGTTTTGCTGCGAAAGTTTTTTTTTTCTTTCTATTATCATGTATGGTGTATTTATATTGTTGACGGTATTGAGCTCGTAATCAGAGTATTGGTGGGCGTGCAGTGCGTGTGAATGATGTGACAACAAGAGGTGGAAGAATGAATCCAGGTCCTGGGCGGTTACAACCACACGGTGGCTGGGATAGAAGCCCCGATAGGAGAAGTAATGGTAATTATGACAGGGATCGGTATAGTGATAGGTCCCGAGAACGGGAAAGGTCTCAGGATAGGAGAAAGGAGCACCGCTACACAGAGAAGGAAAGAGCTTATGAGCATTCACATGATTTTGAGAGGAGGAATGATCATGATTTGCTAAATAGAAATAGTTACAAGGAAAGAGTTTTCGAAGGTGATGAAGGAGATTGGCGTGGGGATAGGTCTTTTGGGGATAATGGTAGGGGAATCAATGGGACCACTGCTCACGAAGGAAGGGGCCAAGAAACAAAAAGAGACGATAGGTATACATTTGGTGAATATCATATAGTTGTAGACTTCACATTGGCCGTTTAACTTTTAGATATAGGATTTCAAACTTTTAGCGTTCCTCCTGTTTCTTTGAACTGTGACATTCGTTTTTCCTGTAAAATTGGTCTGCTAGTTTGAATGAGTCAAGACTAGGATGCTAGTGTAGAATATAGTCACGCCGCTCAACCAAATCATGGTTAAGTCTGATAAATTATCGTCGATAAACACGAATGCAGAAGGTTTAGTGTAATGGATTTGAAGAAATTTCTTGCTCTTGTTGGCTTTGTGCATGTTATGTTTGAGGAATGTTTTGGCTTGCTTTGGTTTTGTTGAGATGTCTAAAATCCTTGTGTGTTTTTATTGATCGACAGTACCATTCTTGATGATGGGCGTGGCAGAGATCGCTTCTCTAATTCAAGTGGAGATCACAGTTTGCAGGTAAAGATGATGGTTTTTAGCCATGTAGTGTTTGCATAGTTCATTTTAAATCTTGCTTCTTTTTGTACAGGTGAAAGAAGATCTGGAAGCGCTGATTAAGATGCGTGAGGCACTTCAAGATGAGGTAGGCGGTCGTTTATCTGTCCATATAGGCTGTTGGTAGATTTATATTACATATTCATGAGCAATCGGAACATTTATGGGCTAGTTTCGCATTTAAGGTGGTGGTGATGGAAGAGAGATTGGATGAGAAAGAAGTAGTGTGCTCAGAGCTACAAAAAAAGTCTAAGGTATGTGTCTTCGATATCTTACAAATCCGAAAGTTTTGACTATGGATTTGTTCTCATTTAAAATGGTCAAGACAGAGATTAGAAGATTTGTTGATCAATGAAAAGAAATTGGTTGCACAACGCCGAAAAGAATTGGCAAAGGTAAACATAGGTTCTGTTCCTGTTTTCAAACTTAGTTGTTGACTACGTTTGATATTTGCTCTATGTTTGTGGTAGCTACATAAATCATTTTCAAGGGTTAGAGAGTGCACGGACAACCTGAAAGACTGTGAACAAGAACTCCAGGTTAGTTTCTTAATTTCCACATTCTTGTGATTGCCTTTGCATCAAGATTAGGCCTAAGCGAAGCAAGTCTCTATCCTTTTCCCGCAGTCGCTTGTTAATTCAGCAGCTAGAGAAGGCGCGGCTGGTGCTGATGAAGGACTGGGACACGGGTATGCGTAACAAGGTCACCCGCATGTATGATCTGTTCTGTCTAAAGTGTAGATTTGATATGCCTTCTCTTTGTGACTTCACTGAGTTTTTTTTCAAGTCGAGCTACACGAATTTGATACATATCTGCTTATGTTTTAGCAAATATGTATTCATTATGTATTATTATCATACGAACATGAACTAAATAATGTTTTCACGTGCTACTGAAACCAAACAATTACCATACAAAGTGTGGAAGTAAAGTCTCAAAGCTTTGTAAGAGAACAAGTCCTAGATATCTAATATTCAGTGTGGATTCTAAAACATAGATAATCAGAGTAATGGGATAATAAAATCATTCGAAAATGAAATGCCATTATTTTAGTGGATGAAGTTGACATATTCTTTACTAATATAAAGATGCTTGGCTATTGTTAAAATGTTATAAAATGAGAGAGAGAAAAAAGACAGTTAAATTATTCAGGTCGAAGCAGCCATCATCTCCACCGTCCATTACTCGTAAGCCGAAGGTTTTGCTCTTTTTTATCCAATTATCCATTGACCTATCGTTGCTTGTAAAGCCAAGTTAGCCAACCAACACTCAAATCATCATTATACATGACGATCTTTAAAACAACCCCATTTAAGATACTCTATATGTTTGTCTTCTCATAAATTTGATTATAGTAATATTAAGGCATGATCCATTATTCATAATATCCTCCTTTAAGGTATGATTCAATATTCATAATATCCTTCAAGGCATGATTCGTACATCTTATGGCAAACCAGTAGCAGTAATAGCGTAAGCAAATGTGAATTCTTCATGTTGCAAGACTCTAGTGGAATTCCACGTTTCTCCTTGTTCTCTTGATGATGTCAAAATCGACGTGGATACTTATGATTATTGAAAGAGTATTTAGGTCACTTCATTAACGGAAAATGTACGTTTTAGGAATCATAAAGTTTATATGTGACTATACTTTATAGAAATAGAAGAAGAAAAAAAGGATTGTTTTGGGTCAATCAAGTTGATATAGGCATGTGCATGATACAAGTGATTTAGTAGGTCATGCCCATGCCCATAACTACTTTACTGTATTTTTCCCTTAACCTCAAGTAAAAAAATGGTATATGAAAACTTCATTTAGTCAAAATCTAATTAACTTTTCTTTGACCTAACAAGTGAACTTAAAATGTTTTTATATTCCCACCACAAATTTATATTTTGTTATATCGCTAGCTCTTCTATATATATAACCTACAACATTGAAGTTGATCCTATCAACTCAAAAACACCCCTCCAAAAAATACTAAGAAATGGAAAAAAGCCAAAGATGTAACAAAGACACAAACACTAACATTGGCTTTTGCCTTCTTCCTTCTGAACTCATACAAAACATTTTGTTCCATCTTTGTATACCTGAGATCATCCGAATGAAACTACTCAATAAGTTTGTTTTGACCACAATCTCTGACCGGAGTTTCATCCGACAGCTCAACGATGGATCGCAGAGAGACACGTGGATTTTCGTCTACACGAGGCGTTGGCGCCGTGACAACGGTGTGCTTCACGGATTCTCGGACCGATCCGTACGGTGGTTCAAGATTCCTGTGGCTGAAATTCTCGCCGGGGAGATTCGTCCCGGCGAAGATTTATATTTACTAACAGCTAGTGGTAATTTCCTTCTCTTTGCCTCAAATACTCATAGTGGAATCATAGCCGTTGATTTGGTGGGCAAGATCGTTACAAGAATCAGCTCATGTCCGTTAGGTCCACGTGGAACTTCGTCTTGGAGACGATCCGGTATGAAGCTAGTGCCTGATCCATCAAGTCCTAGTCATTTCCGGTTTATGTTCGCTGAGATGGTCAATAACCGACCGGTTCTATTTACTTATCATTCTAACACAGCCACGTGGCATACTAATGAAGAAACAGAGGATACAACAATTTGGGTTTTTAAGAAAAATAGAAATGTATTATTCTTAAGCTTATCAAATCGACCTCACGAGAGTACTGTGATGAGCGTTGACGATGATGGTTCGATGATAAACCGGTTTCCGGCCATTTTGCGGCCGAGGATAAACCAAGACGCGATCAGACAATGCCCGTCGAGTGTCGGATTCAGCAGGAACGATCTAGAGAGTCAATTGTTGCATATACATGGAGATGAATACAAAGTGGTTATTAGGTTAGACACAGTAGATAATTCAAAGATGAAGAAAATGATGAAGAGTTTAGAGGTTTGGGAAATAAGCTCAAATGGTGAGAAGTGGGAGTTAGTGGCAAGGGCACCAAGTGAAGTGATCAGCAACAAGCCTTGTGGTGTGATGATGGGATGCTTAGAGAGGAGATTAGGGGTGATTAGAGTGGCTCTAATGACGAATCATGAAGGTCTATGGAATATAATTTGGTTGGATTATGACAAGCAGAAGGATAAGTGGGAGTGGGTTCCACTACCTGATTGTAGATTCTTGCAAGGCTCAAATATGGCCGGGATTAGTTTCTCCTCTGGCCTCACCTTGTCTTTGTAAAGTTTTTAATATTTAAATGTCGGTATCAATCATACGACCATACATTTCTTTTTTTGTTGGTTATATGATTGTAGGGATTAATAAATGAATTTCACGAGGGACAGTGTCATGACTCATGCTTGATTATTTAAGTCAACCACGGATGCAAACTCTAGAAAAATAATTGAATCACGGGCTTAGAAGAAGACAAGTGGAATATAATTGGAAAGAAAATATACAATATGTTATATTCCAGTGGATGTATTTTTTTTGTCCGGGGTATGGATCAACCGGTAGAAACATACCCAAAATATAAACCTCAAAATTAGATCTTTTTAGCTAAAACTAAGAATGTTCTGATGATTGAACCAATGTCATTCTATAAATGTAATAGATACTAAAAAAAAAAAAAACTCAAAAGAAACAAACAACATATGTGAACCAGCGTTGTCGTGCACAAAAATGGAGATCCAGTCAGATTGCGTCCAACACACGACCACAACCTTTCTTTTAGCAAAGAGTTTTTACGCTGGCCACGTGGATCTGAAGCACATTGCTCTTGCGTGTAAGTCACTAATAAGACACTAATAAACTAAAGTGCACAAACTTATGCGAAGTGCACGCAGCCTATAGGTCAAAGTGTAAAAATGATATGAAAAAAAAAAAAATCACGTTTAAAAACATACTAATTCGCCTATAATTCTCATTTTTTTTCTTGGGTTTGGTATGTGTGTGTGCTCGTTTTCAACACAAGCAACTCTAGTGGGTAGAGGAACTCATCTTTAAAAGCTAGCTTGAGGATGCTCTTTGAACTTATAATTATAAAACCATTTATTATTCCTTATGCTTTCTAATGTGAGATAGCAAAAAGGTTGGCCAATTTAAGAATAAGAGAGTGACATCATTTTCACCCCTTCGGAACAATCCGCATAAAATGTTGTGGAGATCTTCCGCTGATCGATCATACAATCCTTGCCTTCAACTAGCACTTGTAACGGAGCTAAGTACATTGTTTACTGTCGCTCGATCACTAAGCATTTCAGGTTCTACGGTGCTTTCATAGCTTAAAAGTCAATGAAAGGGTTGCAATTATAAAATGCCGTGACACATTCAAATGCTCTAAATCTACAAAAATCAATATATACCTGGCTCACCTGTCTCGACAGTTATGTTTCAACTGAATGGATTTAGTAAACTGACAAAATTGTAGTACAGCTGAACGCATGAGACTCCAACTACTAATAGGCAGGCAGAAAAATCATTCCTGTTACTGTTCTTTCACATTTGCATAAGATCAAAACAACAACACAACACCATCTTTTGTGCATCACTAAAATCTTGTAACACAGGGAACAGAAACTGATTTTGTATAAATGGATATGAGGATAAGGGGAAACAACAGAGTTTACAAAATTTAATACTATTAGAGGCCAGAAACCAGAAAAAGGTGTTCACTTTTACTAGAAACCTCTTTAAATGTTAAAAAAAAAAGGCTAAGATATTCAAAATCCGAAATCAATTGCTACACACCTGAAACAGGCTGCAAAACAATGACACTTCTCTCATACAACAGAAGCTAGTTTTCCCGGATTCAACGGCGACAACTCTTCATCTTCCTCGCCCTTCTCGCTGTCTTTCTCGCTGACCTTCTCGGTGGGTTTATCCAATTTGACAGACTGCTGATAACCAACTCCTCCACAGATAGTAAATAGTAGACAAACCAAACCAACAGGAGTGGCATGCTTATCCCAAATCAAAACATTGATGACAACAGTCAAGAACTTGTTAACAACACCAGTGACAGTAAAAGCAGTAGCAGAGATAGCATTCCTAGCAGCAAATCCAAAGTAGCTGATAAGGAAACCAAACACACACGACGCAGCCACAGCGGAAAACGCATAAGGCTCAAACAAATTCCCTCGATTCTCACCCAACGCAGCGAAAACATCGGTGTATTCTCCAGTAAGAAACCAGAATATCGGTGCTATCATCAAAGACAATAGATTGTTGTAGAGAACCAATCCCCAAATGTTCAATTTAATACTTGACACCATATGCTTAATGTAAACCATTTCAGTAGTAATGGTAACAAGATAAGCCAAAGCCCAGGAATAAGCCGTGAGAGTAAAAGACGAGTCAGTTGCAACATACCCAACAGCACCAGCGAGGATCACGAATAGAGACAAAAACGTAAGCCTTGAAGGTAAAGGCTGACTACGAAACACAGTATCAGCGATCGCGACTAAGAGCGGCGTTAGAGATCGGAAGACAATGAAAGTATCGACATTAGCGTGACGGAGGAGGTTTGTGTTTGTGAAGATGGCGAGGTAGAAGACGATAGCTGCAGGGAGAAATTTCTTAGCAGTGTCCCATGTGAATGGATCGTGATTGATAAGCCCTGATTTGCCGAGAAGCCAGACGGCGACGGTGCAGGTTAGGTATTGGAGAGCTGTGAGAAGACCTGGGTAGTTGAAGTATGTGATTGCTAATTTGTTGATGACGGCGAGGAGGCTTGAGCAGAGTGCGTACCCGATTACGAGACTGCTTGTTGTTAATTGTTTGCTTGAATCGAATCGAGAGGACGACATTGTTTGGGGGAGGTTTTTTGGGAGATCCAGATCGGAGAAGATGAAGAAGAGGATTTGGATTTGGGATCTGGATCGGATTTAGAGACTAATTAGAGGAAGGCGACGACTTCTCTCATCAGTGTCTTATCGTACGGGACAATTTTTTTTGCCTGTAATCTTTTTAGTCACTTTGCGTTTAATTGTCGTGTTAATTTTGGTCAAATCAACATTAAGGGAAGAAAATTAAACAATTTGATTTTTGTGTATGTAGAGATTTTTTGTTTGTTTGCAGAGAAATTTTGTATTTGGACATAAACTAGTCAATGCAATAATTAGGCAAATAATTGAGATTGCATGTTGTCATTGTTGAGATTCACTCTCTTTCTCTTTATTTTTTCAACTTTTAATTTTGCTTCTAATTTTTGTTTGATTATATCTATCTCTCTTCCTAAAAAGTAAATCATCTCATATAATTAAAAAAGTTTCTTGATATGTTGAATTTTAAAATCACCACAAATTATTTGACCAAATAGTAAATTTTTAATAAATAAAACGTAAATAACATTTTGAATTATTTTTTAGAGAAAATGGTAGGTTTATCGAGTATGAAAATGTTATATGATTGTGATTGTACCATATTAATTTTGATGAAAACTTTTAGTAACAAGATTCGACAATTTCCAGCCAAAAATTCATAACGTTACAAATTTTTGCGTTAAAACTATTAGATTAACGATATGTGCTAAACCAACGCTTAAATAGACATAATAAATCCAAAATATGCGTTACTGGGTAATGTTGAAACATGTTGTTGAGCCATCAGGCATCAACTACAATAAAATGTTATTCAAATCTTTGATCTAGTAATAAAACATGTTTATGATGTCTATTAAGTAAGGTTTAACGAACATAAAACACAATTATTCGGAGTGTTTCAAATTTTCAATTATATCCCTCGACAACTCTCTTCTTACCATTTCAACCACATGAGTTTGAACTAAAAAAGGTAAAACTTAAATTAACAAGCAGAACTTTTTATCTCTAAGATGGTTCCAACGGCTTAAATGGAGCTTTAGCCACCAAAAGCGCCAGGCCCAGCAGCTAGAGTGCTAGACGAAGCCTCTGAGAAAACGTAGACTCGAGGAAAGACTCTAAATGAACTAGAAGGTTACGACACAATAAAAAAGAATATTTCTATTGTTGAGTTAAGGGAATATATACAAAGTAACCATGAATTCAAAAAGAATATACAAACTAACCATGAGGTACAGTAACATGTCCGGAACATGTCGGAATGCTTGTGAAATTACGTAAGTGTCCTTTGTAACACGTTTTTTTCTCGAATTACATGTTATAACGTAATATAGATCTTTTTATCATGTTATTTTCTCGTATTACACATTATTTATAAAAAGCACATGGTATTTCTTGAAAAAACATTCTATTTAGTTTAATATCTCTCTTTATCATGTTATTTTATAGTAATACATGTTTTTTCTTTAGATTACATGTGATTTCTTTAAAAAAAGATTCTTATTTTGTAATATTACACGGTTTTTATTAAGATCACATGTAATTTTTTTTAAAAAAGATTTTTTTCAGGTTAGATTTTTCCATAACAATGTTTTTTCTTAAAAAATCACTATATTTTTCCAAATATCATGTATTTCAGTTTAATATAACATGTGAACTTTAAATGTTACATGCTATTTTGCAAAATCTCACGAAATTGTCTTGCATACGGTTGAACTTGCAACAAACGAAGGATGATTTCGTTATTTCACTTCTTCTGACAAGGTGGGACCATGGCTATTTTGCAACAAAAAATTTTCTCTCTGCTATTTACTTAATTTGTGTGTCTAATTTGGCTATTCAGTAATAATTCCCTTTCCTTTTTATCCCTTTTTATTAATTTAGGTGAAATAATGCTTTGCGTGAGGGTTTCTGAGATTCTGATCGAAGAAAATTAATCTCTCTCTCCTTCTTCTTCTTCTTCTTCTTCTTATTCTTACTAAAGATCTATCTCTTCGATAATTTGCTGTAATCACTGAGACAATGGCAGCCGTAGGAGTTGATTCGAGGCGTCCTGAGACAGCGATGGAGGAAACCTGTAACGTGAAAGGAGCGGCGGCGAAACAAGGGGAAGGGCTTAAGCAGTACTATCTCCAGCACATCCATGAGCTCCAGCGCCAGCTCCGCCAGAAGACTAATAACCTCAATCGCCTTGAAGCTCAGAGGAATGAACTCAATTCCAGAGGTTTCTTCTTCCTTCTTTAACCCTAATTTCTCTGCAAAATTGGATCTTTTAATCATCTTGTTGTGTTTAGTAAGTTTGGATTCTGTGATAGGGCTTTCGATTTCGTTCTCCTTGGAGCTGATTGTTTTCAAATTTCAAAATTGATGTGGTGATTGTGTTGGGATTGAGGGTCTCAAATCTGGAAGTGATTGGGTGATGAAGTTGTGTTTTTCTTAGCCTTGATTTTTAGTAACATTAACTTACCTTGTTTAGATTTCTTGATTCTGTCTTCTAGATGATTCTTTAGCAAATTATGTGAGCTATCAACTGCAAAAAGTGCATGGCTTTTTTCAGGAAATCCTAGTTCTTTCTTCTCTCTTAATTGAGTAATATATACTCATGGAAGGAGTCCATATAAGGAGTCATTTCCACTACTCCATGTTATTAAAAGTTATAGAACAGCCTCTGTTATCATCATGATCATCATCGTATTTATGATTGAAAGCTTTTCTACTAATCTTTATAATTTTTAAGTTAATTCTAAATCTCAAACCTCTTTGACATTATAATTCTTTCTAAATTGAACAGTAAGAATGCTCAGAGAAGAGTTGCAGCTGCTTCAAGAACCTGGGTCCTATGTGGGGGAAGTGGTAAAAGTGATGGGAAAGAACAAGGTCTTGGTTAAGGTATGAATCTTTTTATTATATTGTTTAGGATTAACCTGGCTTTGTATTTCTACGAACATAGTTGTCAATAAGGCTTACACTCCCATTTTCCAGGTTCATCCAGAGGGGAAGTATGTTGTTGATATTGATAAAAGTATAGATATAACGAAAATCACTCCATCAACGAGAGTTGCTCTTCGTAACGATAGCTATGTCCTCCACCTGGTCTTGCCAAGTAAAGTAGATCCGCTGGTTAACCTTATGAAAGTTGAAAAGGTTCCAGACTCCACATATGACATGATTGGTGGTCTTGACCAGCAAATTAAGGAAATAAAAGAGGTATGCCTAGTGAAAGAAAAAACAAAACTAAATGTCACTTTTTTATTGGCTATCCCCTCTGTTGTTCCATCCTTTTAATGTTTATATAATCTCTATATCTTTTCTGGTTTATCAGGTCATTGAGCTGCCAATCAAGCATCCTGAATTGTTTGAGTCTCTTGGAATTGCGCAGCCAAAGGTACACTTGAATTTCAAAGCTTCTCTATATTGTGACGATGCTAAGTGGATTAGAAATGATTTCATTTCCCTCTCTTTCTAGGGTGTGTTGTTATATGGTCCACCTGGAACTGGGAAGACACTTTTGGCTCGGGCTGTTGCACATCACACTGACTGTACTTTCATCAGAGTTTCTGGTTCAGAGCTGGTCCAGAAATACATTGGAGAAGGTTCTAGGATGGTCAGAGAACTTTTTGTGATGGCAAGGTTTGTATATCCTAGTCCCTATTTGAAATTTCAAGCATGGTAATAGTAATTGGTAAGAAAAGATGGAACTGTTGATAAGATACATCTTTTATCATGTCCGCCATTAGTAGCTGAAATAGACATGTGATGCTAAATTAAACGAGGAAAGTGTTCTTTGTTGCTATTATGAATATGGTTTCGCGGTGTAGACAATCTCAAGTGGATGAATATTATTCTATAAAGTATCCTTTCTCATAAGGCCTACCATTTAGGCCACAGTACGAAGTATCATGTATGGAGCCGACTATAGATGAGATGATTGTGTTGAAAAGACTTTTTCCAGTTGGCTTACCTTTCTAGTGCCACCACTTCGTGGTTTTCAGGGAGCATGCACCATCAATCATCTTCATGGATGAAATCGATAGTATTGGGTCTGCTCGTATGGAATCTGGAAGTGGAAATGGTGACAGTGAGGTGCAAAGGACTATGCTTGAGCTTCTCAATCAACTTGATGGATTTGAAGCGTCAAACAAAATCAAGGTACGTGTCAAGTTGTAAAGGAAAAAAACAATGAAGCTGAATAGGATGAGTCCATGTTATTGTAGTCTGAATTTGCCAACATACTCAATTTATTCTCTGAAATGACTGTTGCAGGTTTTGATGGCAACAAATCGTATTGATATTCTGGATCAAGCTCTTCTCAGGCCTGGAAGGATTGATAGGAAAATTGAATTCCCTAATCCTAATGAAGAGGTAATACTTGTGCTCTTAGAAAATGATATTAGAAGTAACTTTAACCTTGAGGTAGCAACTTTGCTCTGTTGCTTTAGGTGATATGAGTACAGAATTTCGCCAAAGTAGGCACCTTATTTAGTATTTAGACTACATCATTTACTGCATGAAATACTTTTCTTTATCTTCATGCTCATTAAGGCAGGATGGTTTGGCTAATGCATGTTTCCAAAATATGTTGCAGTCCCGTTTTGATATCTTAAAGATACACTCGAGGAAAATGAATTTGATGCGTGGAATCGATCTGAAAAAGATTGCAGAGAAGATGAATGGTGCTTCAGGTGCTGAGCTGAAGGTGAAGTGTTTCTATTCCTCTGTTTCTCTCTTACTCTCTCTACTGTTTGCCTCTCTCTTATGTTTTTGGTTGTTACGGTCAGGCTGTGTGCACGGAGGCGGGCATGTTTGCGCTGCGGGAGAGGAGAGTTCACGTGACACAAGAAGACTTTGAGATGGCGGTGGCGAAGGTAATGAAGAAAGACACAGAGAAGAACATGTCTCTGCGTAAGCTCTGGAAGTAGGAATCTCTTTGTTGTGTAATTTCAAGTCAATGGAAAGGCACAGTTTCATTTCATACCTGAGAAATTAGAGTTTCTTTACTTTACTGTTTGTTGTTTGGTTCTGAAACCTTTTTTTCGGTTGGCTCATTAAACATTTAAAAACAAAGTTTTTACTACCTAAACACGAGTTTATCTAAATGGTCTTTAAGCAGAACATTCAGATTTTATAGTTTTTCTTGTCCAAATCAGTCGTATTCGATTAGAGAGAAAAGCCTATAAAGTTGTATCTCCTGTCTCCTGAGTCCTGAGTCCTGATACGAAGAAAGACTAATCACAACACAGACTGTCTAATGAATTTGCCAATTTGGTTTATTCGGTGTGGTTTAGTTTGGTTACCCAATAAAGTTTTGGTATAGAATTGTGGTTTTGGAATATAACAAAACCAAACGGCTGATAAATATTCGGTTAATTTTGGGTCGTTTCGGTTTTCCAATTGCGGTATTTTTGTGTCGACCCCAAATTTTTTTTTTTCCGTCAAATAAAATAATATTAAATTGAACTTAAAAAAAAAAGATGTCTTGTTGGATAATCCAAGGTTCTGTTCTATATAGGGATCCCGTTCTATATAGTAGGGTTTATTTGCTAATGATCTTGGTCTCTGTGATCTATCTTTGAATCTCAAAAGCATACTAAAGAGAGAGATCTGTTTCGATAATTTGCTGCAATCACCGTGTTAATGGCGGCCGTTGGAGTGGAGGCGAGGCCTCCTGTGACAACGATGGAGGAAACCTGCAACGTCAAGGGAGCGGCGGCGAAACAAGGGGAAGGGCTTAAGCAGTACTATCTCCAGCATATCCATGAGCTCCAGCGTCTGCTCCGACAAAAGACGAACAACCTTAATCGCCTTGAAGCTCAGAGGAATGAACTCAATTCTAGAGGTCTCTTTTTCCTTCCTTAACTCTAATTTCCATGGAATTTCTCTGCAAAATTGGATCTTTTGGTCATCTGCTTGGTTTAGTAATTTCGGATTCCATGTTAGGGCTTTCGATTTCGTTCTTCTTGGAGCTGGGTGCTTTAAATTTCTAAATTGTTGTGGTGATGATTTGGATTGAGGATTTCCGATCTGGAAGTGGTTGGTAGCTATAGGATCTATTCCAGTATTGGATCTACACCACGCTTCCATTATGTTGAACCTTGATTTTTAGCATCACTAAGTCACCTTATTCAGATTTATCGATTCTGTTTGTGTTGAGTATGTATCAGCTTCTGTCAATAGTTGATTGTTTAGCAAAGTATCTAGTGACTGTGGTGAGGATGAGACATAATTGATCAAATCGATGTATACTGCAGAACTATGACTTTCTTGTTTAGGAATATACTGCTAAATGTGATGATGAAAGTGCCATATTTTGACTTCTTATCATCTGCAAAAAAAAAAACAGAGTTGTTTCATGTGAATGTTGCTGTGGAAAATTCATGGCTGTTAGTATTGCTACATTGGTGGTTTCGACTATAGCCTTTTCTTGAAATCCTAGTCCTTTCTTAACTCTCATAATTGAGTAAATAAACTCCCGAAAGGAGTCATTTACATTAATCCATGATTTTACTTTTAGTAACACATTTAATATAGAACTGCTTGGTGTTCATATTCTTGTCATCATATGATCATGATCACATTTATACTTGAAGCTTGTCTTATTAGTCGTTATAGTATGTAGTTAATTCTAAATTTCAACCTCGTTGTCATTTTAAACTGAATAGTACGAATGCTCAGAGAAGAGTTGCAACTGCTTCAAGAACCTGGGTCCTATGTGGGGGAAGTGGTAAAGGTGATGGGAAAAAACAAGGTCTTGGTTAAGGTATGAATCTTTATATTTTATTATCTAGGTTTAGATTGGTTTTGAAATGTTTGCAATCATATGAACATATATAATAATACTTAAACTCCCATTTTTCAGGTTCATCCAGAGGGAAAGTATGTTGTCGATATTGACAAAAGTATAGACATAACGAAACTCACTCCATCAACGAGAGTAGCTCTCCGTAATGATAGTTATGTTCTCCACCTGGTTCTGCCAAGTAAGGTTGATCCCTTGGTTAACCTTATGAAAGTTGAGAAGGTTCCAGACTCCACATATGACATGATTGGTGGTCTTGACCAGCAAATCAAGGAAATAAAGGAGGTATGCCTAGTGAAAGAAAAAAACAAAACTAAATGACACTGATTTATCCCCTCTGTTGTTTCATGCTTTTAAATTTTATATAATATGAATATCTATATCTTTTCTGGTTTATCAGGTCATTGAGCTGCCAATCAAGCATCCTGAATTGTTTGAGTCTCTTGGAATTGCGCAGCCAAAGGTACACTTGAATTTCAAAGCTTCTTCTCTATATTGTGACGATGCTAAGTGGATTAGAAATAATTGCATCTGCCTCTCTTGCTAGGGTGTGTTGTTATACGGTCCACCTGGAACTGGGAAGACACTACTGGCTCGGGCTGTGGCACATCACACGGACTGTACTTTCATCAGAGTTTCTGGATCCGAGCTGGTACAGAAATACATTGGAGAAGGTTCTAGAATGGTCAGAGAACTTTTTGTGATGGCAAGGTTTGTATATGCTAGTCCCTTATTTGATAATTCAAGCATGGTAATATTGGTTGGTTGGAAAAGATGGAACTGTTTCTGTTTATCTTTTACATGTCCGTGCTTAATAGCTGAAGTGGACATGTGAAATTAAATAACTGTGTAAAGTGTTCTCTGTTTCTACTGTGAATATGGTTTCAACATGTAGATGATCTCAAGGATGATTATCTTCTCTGTCAGGATGCCTAGCATTTAGGCCACAGAACATGTACACATAGATGAGATGATTGTGTTGAAAAACACTTTTTTCTAGCTGGCTTACCTTCTTAGTACCGCTGGCTTATGGTTTTCAGGGAGCATGCACCATCAATCATCTTCATGGATGAAATCGATAGTATCGGATCTGCTCGTATGGAATCTGGAAGTGGAAATGGCGACAGTGAGGTGCAAAGGACTATGCTTGAGCTTCTCAATCAACTTGATGGATTCGAAGCGTCAAACAAAATCAAGGTACGCATTAAGTTGTGAAGGAAAATAATCATGAAGCTGAAAAGGATGAGTCTGAGGTATCGTAGTCTGAATTTTGCAGACAAACTTGTTAATTCTCTTAATTGACTGTTACAGGTTCTGATGGCGACAAATCGTATTGATATTCTGGATCAAGCTCTTCTCAGGCCTGGAAGGATTGATAGGAAAATTGAATTCCCTAATCCTAATGAAGAGGTAATGCTTGTGTTTCTTTGGAAATGATATTAGAAGTAACTTTATCCTTGAGGTAGCAACTTTGCTCTGTTTATTTTGGTGAAACATATTTCTTCTAAGGAGGCATCTTATTTAGTATTTAAGCTTTCATTTGCTGCATAAAATACTTTTCTTTATCTCCATATTATTGTACCCTAAATGAGGTAGGACGGTTTGACTGATGTATGTTTCCAAAATGTGTTGCAGTCACGTTTTGATATCTTGAAGATTCACTCGAGGAAAATGAATCTGATGCGTGGAATCGATCTGAAAAAGATTGCAGAGAAGATGAATGGTGCTTCAGGTGCTGAGCTGAAGGTAAAGTGTTTCTATTCCTCTGCGTCATCTTGTTCTCTCTACAATTTGTCTCTCTCATATGTTTTTGGTTATTATGGTCAGGCTGTGTGCACGGAGGCTGGTATGTTTGCGCTGCGGGAGAGGAGAGTACACGTGACACAGGAAGACTTTGAGATGGCGGTGGCCAAGGTAATGAAGAAAGACACAGAGAAGAACATGTCTCTGCGTAAGCTCTGGAAGTAGGAATGTCTTTGTTGTGTACTCAACTCTAAAGGAGAGCCAAAGATTGATTTCATTTAGGTTTCCTTTACTGTCTGTGGTTCTTTCTGAAACCTTTTCGGTTGGCGCTTTAACCTCCTGGAAACGAAGTTTGTACAACTAGTTTATATTCAAATGGTTGTTCCGCATAACAGCTTGCATTTACATTTTAAATTTATTCTTCTCCAAGATTGTTTGACAAAATAATCGTCATTGCTTTGTACCTGAGCTTCACCACCATCACTTCCGTCTACACCTGCTTCATTATCATTAACCGTAACCGCGCCGGATAAATTTAGATCTCTCGTTACAATTATCCCTTGTTAGAAAGCTTTTTGAGTGAACAGAATTGACTGATGGCGAGCAAACTAAATGTGTTTACTTTGGAAAAAATAAACTTGTACAATCGTAGTATTTCGATTTATAGTCAGTGGTGGTAAGAAACTAACTAAAAGAACTAAAGAAAATAGCTATACTGAATATAAATAGAAAAAGTGCTTATTTTATGAGAGTACAAAAAAAAACTGCTAAAAATAGCAGTTAAAAGAAAGAAAATCATGAAATATGTAAAAAATTACAATATAGTTTTTTTTTTTGTAATACACTTTGTAGTTTGTACATAGGTCGGTAAGATGGTAACTAATGACTGATTTGTAATGTATATTAATTTGTGAAATTGGTATCTTACAATTAATTCAGAAATTCAACCCATCTGGCAAGTGTCATAAATAATTTGAAAACTATCCGTTATGAACAATAAATAAATCATTATTGGTGAAAAAATGAGGTACAAATAAGATAAAGAAAATAATTTATTTATTTTGTCAAAACCAACCTGTATATAATGAATTTAAATTTCGAATTTGCTAATGGGAAATCTTACATTTTTTGAAAAAAGAAAAATCAATGCCTATGAATGAGTACGCGTGGACCTAAAGCTAGAAAAAGATCCAACGGTGGAGAAAGCTGCGTTAAAATTGCAGAAGAACGAAAAAGAAAGAATCCAACGGCCAATAGTGTAGCGTCAACTCAAAGCCAAACCCTCCCAAATTTCTCTTTTAAAAACCCCAATCTCTCTCTCCATCCATCTTCAATCTCCCTCTCGCCGTTTCGCTTCTTAACACCTCCGCCTGAATTAGCTCTCCTCTCTCGTTCTCGATTCCGAAAACATGGTAATTGTTCTCTTCGCTTTTTCTGATTTCTTCGTCTGTGTACCATCAGATTGCGTTTCTTGATCTAGGATTATCACCGTCTCAGATCTCACGAGATTTCGTCCATGTTCTTGTTTTCTAAATTCGTTGTGGATTATTTTTTCAGGCTCTACCTAACCAGCAAACCGTAGATTATCCAAGCTTCAAGCTCGTCATTGTTGGTGATGGAGGCACAGGTATACTCTTCGCCGTCATTATCCCTGAAACGCAATTGAACTTTTGATGAGATTCTTTTATAATCAGCACCGTTGTTTCCAGTGGCTCTATTGATGTTTAAGTATGGTAATGTGTACGATTGTTTTGCTAAACTAATGATTGCTTATGGTGGTTGTGCAGGGAAGACTACTTTTGTGAAGAGACATCTTACTGGAGAGTTTGAGAAGAAGTATGAACGTAAGTATTGCTTGTGGATGCACAATATCTATTCTTCATGTCTCTTAATTGATTCTGATGGTCGAGTCCTAATCTTGTTTTGTTGCAGCTACTATTGGTGTGGAGGTTCATCCATTAGATTTCTTCACAAACTGTGGCAAGATCCGTTTTTACTGCTGGGACACTGCTGGACAAGAGAAATTTGGTGGCCTAAGGGATGGATACTAGTAAGTGAAACCTTTACTTTCCCCTTGATGGGTTAATGTCTAGACTCTAGAGTCGATCTAGAGTATGCTTAATTTGGATTAGCTCTGTTTAGGGTTTGAAACTGGCTACTGATTAACCTGGAAGAATGTGTATAGGACTGGTATGTTATTGAAGTAATGCATAGTCTGGAATAGCTCTGGACAATGGGTTTGATTTGATATTCCATCTGGATATATAGCTAATCTATGATTTTATTGCAGCATCCATGGTCAATGTGCCATAATAATGTTTGACGTCACAGCAAGGCTCACATACAAGAACGTTCCGACATGGCACCGTGATCTCTGCAGGGTGTGTGAAAACATCCCGATTGTTCTGTGTGGGAACAAAGTTGATGTGAAGAACAGGCAAGTGAAGGCAAAGCAAGTTACATTCCACAGGAAGAAGAATCTGCAGTACTATGAGATATCGGCAAAGAGCAACTACAACTTTGAGAAGCCCTTCTTGTACCTTGCTAGAAAACTGGCTGGGGACCCAAACCTTCACTTTGTGGAGACACCAGCTCTTGCTCCACCAGAGGTTCACATTGACATTGCTGATCAGCAGAAGAACGAGGCCGAGCTCTTACAGGCTGCAGCTCAGCCACTCCCCGATGATGATGATGATGTCTTTGAGTAAATCTTCTAAAATGTCTGCTGTGGGAAGCTCTAGCTTGTTCCTTTTGGTGTTTTCTCTGTGTTGTTTTTGATGTTACATATAAATCAATCGGAGTCTTTCTTATAACAAAAATTAGGGAAATATTTTTGGATGGTTCTGTTGGTATCCAAAGCTAAGTTGTTTCTTCCCAAGAATATGAAGGTGATTGGAAAACTTGATTCTACCCAATTTTCTAGTATTTACCAGTTGATAGATTTCAGATGCCACTATTTAGCTTCTAGGTGATGTCATATAAACCTGGGAATTATTAGCTGCAACTAGTTCTTGTTGGGAGGAGATTGCGACATGTATAGCCTCTCTTTTGACATTCCGTCGAATTGATTCATCATCCATCGATTTCAAAGTGAATTCAGCAATTTTCTTCAACCGTGAGCTCTAAGACCAATTTTTTGCTAGTTTGAGCTTAAGAATTGATCCAATGTGTATATTAAATTTTGAAAATGTTGTTGGTATATATGTTTCCATTAAATTTCAAATTGAACCCATGTGCCATGAAATAATTAAAAATTTGAAACTATCCGTTACGAACAATATAATTCCTTATTGTTGAAATGTTAAAAACTCTTAATAAATAACTATACTACAAAATAAATAAAAAAATCAAAACTTTAAATACGATAAAGAAAATAAATTAATCAATTATTTATTTTGACAAAACCAATATAGGTTGAAAAAAAGATCCAACGGTGGAGAAAGCTGCGTAGATATTGAAGAGCCAAAAGAAGGAATCTAACGGTGGAAGGAATAGCGTCAAACCTAAGCCAAAACCTCCCCAAATTCTCCTTATTAAAACCCCATCTCTCTCTCCGTAGTCCCTCTCGCCGCATCGCTTCTTAAACCTCGACGACATCATCGTCTGACTTCGCCCTCTTCTCTCTCGAATTCCGAAAACATGGTGAACATTCTCTTCGCCTTTGCTTATATCTTCGTCTTCTACATATTTAGATTTCTTCGTTTCTTGATCTAGGATTTTCGCAGTCTCAGATCTCACTAGATCGCTTAATTTCGTTGTTGTTTCTTTTTTTCGGTTTTTCTAAATCCGTTGTGAATATCTTTGTTCAGGCTCTTCCTAACCAGCAAACCGTAGATTATCCTAGCTTCAAGCTCGTCATCGTTGGCGATGGAGGCACAGGTACGGTACTCTTCGCCGTGTTTTTTTGAGTCTCTGAAATTTGATCGTCTTTTCATTGTCCTCATCGGAAAGTATTCTTGTTTAAGAGACGGATTTAAGAATTTGATGAAGTACTGATTGGAGTTGTACGATTGGTTTTTGGATAATATCAATGCTTGGTTACTTTGTTGAGCATATCTTTGCGTAATCGATTCTTAGATAATCCGCAATGTTGTATCAGTGGCTCAGTTTTATTTTGGTTCAATGTTTTTGATTAGTTTGCTAAGCCTCTGATTGCTCTTGGTGTTTCGTACAGGGAAAACAACTTTTGTGAAGAGACATCTTACTGGGGAGTTTGAGAAGAAGTATGAACGTAAGTTTAGCAAAGATTGCTTCTGAATACACAGTTTCTATTCTTTTATGTCTCTAAATGATTCTGATGGTTGAGTTCTTATATCTTTTGTTGCAGCTACTATTGGTGTGGAGGTTCATCCTTTGGATTTCTTCACAAACTGTGGCAAGATCCGTTTTTACTGCTGGGATACTGCTGGACAAGAGAAATTTGGTGGCCTCAGGGATGGATACTAGTAAGTATACCTATCTCCATTGATATGTTTGTGTCTATAGAGTATGCAGAGTTTGGAATAGCTCTGGTTTTTTTGTGCGTGAAATTGGCAACTGATTTGTTACCTGGACAGTGGGAATAGGAATCGTATGTTGTTGAAGTAGTCTGTTAAGATCTCAATGTGTATTAGAGTATGCATAGTTTGGAATACCTCTGGTTAAAGTGGGAAATACAAGAACAATCTCACATACCATGTTGGCAATTGATTTGTTACCTGGGCAGTGAGATTAGGACTTGAATGATAATGGTTGATTTGATATGCCGTTTTGGATATATGTCTAATCTTTTACTTTCTTGCAGCATCCATGGTCAATGTGCCATAATAATGTTTGACGTCACAGCAAGGCTCACATACAAGAACGTTCCGACATGGCACCGTGATCTTTGCAGGGTGTGTGAAAACATCCCGATTGTTCTGTGTGGGAACAAAGTCGATGTGAAGAACAGGCAAGTGAAGGCAAAGCAGGTCACATTCCACAGGAAGAAGAATCTGCAGTACTATGAGATATCGGCAAAGAGTAACTACAACTTTGAGAAGCCTTTCTTGTACCTTGCTAGGAAACTGGCGGGAGACCCAAACCTTCACTTTGTCGAGTCACCAGCTCTTGCTCCACCAGAGGTTCACCTTGACATTGCTGCTCAGCAGCAGAACGAGGCCGATCTCGCAGCTGCCGCAGCTCAGCCTCTCCCCGATGACGATGATGATGCGTTTGAGTAAATCTTCCAAAATGTCTGCCATGGTTTCCTCTATTATGCTGTTTTGATTTTGACGTTACATATAAATCAATGGTCTATTTTATAACAACAATTGCGGGAAATATTGGGATTGTTCTGTTTTGGGACCCGAAGAGAATATGCAGCTAAGTTTTTTCTCCCCAAAAGAATATGCGGTTTATTTGAAAACTTAATTCTAGTATTCTACTCACTTTTCTATTACTTTGCCAGTTGCAGCATTTTAGATGTGTCAATAGCTACTTGGTCATATAAACTTATATCTATCAGCATAAAAAGGATATAAGTTTTCCTCTAATAAATCCTGTTTTCTCTTTGCATAATAAATCCTGTTTTCTCTTTTTCTATGTAATTCTTTTAGGCCATGGCATGAATCATATTATACATTGCAAGTCTTCCTCAAGTCCAACACAAAAAGAAAAAAAGAGTAAAGATGTTCACATTTACTTTCACAAGTTCGGAAATAAATCAAAAACCCTGCTTGAAAATAGAATGACATTTTGTACAACCTACACTCAATTTTTATTCTATGTAACCCAAACTGTAGTTGTCAATGCTGCTGCTATCTGTATATTGTACTGTTATCGTCAGAGATAAGGTTTCTTATCTGCATCAGATGTTCCTCATTCGAAATGTTCAATCTGAGACGGAGATTTGTGATCCACGTTTCTTGTTCCCAAGTTATAATTGGTCCAGATGCGTGCAATCTCTCGATGCTGCATCGGTATGCATCCAACTCTAACCTATGAACATCAGCAGCCTCTGAGATTTTTATTGGAGGAACCCCCAACTTCTTGATCTTCCCGTAGCCACAAGATGATGACTCTGTGTCACTAGTGTTACCGGTTTCAATGGGATTGAATGAAACAGCACTGAGACCATCCGTATCCATGCTACAACTACCAACAGAAGAAGCAACACTCTCTCTATCTTCTTCTTCTTCTTCTTCTTTTCCTTCTTCATGAAACTTCGGAGGATAAGCAGCTAAAACTCTAGTTTGATTGTGTGGTTCAACCAAAGAGTAAGTCCGTTTCTTTAGACTTTTTGACAAAGGTACATCATACTCATCAAGCTTGTCTTTGCTCTCAGATGAAATGTAGTCGCCTTTCGGATTCACCTTTCTCCTTAATTCTCCTGTTGAAGTCTGTGCGCTTAATCTTGATGTACCCTTCAGCCAAATGATACAATAAACAAAATGTCAGCTCAAACACTGACTTTAAAAGATATAATCACAGAGGAAAACAAACAAGTACCTGTCCGATCATGATCCACTCGTTATCTTGCCAAGATTGTCTAACCCGAATGTCGGATTTGGTTACCTTGAACTTCAGTGAGGAACCAAGTAATCTAATCAAGAAACAACCTTTTTCCAAAACCTTGGAAACGATTGCCATCTTCCACGAACAACTTTCGAAAACCTCAAGAATGTCACCAGGACCCCAAGAATCAAGGACTTGTAAACGAGGAGGCTCGGGCCTCATACTCTTCCTCGGTACCCTCTCCGTACCATCATCATGATCATACATGACAGTGTAATAGTGCCCATTTCCCGATATGATCTCTGCAGACCGCCAGGCACCAGATGGAACCGATGATTTGCTCAACACTTCAACTTTAGTTCCCTTCTTGAATCTCATGATTGCTACTTCAAAAACACCTTAAAGTGAATATCTTTTCACATTCCAACTACTTATAAGATCAGAATTTAACATCACACATGCTAAAAGTCTAGTGTTTTACAATCTATTGGCAAAACTTCAAGTTCTTAAACAACAAAACAAGATAAAATACATCCACATATCCAGAAATAAGTTGGACCAATAAGATCCATTAGAATCTTTCACATCCAGAAACTTCAACTTCAACAAATTGGCATAAAGATTTCAGATTGTTCTGCTTCATAATCACTAGATTGCAGAAAAGTCCTCAAATTACAAAAACCAAATCCAGAAGCATACAATGGCTTGAAATGTTAATGAAATTGAAAACAGAGTAGAACTCAGTTCCTAGGATCAATCTTCATTACTGAGAAATTGATTAGAGGAAGAGAATCAAAAATCTATAAGCGGACATCAAGAGACTTAAAACTCAAAAATTCAAATAAAAAAATCTAAATTTTGGGGTTGTGATTGTGATTACCTTAAAACGAAGTTTTAGGTTAGTGAATGTTTATAACACGCAAAGAAAGCCATGAATGATTCTACTGCCAGAAACAACAAAGCTTTGTTTTTTTTTTCTCTTTGATTTTCTGGGCAACCAAACATGGATCAAAAGGGCAAATAAAACAAAATTAAAACGTATATGCAAATAATTAGAAAAGGGAAAAAGATAAATTTTTTATTCCACATCAGCAAGCCAAAACTAAATCATTAATTAACTTTAATTTTAAATGAAAATGCAAGGGAGTTTTTTTATCCACAACTCGCATGAGAAATGGCCTTTTGTTTCATTTTATTTGATATAGGATTATTTTTGAATAAATGAGTAAAATAACCAAAAAAATATAATTTGATAAGTGACAATAACTTGATGTTTTGTTGGAAGATTATACGTTTTCTTATATTCGAGGTATCTAAAAGAGTTTATACGAATCCTTGAGATTCGTGGGGAAAAAAAAACAGATAAAGAAATGCCAACCCAATATATTTACTATTTAAAGTTTGTATAATTACCAACCATAATTGAAATTCATTTGAAGTATGAACACTAGCCTCTCAACCATACTAAAAGAATTGGTTAATTGTTTCTAAGGTTTTCGTTGATTTTTTTTTTCATAGGGGTGGTGTATAGCATTCAATTAATTCAATAAATGATTTTGATATGGATCTAATTGAGTTGACAACAAAAAAAGGATATTAAATGGAAACATGATGTTGTAATCTAGGTGTTGATCAGGCTAACATAACATTAAACATAACGAAAGTGTAAAATTTACAAGTACAAATTTAATCACCTCGTCTAAAACATTGTCATTATTTTCATCATTTTGAGACTAACATATCCATTAAGATTAACTTTTTGGATATCGTTTGTGTGATTACTTATGCTTATAGGTTCTACATCTCAAGTACTTACACTTATGTACTTAATTATAGGATAATCATAGTCTATAATTCATATAACAGTTTATGAATATGTATTGACGTTAACCACTACAAGGTGGGCTAGTGGTAGGACGGATTTCGTGGTTGAGGGGATAATCCCAATACGCCCGGGTTCGATTCCCCCTTGCTACATACTAGTGGCCACCAGAGAATTTACATGCGGACTTGCTCTGGCGCCCGAGACCGAAGACCGTTACCCGGCCATGACCCACCTTTGGGTGTGCGTCCGTGCCGTAAGGGTTCGGTCTCTAGTCTGGACCACCTCGGTGGGGCCAGGACACTCGGTTATCAAAAAAAAAAAAAAAAAAAAATATGTATTGACGTTACGTTATTTGTTTGTTTCTTGGTGAGCACGAGCAAAGTGCGTGTTCCGGTGTGCCAAAAGTTTCGACATAATTAAAAAGTAGAAGAAAAAAAAAACGTAATGGGGATGGTCAGGTCAGGTGGCTTTAGATAACTCCCATTTCACTTTTGAATTTTGATCATAAAAAAATTTGAGATCGTAGGGTCCATATTTTGGCTTCTAACGACAAAATGTTTAATAATTTTGTCGTTGTCTTCCAGTATTTATTCATATCTTCTGATTTCACAACAGATCGTGGCATCACCTGTACAATTGTTCATAATTATTTGAATATTCACATTAACTCCATTTGGTTCAAACTCAAAAATTTCCTAATGGTTCATAAGATTTTATAACTTTTGGATTTCGTTTCTTTGGAGATTTTAATTGCTTCCTAATTGTATGAGCTCATGAATGAAGGGTGTACAAGATTTTGTTCATACGTATAATCAAGAACATACTTTTGTAAAAAATTTATTACCAAAACACACACTTTTGTTTTCGTTTTGGTTTTGGCTTTTCCGGATAGAATGAAGCAGTGGTTATGCTATTGCGGTTTCCATGCATGAAGCTTCACTCTTACATCCCTCACTTCTGATCCACTCTAACACCGAATCACAGTCCTCTCGTCTTACGAAATGCCTTCATTAACAGATTCAAACCATTACCAAGGTAAGAATATAGTAACCAACATAAAGCCTAACTCAGTGTTATGTTTGATCTTTGTACCTGTTTTTGGAGCGGTACCCCTTTAGTTCAGAAGCTTCTCGAGAATCTCTTACGTCTTTGCTCATTCTGAGAGACTCGGGTATCTCCACCGTCTCTGCTTCGCTCTCATAAGCATCATATATGCATTGAAGTATCGAATCCTGCGAGAACAACGAATTATCACCATGCTTGGTTGACAGTATATAAGAGTTTGAATAGAACAGAGAGCCTCTTAAGTTTTTTTAAACATATACCAGAGGTTTAGAAGCATTAAGCCAGTGGTACATAGGCTCACACCGGAACCATGTCATTTGCCTTTTTGCAAAGTTTCTGCGTATCAAGCAAACCAAGTCTACCGATTTTAGCTTAAACCTTTAGAGCAGTTATCAGGATAAATTTTAAGAAAGTAATACAAAACGATTGTTCACGCATAGACGTTACTCTGCAACTCTAGTTAGTTATCAAAAGGCCTACCTTAACACGGATTTTACTAGGATTGCTTTGAAATACTAATATTTTGTCCAAAAGCTTATACACTAGATATTTCAAGTCTATGTAGAAGAATCACCTGGATGCTGTCTGAAATTTGTTCAAGAAACCATAAAATTCTCTAGGGGAACTTTCACCCTCATATCGACGACATTTCAGTAGATATTCCATGGCCTGAAAACAAGGAATAAAATTTCCATTGTTGATCCTAAATGGTATCGAGGTACTAAAGTCCGGCAAATAAATTGATATGATGAACTCGTAAAGTATTGCATTTTTCAACTAGATAAGAATAGACTTCCTTTCTGAAGCAACTTGGTATATGTGGATGTTGATATACTAATGGAAACGGCTATACTGTATGTCTAAAACCAAAAAATAACTGTTATATGTCATTGCATGCAATTTCTAGAACCAAATCCATATTCTTCACTGAACTGGACATGCTGCAAAATTAACAGCTACAATCCACTGCAGATCCCTTGGCTAATTATAATGACCATGCACTAGATTAACACAAGAAAGCCTTCTCTTCTCAGTTCGTTATGCACAACCCAGTACAAGAAAAAAAATAGTTTACCTGTCTGTACCCAATAGCACGAGTTGCAGAATTTGTGCTTGGAAGAAGGCCAAGATCAAGAAGCCATCTAGCTTCTGACAAAACTCCATTGGGTCCTGGAGTTGAGAGACAAAGCATCAATGAACTCAGAAGCAATGCCAAGCAAACATATATAAAATTGCAGACGACACAGCAAAGAGCATGCAAATTGTCTTTTTTTGGGTTACAATTGGAAGAATCAGATAAGAAAAGACTTATTTACTGTAAGGTGCCATGGGGCTGCCATTTTATTCTTGCAAGTTATTACTAACTAAGTAGTAGCACTTATATTTACCTGAAAGCATGTCTTCACATCTGAAATCAATAGATCTGTAGAGAGCAACCCGTGGGGTTGACAAGAAAAAACAAAGGAAGTCATAGTCCAAATCTGTTTCTATGTTTTGGATAGAGATATCAGCAGATGAATCGTCCTCAAGCAAGTCATCGACATCAGGAGAATTTAAATTTTCTCGAAAAGAATCATATGGAATGCGGAAGGAAGACGGAGGCGATCCAGTTGACTGCCAGGAAAAAACATTCAAAGCAAGACTAATAATGCATAGTTGCATACAATCCAAAACAAAACAATGATAGTTCATCAATCTATCAGGCAAGAAGTCATTTATCTACAGGAGCAATACAACAGTTGAAGTAAATAGTTGTCAAACCTTGAGTATCTCAAGGCTACGCCGTAGTCTGTACCAATCATTACGAGGTAGAAAACAGGCTTTTGGATCACCAGCATTGACCACCAATTCCACAGCTGCTTCCCAGTTATGTTCGGTTTGAAAATCAACTAGCATATCATGGGCCTCAGCGATGACTTCTGGAGAAGGCTTAGGCACATCCGGCTTCCCATAGATAAACCTAACATTAAGAAAGAGCATGATAATGGTGAATTCAAGAACTTGCAGTATATTTAAATTGCTTTAACATTATACGAAAGGGCAATAGACAAGTATACAATCTACTGACATACCATCGCAGGTACAATCCAGTTCCACCCGTAACAATGGGAACACGCCCTCTATTAAGAATATCTTTGGTAGCTTCCCTTCCATCATCAAAAAATTGCCCCACAGAGTAATCTAACAAAGTATGAAAAATGTTCAAGTTTCTGGATTTACATACATCAGTATCAGAAATATCTACACTTGTGGCATTTGCAACATCAACAAAGCTGACAAATACCTTGAGACGGATGCAAAATGTCGATAAGATGATGAGGCACCACCTGAATAGTTTGCAAAACATACAACTTTCAACTACAATGTGATCATGAACGGCACCAACATGAGATAAAAATGAATAAATCTTACCAAATATTTCAGAAGGATACCTTTCTATCACTATCTGATGGCTTGGCTGATCCAACATCAAGGCCTCTATACACCTGTGATTGGTGTAAAAACAAAAGCAAGAACCTTTTTAATCCACACCAAACATAGATGCAAAGTTGTGTAATTGATCAAACTAAAAAGAAGTTAAAAACTTCAACTTTACATTTAGCATCAACAAGGGTTCAAATTGCAAGTGAGCTATCACTTATTTAGAGAGTACAAGTCGGATTAGAGCAAAGAATAGACCTGAACGGAGTCAGCACTGATGATTTCGCCATTGAGACGCTTGGCGAGCTCCATAGCAAGTCTGCTTTTTCCGGCGCCGGTGGGCCCAGAAATCACAATCACCTTCTCTTTTTCAGACTTTCTCTTCTTGGTCCCGTTCAGAGGAACAGAGCAAGCCGTGGTGGCTCCGCAGAATCTCCGGCGTAGTACAAGGCTTGGCGGTTGCAGCTTCAAGTAACATGTACGGGTCAAAAATACGCCACTGCTAATCACCATTATAAACCTTAGAATTTGGAAGATAGCACAAGTTTGCTAAGGATATTGGTTGATGGAAGGGAAGGATGACCCGCGCAAAAGCTCATCTCGAAGAGAGACGACGACAGTGTGAGCAAGGGATTAGAGAACTACGGTTCGGTTAGGTTTACACATTAACCGAACTAACGAACCGAAATGAAACGGTTTAGTTAAACCGAACCGTTCTTAAGAAATGTTTTTTTTTTGGGAATTAAAATTACACGTTACCAAAACTTGGAAACGGATTAGACTGGCTCAATCCATTTATTCCGTTGTATATTGGAAGATTCAAATGCGGATTACAAAAACAAAGAATAGTAATTATACATGAGTTGCACTTGAGAAAACCCAAAGAATAAAAGCACATAGAAAGAGAACAAGAGGGATTAGGTGAATAGCTCTCTCTCCATTAGCAGACTTGTAACTATTGTTGTGTAGAGACAGTTCCTTCTTGGCTATGTCGTCATAGACCACGAGACCGTCAGGGCTTGCGGAATCCACCGAGAGGTTAATCAGAAACTCTTCAGATGGCCGAGAACTAATTTGTAACCTTTGCATCATACGGCGCCTTAATTTGGACTTGGAAACTATATATTATACGAACGATTATCTGCTTATATCTGAATAAGGTTTTCTATTCGTCACAATATCAACATTATATATAAGATTTCAAAAGTCAAAGCGTATAGTATGCTTGGGGACATTTAATGTTGCATGCAAACTCCTGAAGTTATGGCTTAAGTTATGATGAATATGGCTTCCCTTTGAGATCTCCGCAAGTATTTCAATTCTTTGGTTTATTTCAAGGCATGTTCTCTGTTGTGGCTTCCCTTTGATTTCGCTTTTGTTTGAAGATTGCTTTGCTTTGCGTTTCTTGCCTCTTGCTTGCGGTTTGACTGCGCTTTAGAGGAGCTAGTAGGGCTATTGGCTTCAGGTGTGGTTGTGATTGGTTCTTATTTTGCTCTGCGCTGCTGACTTCGGGAATGAACTTGGTAGAGGGAGCTTGCACCTTTTGCTTAATTTGGCTTGTGAGGTTTCGTTTCTGGGAAAGCTCATGGATTGAAACGAAGAGTCAATCTCACATGACGCAGGGAGAGTATGTGATCGATGATTTGGAGTTTTCACCGTTGACGGCTCGGTCTCGGATCTCCTGCGAAAGGCTTCTAGAGCTAATTGTCTGTCGTATCTTGGTGTGTTACAATCTGCAACAGCCCTTCTCCTTTGCAACTCATCTGGGAAGGACAATAGAAACGTCATCGCTTCATCTTGTTCCCGTAGCTTCATTGCTTGGTTGAGTAGATGGACCGAAAGTTTGGTTTAATTACCGTTTTTATGCTTCCATGTTTTTATCTTTTTTGCCATGGAACCATGTTTTTAGGTTTCTAATCTCTTGATTGTAACCTAAAATGTTTTCATTTATGAAATATTTACAATTTAGCAAAAAAAAATGATGAATATGATAGGTGAACTTTGCTTACGAAATTTAAACTTGTTAAAATAACTTTTGATAGCAAGACTTATACGATTCGGCTAGCCTCCCAAGAAGAGTTAAAATTTGAAAATGAAAGTTATAAAATTCTTTGCATCTTTTATTCTTTTGATCTAGTTAAAAGTTGTAAAAATGTAGTCATAAAAACTTCCATTTGATCGATTAGTTTTATGATAAAATTCACATACTAGAAGAATATTGTTTGTATACTAATTTTGGCTGCACTACCTATATTAGCATAGACGCATTATAAATCGAGACATCGAGCGTTGACAAATAAGCATTAGGGATATAAACTCTTTCAAAACTTGCAGATTTGAGCTTGATTGCAGCGAACTTAAAGGTACATGCATGTGAATCTTTTCCACAAGTCAAAATGCGCATTCATATGACATTGGACTTCTTTAATTATATATATGAACTAGATCTTAACCCGCACATATGTGCGGGATTTCATATTTTTAAAAATGTGTTTTAATAAAATTTAATTCAATATAGATTCTTTTGTTATTTTGGTCATATATGTAGATTCTGATCAGCACGTACGTGTGGAATTTATACCAAGTGCAGTTTGATTCGGTTTCAGTGTGAAGTATAAAATAGTTAAATGTTTAAAATAACAAAATTGTGACCAGTACTTTGAAGCAGATGGACTGGAAATAACCGTGAAGCGGATTAGTGATCTATAAGATTTTTATTAAACTTATGAATGATTAAAGATCTGTGAACCGATGAGATAAACTAACCGGTTGATAGGTTCCCGACTCGTACCCGTCTCGAAAAGAGGGTATATGTGACCTTAGGGTCAGGTAAAAGGTGTAATTATGTTACCCGTAGGTAAAAGTCAAGTATCAGATATATGTCTTTTTAATATTTGTCACGTTACCCGGTATATTTCTCGCTTTACTACGTGACCCGTAAATATCCAATTTATTAGTGTTTTATAATTTTTTTTTTATTTTATAAATATATCTTATAGTAAAAGTTAAAGCCTAAGTTTGTAATTTTATACTTTTTGGAAATATATATTGTATATGTTTATGAATTCTTTTTTTGTTAAACAAATACTTCTATTTTGGAATATGAAATTATTATGCGGTTACAGAATTTATTTTAACACATGCATTTTGGTCCTCAAATTTTAGTCCAGCGAGTAAGGGAATATGTTTAGGATTCGGATGGGATACATGTATTATAATTTTTTGTATTTTCCATTTGAGTATTTAATTTTACAAAATTAGTGGAAATTATCCATTTTTTTTTTTAATATTTCTCACTTATGTCTTAAAAATACCCGAATTTCTCAGAACTTTTATCTTGAAATATACCTTTACCCGTACCAAAATTGATAGATATCTAAATTAGTGAGAGTTTAAGAATTGAATTCAGCTACCTTAAATTTATGATACCTTCATATTACCGTAATTATCGCCCGTTCGTGCGAAGATATGTTTGTTAAGATTTAATTTGATGTAGCACTTATAACCTGCATACATACGGTTTCGATTCGACTTAGAGAGAAGGAGTATTGGAATTGTTTTTGTTATCAGTAAAGGCAATTATATAAAAAAATGAGAAAAAGTAGGAAAGTCCATTTCGGGACGGAAAACCCTTCTCAACCCAAATCTGTCAGAAATTATTCCATCTTATAACCGTTTTTTTTTAAATAATTTACACGTTTGCAATTTTATATTTCAGTTCAACGGGTAAGAGAATAGGTCTAGGATTCGTATGAGATACGTGTATTTCTTGTATTTTTTGTTTGGATATTTAAGTTTTACAAAATTAGTTAAAATAATCCACATGTTCTTTATATATAATACTCATATATTTCTCAATAAAAGTAACGTTTTCATGTAAATCATAAATATTTGAAACACACAAACCTTCTAAATTGTTTCACCTTGAATTTCTTTTTGCTTCAAGATTCCCAATACGCAGGCTCATTGAATCAGACTCTTTGGATGAAATTCTTTGGATGAAGATCTGAAACAAACCATCAAGTCAAGACATGTGAAAATAAACAAAATAAAAGGTATTAAAATTCATCTAAATAAATAAATTAGAAAAATCGACTTGTCAATAGAAGCAATATTTATACAAAAAAAATAAATCTATAAACGATTTAAGTATAAAGAAAATATCTCTCATCATTAAAATGTGTATTTAGATATAGAATTTTTTTTCTTAATAGGTATGGTTCCTACAATTATGTAGAAAAATTGGTAAATAAACAATAATATACCATTTCGAATTAAGGCTTTTTTCTCTCGTCAAGCTCTTTTCATGTGCTTTTACATCGGGTTGAAGACCAGATCTTTACATCTGAAAAATAAAATATTCAATTAAGAGGATTAGAACAATACTATTACGTACGTGTATACCAATACATCACACATAGACCATGTTGCATTCGTTGCACTGTAAAATAAACGCACTGAACCTTTCACAATTATGTTTCACAGATTTTTGGTATCAAATTCTCTCATAAAACACATGTCTTTGGTTTTACCTTTAAACGGATCATTAAGCAGTTTCCAATCGTTGTCTTAGCCATCAACAGAAACAGTCGTCTTCATGAATCACCACAATCTCCCTTTTAGATGTTTTACGCGTCCCATCGATGCCATAAGTGTAGATAAGTGGAGTTTTTATCTGCAGTGACAAAAGCAAAATAATATTATTAACTTTATTTTGACAACAAAACCTTAAATCAAACCGAGTTAGCTTGAAATGCCTTTATTTATAGAGAGATAGTTTGTACATAATTTAGGTTTAGCCGACTAATCTAAATATATTTAACTACTAAGATCTTAACAAATATGGTGATTTTATTATTAAATTTTAAAAACTATCCTTATATATAACCCAATTTATGATTGAAAAAGAAAATTTTTTGATTCCCATAATATACGGAATCCTAAGTTGCAAGATACATTACGATTTATATTTTTTAAAATCAAAATTATATTCAAAAATAAATTTTTGTTTCCTTAACTACAAAATCTTTACGTGGTTAACAATTTTTGAAAGATTTTAGATTTTATAGTTAATGATAAATATATATTTTAGGAAAATTCGAATATTTTGTTGACTTTTTTACTGGTGTTTGTTGTAGTTGCTTAATACAGGGGATTTGATTTTGCGTTTTTAAATTATAAGAAACAGAATATAACAAACGAAATCAATAATTGATGATAAAAGATTTTAAGGAAACTGAAAATATTCTCAAAGATTACGAATTGTAGTAATACACCAAATCGAATAATAACTTTTGTTTAATTATAATTCGAATAATATAATATTTTTTCAATGATATAACATTTTTGAATAATGGATTAGTATATAACATTTTCAATAACATTTTCGAACTATATGAGTATTATAATTCAAAATAACATTTTTTATAAATTCGATTGATATAAAATGTTTTCAATGATATATCATTTTCATTAACAATTTCAATAACATTTTTGATAACAGTTCGAATAATGGATTACTATATAACATTTTCAATAACATTTGCGATCACATTTTCGAATAATAGATTAGTATATAACATTTATACTATTTTTGTAATATTTTTGAATTGATTAGTATATAACATTTTCGAATTATATTAATTGTGTAATCGTTTGAAGAAATATTTTTCGAATTATATGAATTATATAAATAAAATCTTTTAATATCTTTAAACCCGTTTGACCCGTTGACCCGTTAATATATATTAGTGAAATGGAATAAAATGATTATAATTAGAGATCTCTAATGGCATATATTGTAATTTTTTACAAAATCTAAGTTATGACTCTTAGGATGTACTTCCCAAATATTAGTATAGGATGCGCATAAACTAATTATATTTAGTTAGGAATACATGCTAGCAATACCATATATCAATTTTAAATTTTGTTATTAATCAAGAAATTCGAGGCCTTAATTCACCAGAACAATATTATGTAGTCCATTCTCCGTTACATATGTTGTGCTTTATGAATTATGAATACAAGTTTTTTTTTTTCAAAGGCTTTATGAATACAAGTTGTATCGAGGAATGTACAGAACTAAGAGTACTATCATAGTCTCTCTTGAATTTTGTCCGGCCTGCGTCAATTAATGTGTGATTTGATTTGTCTACTTTGGTATAAATTTTATAATATGATCGTGCACTTACTCCAACCAACTCTTGGTTAATCTGCGACAAAAGTTACATCAAAATTACGTATTTCATAGTTTCTTACGAGCGAGTTATATAAATATACATTGCGTGCATACCCAATATTGCTAATAGTAATACTCCTTACTGAGAATTTAGAATAGTCATTTTATAGAATCTTTTCTATCACTTGCCTTTTGATTATTCACTTGATAGTTGATCCATACATGGCTACAGCCTCTGGTTGATAGTGGTGTGCCCACAGGGTAAAGTGCTTGATCTTTCTACTGGGGGGAAAAAAAACGTCGCTTGAAAAAATACTTGCAAAAATCAATACAGTACACGGAGCAACTTTTTTTGACTAATCGTGCTCTACTCAATCTTGATATGGCTGGCTATTCCTTGCTTGTGGTTAAAGCTTTTTCGGAGACAAATTTTAAATTTGAAGAAGTCAAAATTGGATATTATGAGAAAAAGAAAATGAAAATGAAGCGTAGAGTCGGCCAACCAATGGGAAGGGGTCTCGTAGGGCTAATATCAGTTGACCAGAAAGAAGAAGCCAAAAGGTTTTAACTAACCACAGCAACGTACCGTTGACCAAGACAAAAACGCACAATCAGACAGAAACAGTAACTAATACTTAATTTTGTTGAAATTATACACTATTTTTTTTTACCAAAGAAAAAAAAAATCAATACACTTTTTTTTCTTTTAACTCGAAGTCTCGAATTGAGTTGTTCAATTCCATAAAACCCAATTATATTAGTTACATAATCAATCTGCATGCTGGCTTAATTGATTCGTAGTGTTAAATCATTATTAATCATTGTCAACATAAAAACCCCATTAGACATGCTAAACCCAACGTGGCAAGTTTTCCTAAAGATTCGAAAAATTTTCAACACACACCCGATAGGTTGAATAATAGTACTACACAACTTGACACAACTTGCAGATGCTAATTAATGGCTCTTTTCAGATAATTTATGACAAACCTAACTTATATTAATGTACATTTTCCACGACTCTACATACAGTAGAACCTCTATAAATTAATACTCGATAAATTAATAAACACGATAAATTAATAAATTTGGCCGGTCCCGAGTCGGGACAGTGCAAAAATTAACCAAATTCGATAAGATAATAAGATAATAACTTTTTTGAAATCCCTATGTAAAAATATAGTCCCAATAATATCATAAATTAATAATCATGTAAATTTGCAAATATATATATATATAGATACATATATTCAAAATTATGCATATTCAAAATTTGAAAACTTACAAAAACTTTTGGCTATTCATATATATATATATATATATAGTTTTAGTATTTTTCATAAAAATAGCCAAAAGTTTTTGTAAGTTTTCAAATTTTGAATATGCATAATTTTTTTTAATAGTTGTATAGGTTTTGAAAATACAACAATGGATGTCACTATTTGTGAATTTTAATTTATGTATATCGTTTGTATATGTGAATTCTATAATCGTGGTTATTCATTGTCAAAATAAATTATTTTCTCTTCGAAATATGAAGTGTTTAAGGCTAAAACTATAAAATTTATAACATCCAAAACATTAATTTTATTTAGATCACATTGTTTTAGTTCGTATTTTTTCAAAAAAGTTTCCAAAATTGAAATAAAACTTTCTATAAATTAATAAATATTAATTTACGCTAGAAATTAATAATTATTAATTTATAGATAAATTAATATCACTATAAATTAATAAAATATCATGGTCCCAACATTATTAATTTATAGAGGTTTTACTGTATGTATAAATAATTAATTTCGTTGGAAAAATTAATTAAGTTATGACTAAATTACACGACCATGAACTCATCCAAAACTATGTCAGATTTTAAATATACTTTTTTCTATTTTGATATTTATAAATTAGATAATTCAAAATACGGAATATCTCGTTAGCAGAAACAATGACTTTTCATTTTTTTATTCAACGAAAAAACAGAAAACGATAAAATACAAATCCCTGTATTTTTTTGGTCTAGTTTGAAATATTTCCGTCTTTGTTCTGGTCACGAGAGTGTTCATCTGAAAAATAATGAAGTCAGAGAAGCTCTAAAAGCCCTCTAATGGAGGACAAGAAAGCAAACATATTCGCTACTATATTAATCTTAGCCCTTCTCGTAGTGATAATCGCCGCCCGAGTTTCTCTAAAACTCTCCAAAACATTCTATCTCATCGCCGGCGTCGACATTTCATTGATCCTCGCCGTGATCTGTTTCCTTATAATCCGTAGCCGTTACAACAAAGAAAGAAAGCTCTTGGTATCAAGATTTGTCTCCGAAGGCAGAGAGCTCCGAATCGAGTACAGTTTCTTGAGAAAAGTCGCCGGAGTTCCAACGAAATTCAAGCTCGAAGATCTTGAAGAAGCCACCGATGGATTCAGATCTTTGATCGGAAAAGGCGGTTCTGGTTCGGTGTTTAAAGGCGTTTTAAAAGACGGAAGTCAAGTAGCTGTGAAGAGAATCGAAGGAGAAGAGAAAGGAGAAAGAGAGTTCAGATCCGAAGTAGCTGCCATAGCTTCTGTGCAGCACAAGAATCTAGTTCGTCTTTACGGTTACTCGTCTGCGGTTTCTGCGAATCGTCCGAGATTTCTCGTTTACGATTATATCGTAAACTCGTCTCTCGATATCTGGATTTTTCCGGATAGAGGAAACAGAAGAAGATCCGGAGGAGGATGCTTGTCTTGGGAACAAAGGTACCAAGTTGCTATTGATGTAGCTAAAGCTCTTGCTTATCTTCATCATGATTGTCGATCTAAGATCTTGCATCTTGATGTTAAACCCGAAAACATTCTACTAGATGAGAATTTCCGAGCGGTGGTAACCGATTTCGGACTCTCTAAGCTGATTGCTAGAGATGAGAGCAGAGTTCTAACGGATATCCGTGGGACTCGGGGGTATTTAGCCCCCGAGTGGCTTCTTGAACACGGTATTTCGGAGAAATCCGATGTTTACAGCTACGGGATTGTGTTACTAGAGATGATCGGAGGACGGAGAAGCATTTCAAGGGTAGAGGTTAAGGAAACAAAAAAGAAGAAGTTAGAGTATTTCCCAAGGATTGTGAACCAAAAGATGAGAGAAAGAAAAATAATGGAGATTGTAGATCAAAGGCTGATAGAAGCCAATGAGGTAAATGAAGAGGAAGTGATGAAATTGGTGTGTGTGGCTTTGTGGTGTATACAAGAGAAATCTAAGAATAGGCCTGATATGACTATGGTAATTGAAATGATTGAAGGGAGAGTTCCGGTGAAGGAGCCGCCGGATTCAGATGTTGTTGTGGTAGATCTTTTGGCTGCTGATGATGATGATGCAAGTACCGGTATTCGACGGGTAATAAATATCCCGAAATTGCAAATCCATAGGGAGAGGAATTTTCGTTTATCATCTATTTGCTCTAGTATCATATCTCCCATATCTCCACGCTAGATTTTTGTTCATATTGGTTTTGTTTCAATCTAAAACTGAGTATGTTTGGTGTGTTACTATTAATCATTTGATATGTAATAAACACAATTTATAACGAACAAAGTAGGTTGATAAGCTAGATTAGTTTTTAGTTGTAAGTTTACTCATTACTAAACGTCTATAAAACTCAACATGGTATTAGTGCCCGAACACATGTCGGTCAAATATAAACCAAAATTGATATGATCCATTATTTCGAGATGAATGACTAGAAGAACCATCATCTTGAGGAGACGCATACCGAATCTCAAATCAATCAATAGTGAGATGAAAAGGATATAAAGATCAATCAAGTTATGTGACCAATTGGTTATGAATAGAAGAAAGTCAATGAATCTTAAACCGAATCTCCCACTCATATTATTGAGGAAGAGAAACTAATGAAAACAAAAGGTTTGGGGACAAAAGTGAAAAGAACAAAAAATTGAAGGACGTTAAGGCAAACATAAAAGTGCAATCCACATCAGAATTTACGGATTGCTTGCTGCTGAAAAGCTCTGTTTCTTTTGCTTCCTTAGACTTCTCCGTCGATTTAACCCTCGCCGAGATACTGTCTCAGGTGATATATTTATTCTATGCGATTATTCCAATTTTTTTTAGCATCTGCTCTGTAATGTATCATTCTGGTTTCGTTTTGCAATTTTTTCTTTAAAGACAACGCAATTTTCGTCACTGGGGTTTCCGTGAATCCTTGGAACTTTAGTCGATCGATCGAGCACGTTATGGCTTTTTCCTGCACAATGTCTAAACGGACTAAAGATTTTAATGATTTTTCTCTTTTAGAGCTTTATTGTTGTTTTTGGATTTCGTCTGTGAATTTCTTGACGTTATCCGTTGGAATTGGGAACAATGGATGATGTTGTCTTTACTTCTTAATGTTATCTCACCTTGAAGTTCTAAAGGTTTCTTTCTCTTTGATTTTAGGTTTGAACTTTGAACAATGTGTTATTTGTTTTCTCTTATGTCTATGGATTCATCATTCATGATTTAATTAATGTGGTTTGTAATAAGTGATATATTTCTTTTCTTGCAGGGTCATTTTTTTTTTCTTGAATTTTTTCACCGAGTGTTTGTTCACGGCATTGCTTGTCCTCCATTATGAGTATCTCCGGTGCTGCAGTTGGTTCAGGTTAGTGTATTCTTATTTTGTGCTACATATTGTTTCGGTTTTGAGCGAGTTCGAATGAAAAATATTAAATAAAATTCTCAATTGCAACATTATTTCAGGCAGAAATTTAAGAAGAGCTGTAGAGTTTGGGAAAACTCATGTTGTTAGGCCTAAAGGGAAACATCAAGCAACTATTGTCTGGCTACATGGGCTTGGGGACAATGGCTCGAGGTTATTCTTTTTCTGTCTGAAGTTGGTTTTCATTTTGGAAAATCAGCTACCACTGTAGTTTTATTGTACATGGCTTCCATATTACGGTTTGAAGTCTAGATCCGGGGATTTTTGGAATTGTGGAAATTGTAAATAAGCTGTAGACTACTTACTATCAGTAATGAATGTAACTTATTTTAGCGTTCAAATCTTACATCGTTCATCGTCTTGATTGATACAAACTTAACTTGATACACAGTTAGTTAAGAAAGTTGGTAGTCATGACCTTGTCTTTTTTTTTTTGTTTCCTGACTGCAGCTGGTCCCAGCTTTTGGAGACCCTTCCCCTTCCAAATGTGAGTTATCAGCTTTAAGTGATATCCAGCAGCTGCCTTGATTATTTTAACCTGCTCAGTTAATTTACCTTTATGGATACTAACCCATCTTTGTATTTGAAATGTAGATCAAATGGATATGCCCGACTGCTCCTTCTCAGCCAATAAGTTTGTTTGGTGGTTTTCCCTCCACAGCTTGTAAGTATATTTTGCTTAATAACATTCATTTTTCATTCTCTTTAGTGGAATCTATTCCTAATTTTAATAGACAGGTAAGTTAAAGAGAATACGATTCAATTTAATCATGTTCATACAGAAGAATGTGCCATGGGCCAGTTAAACAACAATTATGGTTTTTTGATATTCGTGAACTAGTAAACAAAGTAGTCAACCAAGTGGTACGGGATAAGCTCACAATTATAGATCAAATTCTTTAAACGTCTGTAGTAGGAAGCTTATCTTAGCTTTTGGTTTAGAGTAGTAGTCAGTAGACAACACATCATTGGTTCGGCTGCACTTCACTAGACTCTAGACCAAAGGAACATTATACTGTTCTTTCCAAATATTGGGAATTTCTACGCCAAAATCAATCTTCTGCTATGCTACATAAGGGACAAGTTTTTACAGGATCTTACTTTTTCAGTCAACAATATAATTTACCTTTACCCGAAAAATAAACTTTACTTCTCTCTTTGGAGGTAATACATATCTGGTACAACACATAGAGCATTCTTTACCTTTCTTTATAGACACTCTCATTAGACTTGTGCACAAATGTCAATGACTATGAGTAGTGAAGTATTTTGTGTGAGAAAAGATTTGATGAGATGCTACTGTAATTTTTATAGGGTTTGATGTTGTGGACATCAATGAAAATGGACCTGATGATATGGAAGGATTGGATGTGGCTGCTGCACATGTTGCAAATCTGTTGTCGAATGAGCCTGCTGACAGTAAGTTTTCCTTCCAAACTTGCATATTCATTCCATCTGATCAGTGATCACTGAAATAGTAAGAAGAATGAGTAAACATGACGATTATAATCTCTACAAGTTGATGTACGGTACACTATTGCAGCTTAATAGTAAAGTTTCAAATTTAGGGGGAAACCTCTTTTTGAAATTGAAGGAGTAGATATCCTCTATTGAAAGGAGGTTATATAACGAGTATGCCGAGTAGAGTTAGAAAGATTCAAGATATAAAAGGAGACAGATTAATGGAGTAGAACTAGAGAGAGAAACAATAGGATTTGGAGGTTTTCAAGAGCTAATATCATTCAACTATAAGTATTACACAGGTTTGACATTAAAGCCAAAATATCTGACTTCACTACTGAAAGTTACTAGGCAGAATTTCTGGAGTCAAACAGAAATCTGACTTTACTATAGTTAGTTACTGGTTGACTTAATGGTTCTTGTATTTCCGATTAATAATAATAGAACACTGAAAAAATACAATAACAGTATGATGCATGAAAATTGTTTAAGAAGAGAGTGAATAAAATATAGTCAAGGGAATGGACAGGAACTCTTCCCTATTGACAATGTAATTGTCATCTGGAAACTAACTGAAACTTTTATGCTATTCTTAGTTTCAGCTTTTGGTCTTTGCAAGACAATTGTTTGTGCTGGAATTTAGATGTTCTGTTCTTTACGTTGATGTCTAAGATATTATACATTCCATAACTTTATCTGTTTACTATTCAACTAACTTGATATGATGTAATGCGGACGACATGTCAGCCATTTAAGTTCAGAAGATAATGGCATCTAGAGTTATCCTATTCGAGTTTTTATCCTTTTCGTATGAATATTTAAGTTAAATGCTTTTGTTTGGATTTTGGACCGTGGTTTTGCATTCAGAGCCCTTAACTGTGGCTGAAAACCCAAGATTCGAGATTCCGTTTCTAAAACTGTGTTTATCTTTCATTGCTCAAAGTTAAATTAGGTGTTGGAGGGTTCAGCATGGGTGCGGCGACATCTCTGTATTCTGCAACTTGTTTTGCTCTCGGTAAATATGGAAATGGCAATCCGTATCCTATCAACTTAAGCACAATCATAGGCTTAAGCGGCTGGCTTCCTTGTGCAAAGTATGTTTACCTCTTCTCGTACCGTTCTCCTAGTTTAAATTGGGATATTGGAGTCACCTTGGTGCGTATATTTTTCTCATAGGACATTGGCTGGCAAACTAGAAGAGGAACAGATCAAGAACCGAGCTGCATCGTTGCCCATTATAGTCTGTCATGGAAAAGGTAATTGTACATATTAGTACCCTTACTTTCTGAACTGTTTCACTTCTCAGTAATATGGTCATCTTTTTGGTTTTGAACCTTGCTATAAATGCATTTCATATTCTCAAAGAAAAATATTCTCATGAGCTATACCAGTTTACTTCTGGTTATTCAAATTGTTACATTAACACTGAATCAAGTAAAAGAAGGGTTACATTTGTTAAGATCTTATTCTCTTCCTGTTCTTATGTTGATTCATCTACGTAATTTGGTTTCCAGCTGATGATGTGGTACCATTCAAGTTTGGGGAGAAATCTTCACAAGCCTTGCTTTCAAATGGGTTTAAGAAGGTGACCTTTAAACCTTACAGTGCACTTGGTCACTACACAATCCCACAGGAGATGGATGAGTTGTGCGCGTGGTTGACATCCACCCTCGGCCTCGAAGGTTGATGCAGCTTTCTGATGAAAACCCTTGAATTCTTGAGAGTCTGATTGATTTGGATGTTTCAAAATTTCACAATGTTTCATTGGAATATTTGGGTAAGACAAATTCGTCTACTAGCAAATCTTCTCGTTTGGCACGTCCAAAAACACAGTCATCAGTGTGTTTTTGTTATCCCCGGGTCATCATCTAGCAAAATCCAACAATTAGAGGGTTACAAAAACTACAATTCCATTTATTAAATTTTAAAAAAAAAAACTCAAGAGTAGGCGCCGACAGTTGCGCATAACTAAAGTAACCAATTGCAAAGTTGACACGTGTGTGGAGCAAAGCTTGACACGTGTGAGGACGAGACTCTTCTGAATCATCGTTGCTCATTTCTCACTCTGTGTGGGAGCCCTAACCTAACATCATCATCAAGCGCGAAACAATGGGGAGAAGAAAACAGAGATGCTCGCTCTCTTTCTCTCCTCTTCTTCGTATCAAACTCTCTCTTTCTTCTCCAGATCAGTTACTCTAAGCTTAGCCAGAAGAACAACACTCTCTGCTCTCACAATGTCGATGAACCTAAAGACTCATGCCTTTGCAGGCAATCCCTTGAAGTCCAAAACTCCGAAATCTACCGATCCTTTCTCACCCACCTCCGCTTTCGAATCCCTGAAAACCCTTATTCCAGTGATCCCAAATCACTCCACACCTTCCCCTGATTTTAAAGTCCTCCCCTTTAGCAAAGGCCGTCCACTGGTCTTCTCGAGCGGTGGAGATGCTAATACGACGCCGGTTTGGCATCTGGGTTGGGTCAGCTTGGCTGATTGTAAGGTTTTGTTAGCGAGTTGTGGGGTTGATCTGAAAGAGGACTCGCTTGTGTATTTAGGACCCAAGGTGGAAGAAGATTTGGTGTATTGGGCTGTTGATTTGGCAGAGGATGGTTTCGTTTCTGAATTGGGAGGTAGGAAGTTGTGTTTTGTCGAGCTTCGAACCCTAATGGTAGCTGCTGATTGGGCGGATCAACGTGCTATGGATGAATTGGCTATTGCCGGCAATGTATGTGAGCTTTGTCCAGATGCATTTCATTTCAAACATGCTTAAGTTGTGTGTGTTTTAATGATTTGGTTTACGAAAGTTGAGCTAATCGTAGATTCGTAGATATTAGTAGAGCTTATTGCTGAAACTGCTGCATTTCAGAACTTTGGGGTTGTTTCTCGCTTTTTTCCCCACAAGATTGATAATACCATCGTATTGGTGCTTATATCTAATGACAGGCCAGGGCATTGCTTGAATGGCACAACGTGTCACAATTTTGTGGATCTTGTGGAGGTAAAACTGTTCCAAAGGAAGCAGGAAGGAGAAAACAATGCTCAAACGAAACATGCAGAAAGAGGGTCTATCCCCGTGTTGACCCGGTATATTGTTGCTTCTTACATTTTGTAGATTTCCCTAAGAGTATGACATTGTGGAACTTCTGGCTGATTGGTCCTCCGTCTATTACAGGTGGTTATTATGTTAGTTATTGATCGAGAAAATGATCGCGCACTTTTAAGCAGGCAATCTAGATATGTACCGAGAATGTGGAGTTGTTTAGCTGGATTTATTGAGGTATGAAAACCTCATCGCTAAGATATCTCAATTCGATATTGAATAATAAATTTCTCATTTTCTTTTTTCATCCAACTCCCCTAGATAGACCATTCCACTTATTTTACTATTGCATGGAGTTTTGTATGTATAATCTATGCTGCTTCTGCTAGCCAGGGGAAAGCTTAGAAGAGGCTGTGAGGCGAGAAACATGGGAAGAGACAGGCATTGAAGTAGGAGAAGTTGTCTATCACAGCTCTCAGCCTTGGCCTGGTAATTGAATAGTTAAGAAATTAATGTGATTTTTAGTTTGGGGTTTTGCTACCTCCCATCTATATTATTCTATCTATGTTTGTTAGCTTAAGGCCTACAAAGTTTATCTTTAGCTAATGTGCAATGCATGCATTCATGAGTGTTATAAGTCTTTTACCATATACTCCTCATAGAATAGTGCTATTGATGAGCAATTTAGTGATAGAGCATAATAAAAAGGAGGGTTTCGTTATGAGCAAATTTGCATCTCTAAGCAAAGTAGTTCTTTAATGTATAGATTTGAAACTTCGTCAATTTAACCTTATTAATATTATGTCTACCGAAAGCTTTCACATTCTGTTTTCATGCTTTTCCATGTATAGACCATAGTATACCTCTTCAATGGTTGCCCCTGCTGTAACTTTAGGTAGTTAGGAGCCTTGATTTTGATGCCAAAAGGTCTTTAGAATTTTTTTGAAATGCAAGTTTAACATGAACGAGAATATGGTTGTCTGAAATTGTAGTGGGACCAAGTAGCATGCCATGCCAATTGATGCTGGGGTTCTTTGCTTTCGCCAAGACGCTTGACATAAACGTAGACAAAGAAGAGTTAGAAGGTATAATATATAAACTTCCAACAACTCTTTGGAGTGCCAGAGTTTTGTTAAAATCCATCACATTCTTAACAGGTATTCTTGTTATTGCGCAGATGCTCAATGGCACAGTAGAGAAGAGGTGAAGAAAGCACTGGCGGTTGCAGAATACAGGAAGGCGCAAAGAACAGCGGCTGCAAAGGTAGAGCAGATCTGTAAAGGTGTGGAGAGAAGCCAGAGTCTATCAACTGACTTCAATCTGGAAAGCGGTGAGCTTGCTCCTATGTTTATCCCAGGGCCATTTGCCATTGCGCACCACCTGATCTCAGCATGGGTAGATCAAGCTCCTGGCGATGTTCACTCAAAACAACAAGCCGGTGTCTCTCTCTCAAGTTTGTAGCTAGAAAGATGAGTTTGATGCTTATTAGAAACCAAACGTTTGCTATGGTTTTGATACTTATTTTGAATTGACGAGTCCTTAGTGTATGGACTTCGCTCTGAAGTTATTTCTTGCAACAACTTATATCAATAAAAATCCAAAGATTTACCTCAATAAATTATGGTTTTAAAATTTAATAGATAGTTTCTTTTATGGATGTGTTCTAAATTGTAGGTGGTTTTTCTAATGTTCTTGGTGAAAAAAAAAATTAGTTTAGATTTCAAACAAAATGGAATTAAGTTTTAAAAAGTAATAATATTTTCAAGTTAAAACAAATGAGAATTCCACCGTTCGTAAGTACACATCTCCATAGGGTAGCATTCACTGTGCTTCCCCAGATTCTAAAACCCCCTAGCTCGTCCTCCAAACCATTTTGTTCATTCTCCGAGATCTAAAACCATCATGGCTACTTCCTTCTTCCGGCGACTCGCTAGGTCAGCTCCGATTACATTCCCTGTCGCATTTGGATCTCAAAGCAAATCTGGTTCTGGCGCTTTCCGATTCTCTACCGGTGCAATCGCGGCACTTTCCGGCGGATTCTCTTATTACTACTTAACATCCGGAAACAATCTGGTGAACTTTTCTTCTGTTTTCTCTCTAATGATTTTTTTTTTTTCTATGTAATAATCGATCATTTCGAATTCCGTTTATTTTTTGTCGAGCTGGTTTGATACCTTTCTCTTGCATTTCGTCCAATGTGTGTGTGTGTGTTTATTGTATTTCACATTCAATCAGACGAGTTTCGACGAACAATACGAAACATATAGATTCATTTTCGTTTGTGCTTTATGATCTCAGGTTTATCTGGATCAAGCTAAGGAAGAGACAGGGCCAAAAACCGGTGCGCATTCTCTAACTGCGCCTTCTCCTTATTTTTGCTTTGAAAGCTCTGAAACGTTTTTGCTACTAGCCTGTTCTTCTATGATCAGATTTTGATGTTTCTTGTTTTGTGCTGTGTGATTTCAGCTCTAAACCCTGATAAATGGCTCGAGTTCAAGCTTCAAGACACTGCTAGAGTTAGCCACAACACTCAGTTGTTCAGGTTTTCACTTGACTTACTAATACTTTGATTAAAACACACACACACACATTGGCTTTAGACTCATGAACACTTTTCGAGTTTTCCATTATCTGATCACTAGGTATACCTTTGTGACTTTCATTTGAATATTGTAACTGGGGTGACAGAAGTGCTCTTGTTTGTGTTAACGCGCCTTTGCACATAATAAAGAATTTAAAATAATATATATATATATATATATATGATCTGTCACAATAGCAAATAGTTATTTGACTAGAGAACTTGTATATGATTGTGATATGTGATTTGGTAGTGGATAACATTCTGGTGAATGCTTGTTTGTTTCTCAATCCTTTCTTGTGTAATTGCCAATACGTACTAAGTAGTTTGTATTCCCTTCCTGCATATGGGGTATGCATTATGAAACATCTGTATAATTGACTGTCATTTTGGTAAAAGTTACAAGTGATCTAGTTTGTTTAACCCGCTAAGCTTAAATATCCATATCTTAGTAATGGGCATTCCCGCTATTGATATGGTTGGAGTCCGCAGTTTAAATGTCAAAAGTTGTTTCTTACTATCTCTGAAATCCTCTTAAGCTCATATAAATATTTTTTTCCTGCAATACTCCTGTATTTAAGTCCAACTCTTGAATGATAGTTATATATAGGTCATAACGATAGTCTTTGGGTTTCTTGTTTTGGCTTTGCCTTGAAATTCAGGTTCTCATTTGACCCCTCAGCTGAGTTGGGTCTACATGTTGCTTCTTGTCTCCTGACAAGGTATGCTGTGGTCACACTCGTTCAACTTTACAGTAAAACAAATTTATTTTGGACGACTTGTGAAAATTTTCTCAACTGAAGTGGTAAATCTTACCTTTCCGTTTTCTTTGTACAGGGCTCCTTTAGGCTATAATGCTGAAGGGAAAACGAAATATGTCATTAGACCGTAAGTTCAGCTAAATACTTTTTACCAGCTTTGCATTGTATTTCATGTCTGGACAACCGTTGCTAGCCTATTTGTTGCATTTTTCACTTTTGTTCTGTTAGCCTATCTGTAACTTTTGCATTTATAGTTTATGCATTGTGCCATTGTCTGCAACGTAAAGTTGAAGGCTGATAGATGTCATTAAGAAAATATATAGAAAGCTTGGAAATGATGCAGATTTTATGCAGCCATATCTCCGAGAATAGGTTTCTTGATTCTAAATTTGTTCTGCTGAAGTTACCACTTTTGTGATATCTGCCTTCTAAATATCAACTTTTTGGATTGCTCAGTATACAAACTTATCTTGCAAATAAATCTTCCAGATTATTATTTTTCTTTCTTTCTACGATAAAGCTCTTTAATTACTTGTGTACGGGAGGCTTCTTTTGACCTTATTTATTTTATATTTATGAATTATCTCAGTTACACTCCTATATCAGACCCAGAGGCTAAGGGCTATTTTGATTTACTGATTAAGGTATGAGTGTCCTGTTAATATCCATGTGCATCTCTCTACTTTTGCTGCTATTTTCTAGCAAAGAACTAGATGTGTTATCATTGCACTTATTTCCTCGACTTGTTTTGAATTTTTTGTGAGTAGTTCGTTGCTTTTTGCAGGTGTATCCAGACGGAAAAATGAGTCAGCATTTTGCCAGCTTAAAACCGGGGGATGTGTTGGAAGTAAAAGGGTATATTTTCTTGACTGTTAGTCTTTTAACTGAGCTTGGTGATAGCTCTTGATTTCATATGGTGTTTAACATTACCTTTTCTTGTAGACCCGTTGAAAAGTTCAAATATTCGCCGAATATGAAGAAACATATTGGCATGGTATACCCTTATTCCCTTGTTACAACCACCTTTACTGAAGGTTTCTTTCATACAGTGTGTTTTGTTATATGGAAGTAGAACTTTGAAGATACGAACTGCACTAGTAGTTTTTCTTTTCTCATCTCAGCGAATGGAATTATTTCGCCTGCTCTCATTTGCTGACATGCAAGTCCTTATAAATTCAATTTTTTCATGTGGTTGCATTTCTTCTTTCCTGTTTAGTAGCATGATTTACTGACTTGTAGTTATTTTTTGTATTATGCTGGCTGACAAGTCAATGTAATGAAAGATAAATTCTCACCTGTGATTTTGTGTTGGCTATCCCTTTTTTTTTTATACTTGAAGATTGCCGGTGGAAGTGGGATTACTCCAATGCTTCAGGTGATTGATGCCATTGTGAAGAATCCCGAGGACAACACGCAGGTGACCAATTTGTTATTATCTTATTTTTTCCCAGAAATGATCTTTTACACCCAATATTGAAGTATGTGATCTGTGCATATGAATTTCCGAAGTACTTCCTATTCTAGTGCTGGTTTGTTTACTAAGGATCTTGAAAGTGTTATCATCCTCTACAATTCATTTCAAAATCAGCTGAAGTTTTTCATAAAATAAATAGTTTGTTAACATGGAACTTTACGATTTCTCTGTGTGCACAGATATCTTTGCTTTATGCCAATGTTTCTCCAGATGATATACTTCTGAAGCAGAAGCTTGATGTTCTTCAGGCTAACCACCCAAATTTGAAGGTAGAGTTCCCTTGGATTTGTCAATTGATTAGTTTGCTAGCTGGTTACTATTAGCATACACACTTTTCTTAAAAAGATTTTGATGTTCATAATCTACAGATATTCTATACTGTTGACAATCCTACTAAAAACTGGAAAGGAGGAGTAGGTTACATTTCAAAGGATATGGCTCTGAAAGGCTTACCTCTTCCTACGGATGATACTCTTATCCTTGTAAGTCACCGTACTGTTTTCAGAACCATAATGGGACACTGTTTTCTGAGAGTATGACAACGAGGATGTAAAAAAAAGGCATTAAGGATTTGATAAACTGATGAACAAGTTATGGGTTGAATCAAAACATATATGATTAATTAAAATGTGGTATGCTTCACCATTAATTTAGGTATGTGGTCCTCCTGGGATGATGGAGCATATATCTGGAGGCAAAGCTCCAGACTGGTCGCAAGGAGAGGTTTGTACCAATTCGTCAACATCTTTTTTTCTTGGCAATCCAATAACTTATAAACTAAAAATTATCTATCCTTTGTGCTGAAACTATCTATACCCATATCGGATATCTCTGATTGCTATTGGTTTAAATGCAATTAGCAACAAACACATATACATTGTTGAGCTGAAAAAGGGCTTATGGACCATTAGAAAATGCATTCAAGGAAAGGCTATGAGTAGTCCCTTAATAGCATAGTCTTTGTTATAACTTAAAAGCATAGTCTTTGTTATTACTTATTAGGACTAATTTGATAATTTGATGGCACAAGAAGTTGAAACAAGTCTTGCAATCAGTCGCTGTAATTAGTTGGAGAAAACCACTCAATCAATAGCAATATGCAGAGAAGTTCATGTCTAATATCTCGTTGGATTGTTTTACTGCAGGTCAAGGGGATACTCAAGGAACTCGGATACACAGAGCAAATGGTGTTCAAATTCTGAGAGTACTCAAGAAGTTTCTGATCTCAAGGAGGTTTCGTTTCATGTAATAAAGTGGCCCAAAACAAACATTAATTGATGCAGAGTGAGCTTGACAGTCGAGTTACCAAGCTTTGAAAATAAACGAAGCAAAACAGATCAGTTAGTCATTGTCTCTGCAGGTAATAGCGGGAACTTGATTTTGATGATAATTTCTATGCGAACGAGATATTGAATATGGTTCGAAAGATGAGAACTGTGCATTTGCATCCGTGTCTGTGTTTTGACTAATTTCTTGTGCGTGGAGAAAGATCCAAACTCAAGCAGCAGAATTTTTCAACTTGGATTAGACCTCTCTTGTTCAACAGTAGTTGATTTGGCTCTGAATTGATTAACCTACAAATCAATCTATCTCTGCGTCTTATGGATGAAAGGAATGTATTTTACTAGCTAATACGCATTAGTTACGTTGTGTTTAAAGCGGCTGAGGCAATGGTAGCAATCCAATATAAACGTTGAAGATAATTTTAACTGTTGAAATTGTTAGATGATACTTAAAAGGAACATACAAAGTTACAAACCATGGACGACCACTGCAACATGGCTAAGTTGAGGATTACAAGAGTTGGGGCATATTTTTCATGTGTGAACCGATCCTTGTGTCAACACGAAATGTGGACTGGCGACTGGTCCCAAATTTTATTACAAGCGGTTACTTATAAAAAAAACAAAAGAGATAATGTTAGTGAACGATCCAACAAGTAAAGCAACCATAGCTTGGGGACACAATACAAACACGTTTCAAAAGAAAATCAAATGGATGGATTCAGTAATTCCCAAGAACAAATTCTGAAGCAGCTTCGAAGAAACCATTCCTCATTTTGGTTTACTGAGATGGTTTCTCCTCTTCTTTCTTGGAGGATAAATACCTGTCATCAAGCACATTTAGGGGATTCTGAGCGAGCGACTAAAACAGGTTAAAGTTAAACTTAAGAAGCAATTGCATAAATTGTACACAGGATTCAGAAACCTACTGGCTTTATCTGTTAAGCTTTAAATTTAAAAGAGTAATCCTAAAAGCAAACTTGTTTTCAAGTTTCAAAAGGCTAGTGATTCACTTTACTCTGCATTTATTCATGTATATAATCTACACCCGAACATATGCTTCTGAGAAAGAACTTACCCCTGGGCTCTAGCCCAACGTGAGAGCTGATAGAGTTGTACAGTCTCGTTTGATGCATGGCACGCAAGTAGTAAATAGTTGCGTGGTTGCACCATCCAGGCAAATCTCATGAACAATGCAGAGTAAACGCACATCGCTGTACAAAACAAAAAAGTCAAAAGATGCAACGAGAGACTTAGCTAGTTAATGTTGCATATAAAGGCGATCTTTTATCGTACCTGAGGACATGTTTCCAGAAATCATTTCAGGGGGCTTTTGCATATCCACCAAACCCTATAGTGAAATCAATTCGAAAACTATAATGAATCCATGGATCACCCAAAAGGATAGATTGAATAAAAGACTTGGAAACAGAAACATACAGCAGCAACAAAACCCCAATTAGCGATAGGCCCCCAGAAATGAGTTGTTTTAGGGCCAATTGGACTGTTCAAGAATGCTTGGAACCTTGATGTAGCCATATCCGCTGCAAATAAATTCACAGTATATGGATACAATCTCCACCTTCAGAAATCAAGAAATGTAAAAGCTAAACAGGACTAATGATTTCAATGATATAGTTTTCTATGAATGTCAACTACTAAGTGTGATGAGTAAATAGGTCAATACAGATTCATCATCTTAAAGACTTTTTTTAATGTCTTAATTTCAAAACAGAGCTTATAGAGATGCAACAAAAGCATATGCAGGATTTGATTGGAGAATCCAAATAATCTTATATATCACAAGCAAATTAAGAAACCCAGAGCCGGTTCTGAGGCAATTGCACAGAGCCCTCGAATTTTACGGTTTCTCGACAAAATCCACTCCATAGAGTTTACCTAAACATCACAATTCATTTCGATTCCCAATCTAAAAACTTTTATGGCTATATGATGACGAATTTAGGTAAAAGTGTCTACGACATAAAAACCGAACAATTAGGTTAAAACCAATCTTGTTATTTGATTGCTCCTAAGATTATCTACTTTGAGATCGACACTCACCTGACCGATGCGAAACCCGATTGGTCTGAAAGGAAAATCGAAGAAACTTTGCCCACAAATGAAACGAGTTGGTGAGGGAATATTAAGACAGGCAGAGAGAGCGTGGAAGAAGAACAACACACAAGTCAAAAGCTAAATGGGTTTGGGCTTCGTTTACTTTTTGTGAAATGAAAATTTAGTAATTAATGGAGATGTTCGGTTAGCCAAACCGGAGATATCTAAACCTAAAGAAATGTCACTCAAAAAAATTCTAGTTCTTCTACGGACCATTTATAGTAATTAATCAGCTTTAGAATTGAAAACAATCTGAAATGAACAAAATAAAGCAAATTTTGAGATGCAAAAACTTATCTTTAAGACGTGAAAAGTCAATATGCGAGAGTTGATGTCATTTTCATCGGTTTCGAACAATTTGTGTGGAAGACTACCAACGCTTCATGATCCTCCATCATGCATGTCATTCATTGTCCTGAAATTGAAGTTCTAACTTTTACTTCCTATGAGGAACATCAATGCTTCATTCTTGATGCAAACAAATCAAACCTTCACCTATAAAAAAACCATTACACCAACCACATCTATACTCCATTGTCACTTGTCAGTGGTGAAGAAAGGTTCTTTCGAGGTGAAAAAGTGGACACATGTGTTGCATACCATGCAGAAGCTTTACTCTTAGCCAGTGTGTGTGATACAATATCGGAGGGTTTTCTATCTAATCTCTAAAAACAACTTTTTCATTACTCGTTTTTTAAATGAACCAGAATATATCTATAAAAAAAAAAGTGTGATATTATTCATCAAATCAAGTATGGGTTCTCGTCAAATGGTTGCCGCTAGAACGTAAAATTTAGATTTTGCTAATATCTAAGCCACTGGAAAACATTTAGTTAGGGATGGGATCGATGAAAATGTCCAAGTTTGGAGCACACGTCTCACGGAAATGTAGCTGGCCAGAGATGGTAGAGCAAAAACCTGATAGACACTTTTTCTTTTCTTTTCTCAAGAGGTGTTTTTGATAATCAACCAACTGACGAATCAAAATCTCTTCTGACATTAGGGTATCAAACAGTAAATTTGGGTATCCTAATTTTGGTAAACAATGATCTCATTACTAAAATTTGTTAATTTAACAAATATGAAACAATAATAAGAAAATAATTATGAAAAGAAAAAGTAAACAAAACAAAAAAGAAAACGTCCAACTTAACAATTCAAACGAAAATAAAAAGAAAACTTCCAAAAAGGAAAAAAGGTAATAGAAAGAAGAAAAAAACATAGTTTCCCATAATTATTCTTGTTTTCCGTTTTCTTCCTTCGCAAAATTCACATTCCATTGAAAGAGAGAAGAAGAGCAAGATGGCGTTACAGAGATCAACGGCGTCTTTTAGGAGACAAGGATCGTCAGGACTCATATGGAACGACAGATTCTTGAGCGGAGAAATTCGCAACGACGAAAGACAAGAAGACCGGTGCAATGATCATCGTGACGGATCAATGGCGGCTACGGCAGCGACAGTGAAACGTAGCGCATCAGATGGAGGATGTGGCCATGGTGGAAGATTGGGGGAGATATCTCCAGCGTTGGATCCACCTTCTCCTAAAATATCTTCCGTTGGTTGTGGCTTTTGTTCTCTGTTTTCGTCTGATAGGAGAAGAAGAAGCAGAGGAAGGAGAAGATCAAGCGGTGGAAGTACATAATTATCTTAAAGGGTAATTAATTAACGTAATTGCAACGTTGAGATCATCTTTAGGATTTGATTATGTTCTTTTCTCTTATGTGAAAATTTCGAAATCTTGATGGATAAAGCTAAGGATGGCTTTTGGTTTCAAGAGAAGGTTTATTATAGATTGATCCTTACAAAAATGTGTTTTGTTTGTGTGTTTTCATCGATTTATCGATCAAGTAAGGAGTCTTCTGCGAATCTGTTTTGGAATTAGTCTTGGTGCTAAAGCCGGAGACCAAAATAGTTTGAATGGTTTTAAATGTACACAGAGGTAAACTTACCTATCATGTTTAAAAAAACTTGCGTAGAGAAAATATCTGGTACACAAATTGGTAAATTCTAATGTATCTGAATTTCTAGCCTTCTTGTTTTGTTGAATTCACGAAACAAATGTCTAGAAAGAGGAAAACTTGACGAGAACTTCTCTTTGTAAACCCGCGCGTGGTGGTAAGGTGATATTGGTTCTAAGACCAAGGATAGAAACTCTACATCCCCGGTTTCGATGCCAACAGGTGTTAACATTGTGCATGGTGGACTACTTTGGATACTTAGGTTTTGGCCCGAATATGCTCACTCCCGGAGTTAGTTGTGCGATGAAGATCATATTCCGATGCTACATTTTTTTTATAATAAAACCTCTTTTGTTCCCCCAAAACTTCGCTTCTATTACTCGTTAATGTATGAGAGGTCCTCTTAGGAATGAAACTTTGGTGTTATATAAGACTTTGGTGCTATATAAGACTCAACAAGACCTCTCATACATCGAGGAGTAGAAGTCCAAATCAAGTACAAAGGCTTGTTTAAGCTCCCTCTAGAATTTTTCCCCAAATCGCTAGTGGTGTCCTTATCAGCTACTTCAGGCGGAAATGAATGATTGACCAACATTCCTCCTACTACTAGTTGAGACTCTATATTATGCTCACATTCGAATCTTTAATAAAACAACTTAGTTGTTGAAGATAAACGATTGTAATTCGAGGAACAATATAATTAGTTCAATCTTTAAGGAAATAGATCTTCCGAGATGAAGTTTTTGTTGGCCATATATTAAGGTATAATCCAAATAAAACTCGACCCACATAGGGTAAGAATAGTTGTTCATTCCAACTTATAAATTATATATGAAGAAAACATAGTAATAGTGAATTTACAGTATGCCTTTTTGATTACGATTGGTATAAGTTTGTTACAACCTAAAAGAAAGAGAAGAAAAAAACAATATATGTAATATAGATAAAGGAAACAAAATCAATGGGGAGAAGCAGGACGAACTTTGGTTTTGAAGAGGAGAATGTAGAGTTTGTCCATTGAGAAATAAATAAAACAACCAGTCGAATGTGTCACGAACGACCCGAAACTTGATCCCACTATGCAATGCCATGCTGGTCCATACCCTTTGTCAAATTCCTGCATAATGTTTCATATCTCACTTACATTCAAACATATGAACAGTTTTATTTTCTTGAAAATTTGATTCTTTTTACAAGAAAATGGTTAAATTTCAACTACATCATCAAAATGTCAGACTTCTTTTACAAAATGTCTACAAAATAATTTCCAAAAAATCTTGTAGTCAATAATCCTTAACGTGAAGATCGAGAGAGAGAGAGACAAAAGAGGGATCCAAAAAAATAAGTGTAAAAAAAGGGATAAGGGTGGAAGAGGACCACATGGCTCTGTTGGGTCATTGCCCTTTTCAACATTAGCTGGACCATTTCCCCATCACTCTCTTTTATTTATTTAATTCTAGTAATCACTCTTCCATCCATTTTTTGAGATCCAAAACTTATATAATTCAATATTCTGCAGCCCATATAACACCGGTCATTGGTTTGATATTGACATCAAATATCATGAAAAAAAGCAATTGGTTTAGACTTAAGAGAGATGATGTGTCATTTTCCTATCATACTTTGTAGTCATGTGAATTCTTTTAATGACTTAGCGACAATTAGTAATTTAGATGTTTTAGGTATTAGAAATGAGTTTCTGCCTAGTTGTTCGTTTATATGTGGCTTGAACGAAAAAAACAATATAAGCTATCTTTGTCTCATCAATTTGTATGCCCATTCCAACTATTTTTCGTATGCAATAATTTTAAAGGACAAACAAACTTTAGAGACGTTCTAAAACTGTAAAATGTTGAGCCTAAAACACAAAACAAGTTCAAACACTCATTATGCTTGGTTAAATCATAAACCGAACTATGAATCTAGTCAGAAAGTGCTTAGTGTCAAACATGAAAACAAAAAAAAGATGTAATTCCACAAATAAGGCCAGATTTCAACAACTAGACTATTATGATTGGTTAAATGCAAATTTTGTTTTACAAACTTTTTAAAAGATATCATATAAAATAACAAAAATCATATTTTAGAGACATTGTTATAGTTTTGGTATTATCAATTTTTCCTTTTGTCTTTTTCTTCATGAAAATCAGCCTCTAGTGATATATAAAATATTCATGCATATGTAAAAATATGATTTAAATAGGAGAAAAGGACAAAAAGAGAAGCAAAAAGGAAGAAAAAAAGGGTTACCTTCTTGAGATTGAAAGCCATGTGCTTCGAACTAAACTTCTCCAAACTATCTAAAGTCATTCTCGCACACCTAAACGCATGTGCCTGCATAAACCCCGGCATGTCCGCAGCTAGTATCCTCACCGTCAACATCTCCGCCGCTGCCTCTATCCTCGCCGTCGTATCCCTCTCCACGTGAGACACCGATTTCCTCCCCTCCTCCGCCGCACCACCGCCTCTCTTTCTTTCATTATTTCTACTACATGTAGTCTCTAACTCGAAGATATCCCTCATCACATGGTTTTGGCTTTTATTCGATTGGACGATTGGTTTTTCTTCTACTTTTTCTTGAGATATTGATGGTGTGATCGGGATTTTTGGTTTGGATTTAGGGTTTATAAGCGAGTGTTTCGACGAAGTGATGGAGAATTTGTAGAAGTTCATGAGACTTTTCTTCTTCGACTTTTTGGGTCTCTCTTCATTCATTTTTGTTATTTTTTTGCGTAAAAATATTTGTGGAAACTCTTTAGTGGCTCATATGCGTTATTTATACCGAAGAGTCAGAGACAGAAATGAGTACTCTCTATTATTATTCTCTCGAGTTTGCAATTGAATATATAGGACAATGTAATTTTTATACATCAATATAATATAATTATTTAATAATCAAATCGAGTGCATCCTATGCGTACCATTTATAATATTTTCTTATGAACTTTTTTATTTTAATTTTTAATTTGGTCTGCAAAAGGATAATAATTGAAATCGGAACTAGATAGGAGTGTACACAATATTAACTAATCTAGCGTCACATGTGCATACTATGCATAGCAGAATATTAAAAAGGTTCATGATGGTTATTATTAGCTTTGGACAATGTTCATTTTTATTGAATTGTTATGGTAAAACACAAACTTCAAACATGAAAATAGAGAAATACTCCTAGATCAGAATCAGTGAGGCAGTACCTCCCAATTGGAGCTAGTTAAAGTGGCAATGTCGCGATGGCTCAAGGACTTCCGGCGAGTAAAATCGACACAGAAGATTGAGAGGATCGGGATTATAGGTTAGAGGTTTAGTATCTCTTTGTGTTGTTGATTAGCTTTATTAGATTAGAATAACGTCGACACTAATAACAAACCATTGCAAGTCATAGTCAAATTTTCATATTAATTAACTCGGCCGTACCAACACCAAGACAATAATAAGAGCGGAGACAAATCAAATAATGTGGTTTAAAAAGTGAATAGGGTGATTTATAGAATCAAACCATGTGGCTTGTTCTATCTAAGTCAAGTGAAATTAGCCTCTTATTTCTTGGCAACAAGTGTAATCAACATATATTGGGGATATTTGTTTAATAAGTTAATTGTTTTGTTGACAACAACACTTAATGTTCTCAAAGACTGTTTTCCGGGTCCCCAAATCCGATATTTTATAGTCGTTAACCTTATCGATTTATGCTTAGCAAATCAGGACCCGGTCATATATGGACCCTCTTGGCTCTTGTTCTTCCAACCAAGTTTAGTAGGGGTCTTACACAAGTTGTTTTTAATCAAGAATTTATGAGCATTTGTTTGGTTTATATATAGTGGGGTTTTAAAAATCTATAATAATCTTATTAATATTTATGGTAGTACAACAAAACATAATTAAATTCAATATAAAATTATGTATTAGCCACATAATTTTTGTGGTCAAGGGGGTAAATCCGTAGTGAAATCGAATTTAGTTACATATATATAGCCACAATGTATTCGTGACAATAGGTTACGAAGTAGTTATCATAAATGACAACTAAATTTTATTGACCAATTGACAATTTGTAGTTGGTCATGTTTATGTTAGTGGCTATATAGCAAACACATGGCTACAAATATTTAGTGGTTAATTGCTACTACCTTAGTTACTAATAATCCATAACTAATTTGTTAAAATAATTAGTTAAATATACAGTCTTATTTGCAAGAAGACATGTGTCGTTTCTCAAACAACCAGAACTCTCATCGAATAACTTAGATCACGATGATTGTTGGTGCATTACAAACGTGACTCAAAGATATTTGATTCACTTAACTTGAAAAAGTTTGAAAAAGCTAATTTAGTCTTCCAAGTTGAAGACTAAAAACCACAAATTTCATGTGATTCTTGCTACAAAAATGTTATCTACATGTCAGATATTTTCCCTAAACCGTAACTGAAAAAAGAAAGATCGCAATTTAATGGGGAAAACGGCCAATTCCCCCCTGAACTTAGTTGCTTTATCGCATTCATACACAAAACTTTAAGGTGTGCCTACAACTACATGAACTTAGCTAAAATTTGAATTTTCTACACAAACAATTAAAATCCGGTCAAAACCAACAAATCGAGAAACGGCGTTACTATTCCGTTAACATATGATGACTAGGATGACACGTTTGCACTCTGCAATGCCACATAGAACCATAAAACGACGTCGTTTTAGTTAAATTTAAAAAACATAAAAAATCTACCAAACCTGGAATTGAACCCGAAACCTTTAATCCCCATGAGATTACCATAGTACCAGCTGAGCTACCGTAACATTTTAAACATCTCAAACAGATATATGTATATAGATACGATTACTTGAAGTCTTCAACATGTCTAGTTTCAGTCTCATCAATGCAACCCAAGTCTCGAATTCTCTAGCATCATCATCCTTAAATTAACCAATTGAGCGATTCACATCACTTATCTTAATAATATAGGAGACGGGTCTCCGACGAGTCATCATGATCACTGAACAATCATCGGAGTTGGGTTGAATCAAGAATTGAGATTCCTTCGGTAGAGTAGATCGAATTTGATTAAATCATGTATCCATTGGGATCCTCAATAGCTCAACTGGATTTTGTTAAAGGAAAGTCAAAATAAAAATGGAGATTCAAATCGAATTTAGTGATGAATATCTCAATTCCTAGTATCAAATTAATCTCTGTAGTTGGAGTTGGAGACGCGGCGGAAGTCGAGGAGAGGACGAAGCTCGTAGAAGAAGAAAGACCAAGGGCTTCCTTTTCTTAGTTTTTGTTTTGCGTCGTATATATATACCTATCCGTTTGGGATATTCAGAATGTGACGGTAGCTCATTTGGTGTGAAGTTTATCTCATGGGCATTAAAGGTCTAGAGTTCAATTCCAGGTTTTGTAGATTTTTTATGTTTTTAATATTTAACTAAAACGACATCGTTTTATGGTTCTATGTGGATTGTAGAGTGCAAACGTGTCATCCTAGTCATCATATGTTAACGGAACAGTAACGCCGTTTATCGATTTGTTGGTTTTGACCGGATTTTAATTGTTTGTGTAGAAAATTCAAATTTTAGCTAAGTTCATGTAGTTGTAGGCACACATTAAAGTTTTGTGTATGAATGCGATAAAGCAACTAAGTTCAGGGGGGAATTGACCGTTTTCCCAAATTAATGGGACTAGTAATGTTTATCTGTTTTATTATAGAAGGAAAAAAAAGAACCAGTACGACGTCGTTTGGTAAAATCTGCTTTGAAAACGGTTCAATTACCAGACTGTCTCTCAAAACGCTTCAGTCTCCAAGGAACCTAAAAAAGCTTTCTTTTTGTGGAAATTTTCTTAGAGAAATTTGGGATTCGATTCTTAGGGTTTTCACCAAGCGTTCGTTCGCGACGAGCTCTCAATTTTGAGGTTATTGATTTCTTCTTCTGATCGAATTTTCCAAATCAACTTGTGTTTGTGGTTTTCTTTCTCAGCTCAGGGTTTCTGAATTTCCCGTTTTCGATCTCTTGATACGATCGATCTTTCGAATTGAATTCATTTATCAATTTTCGTTGCAGTCTCGTCGTCGGCGCAATCATCATACACTTTGGGGATCGCTTGTAATGAGACGAATTTCAAAGTTTGGTATCTTTTACTTGCCTGAATTGACCAATTCCACTTTTACATAGAGGGGTCTAAGGTTTGTTTAGGGTTCTCTGTTGCTTTAGGAGGTGGATATTTGTGTACTAGAGTGTTTTTTTTAGATTCTAGGAACATGTCTGGTGGAACTCCGGTTGGTGGTGGTGGGTACATTAGGCAAAGACATAGCCAAGGTTATGCATCTGGTGGTGATGATCTTGAGGATGATGCTTGCTCTAGGCCACAGCCTTTTTCTTTAGAGAATCCTAGAAGTAAAACGTGGGTTGAGATTTTGGAGAATGTGCTTTGGATTGCATCTGCTGTGTTCATTGTCTACTTTGGAGACAGGCACTCTAATATGATACATATCCTCTTACACGATGCTCGGATCAAAAGGTAACACATTTCTTTAAGGGCTCTTTTTTTTCCTTTTTCCTTTCTTTGGATTATTGCTTATGTTAAGATGTTTGGCTAAAAAGAAAACATATTTGACTCACTTTAAACTTGAGGATGGCCATAAAGGTTTGAATTCGATATATTCTTTATTATGGTGGTTTATCGTAGAAGATCAAAATAGGATAAACCTTGAATAATCTACGGAAAGGAAAGTATAATAGAGAAGCAGGAATACCATAAACTTGTCAGATATCAAGTGTTAGGAGAATAGTCTTCTTAATATTCTCATATCTGTTGAAGAGATTCTTTTAAGGTCCAGGGTTCTATCCCCAAAACCCTTATATAGGATTAACAAGGATATGTGCATAAGTAAGGTGGATACTATTTAAAGGCCTTTATTGTTAAAAATGGTTTGGAAAATGCAGATTCTCTTGTCATGGTTTGGTGTAGTTTACTGAGATTTCAACATTGTTTGGGATGATGGTTCTTTCTGAAAACCTATCTAAACATAATGCACATATTGGCCTTGTTTTCAGGATGCCTTTGTATTTCGGGATGTTGGGAATAGCTGTGAACATTATAATCATAATCTACGAAAGCATGTTATCGTGGAGCATGAGAAGGTTTGATGAGAAATGGGAACTGTGGAGTATCTCAGCTCTGCCTTTCATCACCCTGCTCGGCCTCATTTCATTTGGCCTGTAAGTAAATCACATGTTCTAGTCATCAGAAACTACCTGGTGTATCATCCTATTAGTTATGTGTGACAAATTTGCAAAACGCAGGCTCTCCTTTGCTCTGTGGCCTATATGGGGCTTCTTGACTCTCCCCCTTCTGGTATGATCTCAGTCCATAATACAACTCATCCTTGTAGACAATCTCATCTAGTTATGAATATATTGGTTATGTTTTTGATGATTTGCAGTTCACATTGTTCATGGCTTGCCTTGTTGTGTTCCCGCATCTCATGATCATCAAATTCAGGCCTCAAAATGACGAACTCCGCATAGATTGATATGTAGAGAACGGAGATAGTTATTTGGGAAAGTGAAACCCTTTTGTTCTTTAGAAGTGAATAAATCTGAAAACTGAAGGGGATGCGGTTTGGTTTGAGGTATATATAGATAGATGAACTCACTGATCTATAGGATCTTTTTTTTTTTTCTTTACTGTTTTTGGTCTGTGAGATTCGTTGATGTCATGTTTCATTTCCAAGTTTATTGAAGTGAAAATTGTTCTCATTCGTCTCCTTCAAATTCAAAGTTTCAACGAAACGTAAAATTAATGGTCAAGCGGAGTAAAAAAAAAAACGGGTAATAAGATACATTTGTAGTAGAACTAGAAACAAGCCTACAAAGCCACAAAGGGTAAATCAATTTTTTTTGGATATCTTTAAGTGACCTGCAATGTGAACTGTAAATCATCAAACCAATCATGCTTGCCTTCATTAATCTTTGTGAGAATCAAACATTTGGTGAAGAAACAATTGAGTTTTAGTTAACCGAAAAAGATCGAGAGGCTTCCACAGTTAAATGATAATATTTATGTTCTCTTCTTACAATTTTAGTTTAGTTATTTATTTTCTGGTCATTAAAAAAAAAAAAAAACAAACAAAGATTGATAAGCAAATGTTATCAGAGTATACATACAAACAACAAATGTAAGAGAAATTGGTGAAAAAGCATATCATTGTGGTGGGATAAGGGGAGAGAGATGGGACACGTAATGAGGCTGCTGATAAACCCTTCTTCTTCCTCACCTCATCTCCACCTCCGTTACCACCGGACTCTTGACACCAACTCTGTCTTCTCTCTTCGAACCACAATTACCAAAAGCAAGGGACGATTCTCTTGTCTTTTCTCCGGCGGCAACCAGAGAGAGGTTAGTGTTCTTACTTACTTCCATTTATTGGTTCAAATGACAAATCTTGTAAAATCTGCTGAACCCAATCAAACCCTTAATTCTCTGGCTCTTTTTGCAAGGTCTTAACCGATTGATTCTGCTTTGTTCACAGCTAAGATTGTTTTAATCTTGAAAATTCTTCAGGATTAGACGGTTCTACTGAAATTGTTGTTTATATGATCAGAATGGAGTATAATTCTCTTTGGCACAATTTGTAGCTCCTCCTATTGATGGACTTTGAAAAGAGTCGAGTTTCTCAGTTACAAAGAGGAGCAATACTGTTTAGGTTTTGAACAAGTTTTGGTGCTCAACTCTTAGCTATATGTCTACTGTATCTAGCCTAGGACTGAGTGTAGCAGAATAGATTCGTTGTGAGTTAGATTAGAGAATAGCAGTTTCATAGTTTTGTGTTGATTGGCCATTTGGCTGAGAGTTTAAAGTTCATCATTAATCAACTCTCTCTGGTTTGGTGAATTCGTATGAGAATAGCAGTTGGTTAGCAATAACTTCATTTAGAAACTACAAAAATCTACACTTTCTATCTCTTGAAAGAAAGTTTTTTGACAGAGCAAGGAAAAGAGGTAGCAACATGATTTGGTGGCTGATACTGTGCTCTTCAATTTCCTTGATTGTGCAGGAGCAAGCTCGTAAATCATTGGAAAGCGCTCTTGGTGGGAAGAAAAATGAGTTTGACAAGTGGGACAAAGAGATCAAGAAAAGAGAAGAATCCGGTGGCGGAAATGGTGGTAATGGTAGAGGAGGAGGAGGCTGGTTTGGAGGTGGCGGTTGGTTCAGTGGCGACCATTTCTGGAAAGAAGCACAACAGATTGCCTTTACCCTCTTAGCAATACTAGTCGTGGTATGCTTTTGCGTACTAATTAACTATATTTGGTCTTAGTGAATGATGCTTTCCAAGTTTTGTTTGTTGTTGATGGTTTTGAATTGTTTAATGGTTGTTGCAGTATATGGTGGTTGCGAAAGGTGAAGTCATGGCTGCATTTGTGTTAAATCCGTTGTTGTATGCGTTGCGAGGAACACGAGAAGGTTTGTCTTCTCTAAGCTCCAAACTCATGGGAAGAGAAGCTTCGAAAGTGAGTGGTGACAACTCCGAGGAAATGTGGAAGAAGGAAGGCTCCACTGCTAAAGAGAACGTTGTCCGGAAATGGGGAAGTGACTGAAACAAAACTCTTAAAGCTGACTCAAGAATAATGACTTTGAGTGTTTTTGTAACATTAAGATGAGATCAAATGCAATCGAATTTTCAGTTTTGTAATGGAGAATAGCTGAATAGGTATTTTTCTATGAACAAGAAAGAGTGACCCTGTTTGTAACTTCATCATCCATTTTTTTAACATCAAGAGATCAAATATGTCTCATAGATAAATGCTTGTCCACAAATAATGAGCAAGCTTAGTGTTGCAGCCTGTAGGTTTGTGTCTATACTACTTTTCTGTCATCGGAATGTGGCGATCTTACAATTTTAAAGTACACGGAACCTCTACATACATCTTATGGTAACATTTGGCCAACCTAGAGCTAATCCAGACTGAAATCTTCAAGCCATATGATAACTTCGTTCCTCTGCAAATACAAGACAATTACAAAGAAAAGTTGAGAGCCACAAATCAGATGAAAATGATAGAACCTATGACTGAAGACAACGATCAAACCATCATTTTGGGTGTGTCATGATGATAATAATCAAAAGAAATAAGAGTAATAACTGGACATCAAATATTGCTAGAGCTTGGAATCATACCATAATGAAGTTCCATGTTCGTCCTGGATCGTTGTAACGAGCAAGCATACAACCTTTCTTAGCTCTAAGACCATCTTTACTCAGACTGCTCCTCAGTTCATTCTCTTTTGCGCGGACAACCTCCTCTGTCGGTTTCCCACTAAATTTCACTGCTGCAGCAAAACCGCCTTCCAACTTCTTTAAGTTTACCTTTTCTTCATTAGGCATCGGTAAGCTAGAGGAAAAAGGAAAGTAAAACCCTTTACACACGGTGATTCTCATTAACCACATTTGATGTCAACTAAACTATCCATGATAAGCTTTTACCTGTTGAGATCTTTTCCTGATGGAATAACAATTTGTACAGAGACGTTAGAAGAGAGTTGATCAGTATCTGTTGTTTGGGTAAACACTGGTGTTGTCATTGGTATTTTCTCCATCGTCGAGTTTTTACCAAATATGTAGCTTCATAGGTAAAAAAGCTAGCATGTGTTACATTTATCAAAAACAAAACAAAAATGCCAGAAGAATTTATGGACACTCACAGAAACTTAGACTTAACCCTCACCCAGCAACATTGTTGAAACCTGAAGAACCAGAAAGCTTGTCACCGATAGTCTCCACCACTATGAAGGGTTCGTACTTTCTAACCTGCCAAACAATCAAATCCAACTTAAGTCTAAGCAACCACATTTTCCATTCACAGGAATAATTTGCATAGTTGGTTTCACTAAGCCAATAAAAGAAGATATGTGACCTCATAGTTTGCTGTTCTTTTCAGTATTTGATACTTTGGAGTTTCCAAGTCTGGCGTTTTATATATCCGTAACTGCAAAAAATAAATAAGCAAAAACACTATAACTCACTTGGAAGAGATGATTAACCATTTTTATGAAAGCAAATGAGACAAGCCACCTGCTTAAATACATCAACAAGACCTTCTAGAGAAAAGTAGTCGTTGTTCTTGATAGAATCCCACAAGTCCTGCACAACATCTACTTGTAATAAGTAGACCGAACCAAAATAGATTGTGCAAAAAGGACATGGTAACCATACATACCAGATGGCTACAAAATTTCTTAGTTTCAGGATTAACTTCCATGATTGATGTACCAGTAAACACAAGTTCTGGTTTCCATGGTAAAAGCATGAACTTCATCACCATTGTCCATCTTGTAGTTATCTCATATGGACCTGTCTATATAGAAGCTGCATCAGTGGACTTAAAACAAACGAGAAATAAGGAAATCAAATGAAAAAGACCTGTTTAGCCCAGTGAAGTTGAAATTGAGGAGTGAAGATATTCTTGAGAAAAGAAATGTTGAAGAGATAACCGGAGATGGTGTCGTGCTTAGTGATTGGGTCTCTAAACTTGACGCGCTCATCGTACGCCGTTTTATCGATTCCCTGATCGTCGAAGAGGTGAGGAAGATCTTTGTACAAGAATCCGACGAGCTCTTCCATGTTCACCGTCGACGATTCCGGAGCCACTTCCTTGCCAACCTCAAGACTCAATATCTGCCGCAGCCGGGAGTTTACATTGCGCCTCGGCACAGGGAGGAAACGGGTGGTTACATGTCGTCGGCAATCACTTCCGACGGCGGTGAGTATTGGCCTGTAGAGATGCTGCTGACCAACGGTAGCCATTGATCGTTGATAAAAGTTTTCTGCTCTCTTTTTTATTTCTTGTGGTTGTTGGCAATCGGTTATTTTTATACTTTCGGTTTGGTTCGGTTTAACCGTTTAATTCTAAGCACTTCTTCTTAGTTCTATAAGTTTTGTCAATTGTGGGCTTTACTCTTAGGCTTATTCATTATAGAACTTTGACTTAACTTGGCCCATTTAATTTGGGCTAATGAAGGGAACTTGCATAGATTCTTATGTAGTAGACACATAAAAAGTAAATATTGTTTAGTTTCACCGTCAAAGATTGTAAAGAATATGAAGACCATGTCATAAGGATTTCGACTTTGGTTTTTTGACTAATAAACTGATACTCTTAACAAATATAAAATTAACAAGCTGTAAAATTAGCAGAATTTGCATATAGAAAATGTCAAATGGACCGAGGGATATTTTCTAAAAGAAGCTAATGTGAATGAATTAAGACGCTAATCGGGGAAATTCAATAAATTGTCCATTGGGGGGGTTTTTGGGTGCTCTTTAAAAAGTTGAAAGATGCTGAGGTTTATACCCTTTTCCTATCAAGAATATTCCACGGACCGCAACTACTTTTGACCATTTGCGTATTTCAGAAATCTTGTATCTCATTTTAAAATAAAATCAAAAGTGGGTAATTGTCAAACTACTTGTAGTATTGAACTATATTGATTATGCCATCATCATCGTGGAAAGATAAGTAATAGATCATGAAGACCAAACGTCCCACGTGGTTTTGTCTGAGCCGGATTGATAATATCTGTAACTGTAAGAGTTAGGATGGGAAAAACTACTAAATCCAATCTTCATTTTACTTTCCAATTCGTTTTTTATTACTATTAAAAAATCAGATTATCTAAACATGCAAAAATTAAAGATCACTACTACATATTTGAATGTTAATGTATGGACAAATAGACATATTTATATATATGTATTACCAGTTATGATCTTTTTAAGAAACAAATTATAAAAATATGATAATAAAATGATTTTAAAAGGATATAAAATGAAAATTTAGTACATCTAAAGATATCATAAAATATATAGAAAATACCAAATAAGGAATTGGATATCATAAAATATCTAAATCTCCGATAAATACAGTAAAAAAAAAAAAATCAGATATCCAGTAAATACAATCTGTAGTAATAAATATTATTGGATAAATAAAAGGTGGTATGGGAGTGATATTTATGAACTGACATTGCCAAGTCCATGTGTTATAATCTCACCCACAGATAACCAAAAAAAAAAGAAAAAGAAAGGAATAAAAGGAAGAGCCAAGAAGATATTCTCCCGAAAGAAAGACACAGAAAAAAGGATATTCTAATTAGAAACCTTAAGAATATTCTTTTTAATCCCTTTTTATATCTCTAACCTCTCTTTCTTCTTCATTCTCATTTTCTCACTTCATTTTCCCAGGAAAGATAAAAGAGAAGCTATGAAGTTTGGTAAGAGTCTGAGCAATCAGATCGAGCAGACACTTCCTGAATGGCAAGACAAGTTCTTATCTTACAAAGAGCTCAAGAAACGACTCAAACTCATCCCTTCCAAAACCGGTGATCGTCCCGCTAAACGTCTCCGTTTTGATGATGAGTTTTCCGTCGGAATGTCCAAAGAAGAGATCAATTTCATCCAATTGCTTGAAGACGAGTTGGAGAAATTCAACAATTTCTTCGTTGAGAAAGAGGAAGAATATATCATCAGGTTAAAGGTAAAATAACAATCGAATCCGATTCGATTCGTTCCCAAATAATTGAAATTTCCTCTCTTTTCTAATCTGTGTTGTTGAAAATTAGGAATTTCGAGATAGAATTGCGAAAGCTAAGGATTCAATGGAGAAGATGATAACAATCAGAAAGGAGATTGTTGATTTCCATGGAGAAATGGTTCTTCTTGAGAATTACAGTGCCCTTAATTACACTGGTAATTAATTGCCTCATATCATTTGATTAAGCCTTAAGGCAAATGATCTTATTAGTAGAAAAAATGTTGAGATGGGTTTTGGTTTGTTTGTTGGAAACTACAGGATTGGTTAAGATACTGAAGAAGTATGACAAAAGAACTGGTGATCTCATGCGTTTACCCTTTATCCAGAAAGTTCTTCAACAACCCTTTTACACTACAGACTTATTGTACAAGCTCGTCAAGGAATCTGAAGCAATGCTTGATCAGTTCTTCCCTGCTAACGAACCGGAGTCTGAGGTTATCCAAGCAGAGCTCTCAGAGCACAAGTTCATGGAGAGCCTCCATATGAAGAGTACAATCGCTGCTTTGCGGGTTTTGAAGGAGATCAGAAGCGGAAGTTCTACTGTAAGCGTGTTTTCATTGCCGCCTCTTCAATTAAACGGGTTAGACGAGACTTGGAAGAAGATTCCGTTGTTGGAGCAAGAAGCCAAGTAGAGAGGGAGGCACACTCGCTCTTTTCCACTTTTTTATTATACATTAGAAGAAGCTAACAGATTAAACAAGACATTATCATCAATGTACACAAAAAAGGCAGAAGAAACGATAGGATGTTTTTCTGGACATCATCTTTGGTCGGTCATAAGTCCTTAGGTTACACAACTGCAATGTAACTTTGTTTCTGTGTTGGGTGTAGTAGTTGATGTAATATACCATCACTTAAGATTTTATTATTGATGCCTTCCTATCCAAAGTCATTATCTTTGATATTTCAAGTTACTTACTACAACAACTACAAGATCATAATCCTCTATAAGTAATGATCAAATCTAAATTTTGAGTGGTTTAATCTTTCAATTGCTATTCGTGACTCCAAACCAATGTCTTGTAGAATGCAACATAAACTCTCTTTATATAACTTTATTATTTGATTTCACCTTGCAATCTCAATTTAAGGTATGCACAAAGTCTGAAATGTTAAGATCTAGGTCCTTCAATTAGTGGTTTTTGTTCGTTTTGTGGACTGGAAGATGAGAGCATTTTCAGGAAAAATAGAAGTCAAAACACGTTCTCATAAATACGACAATGATTCGCTACAAACCAAAACCAAAAACCAGCACTCTTAAAACTGAAAATGCAGAAATTACGTTACAAACTTGAAGTGAAGATAGTAGAATCATGGACGGTTTTTGATTTGGTAGTTGCCTAAACAAAACTTCAGTCAAAGCCTTCCCATTCGCGGAGACCCATCATACCGAGCAATCAATCAGAGAAGGCCTTAGATCAGAAGCTTCTCAATAGCATCCTGCAGAAAATTTAAATAAGTTAATGATTAACCAACTATTCAAACATGCGAAATCAGTGGGGGGTTTAATAGGTTATTAAGTGAGGGCTAAGTTACCTTGAGATGCTGGATCTGTGATTTCAATTGACTAGCTTCATTAGATGTGACTGAACAAGCGATAACAGGTCTAGTCACACCACAGGCTCTTCCCAAGGCTTGCTTTGAAGGCACAAAGACATAAGGAACATTCTGCAAAACATTAACAAAGAAAGAAAGAATTTGGAAAATTAGTACAAAAAGAACATCAAACAAAGCATTTCAGAATCAAAAACAAACAAGCTTAACACAAGCATAAATGATACATCTTGTAAAACTCAAAAAAACAATCATAAAGCAAACTTACAAGTATGAGACAAGAGTTTAGTAAACAAAATGATATACAAAACTTGACTAATCATTAACACAAACCAAACTAATCAAACCGACAATCAAGAAATGACTAATTATTAACATTTAATAACAATCAAGAGAAACAAGACTCTATTCTAGATTCAGGAAACAAAGAATTCATTTGATAAAGAAAAATGTAATAGAGTAAAGCAAACCTTATCCTCAGCAAGTAAGGGAAGATGAAGAAGAATCTCTAGAGGCTCAGCATCTGCAGCCATAACCACAAACTCGGAGATTCCACGATTAAGAGTCTTCGTAGCTGAAATAAGTAAATTAACACAAATCAGGAACAACTTCATAAACCTAAAACGGAATAAATAAAAGAGACAAGCGCATGAGTAAAAAGAAGATACCTTCATTAGCACCCTTCTTGAGCTGCTTGTAGTTAGTAGCTTGTTGAACGAGGTCAAGAATCGTTATCGATAACTGAGAATCTGCAAGCGGGTACGCTTTAGGGTTAACGGCTTCTCCGGTCTGCAACAAAAAAAAAACAAATTAGAACCCAAATCAAGCTATCAAAGAGAAAGATTCCTTCGAAAACACTGCGAGATAATATCGAAAAGAAGAAGATGGAGAGAGAAGTACCATTTTCAGCTGCGATTGCTAGGGTTTCAGAGAGGATTAGGGTTTTAGAGGCTACGAGTTTTTCAGCTTGAAGATTCTGAATGAGAATTTAGGCTTAAGCTGTTACTTATATGCTTGTCCAATTTATACATCTTTTTAATGGGCCTGGGTGATGATATACTTCGGCCCATGTAGCTTTCAATTCTTTTCTGCACTAATCTAACCGACAGAACTAGTTTGACTTTGGAGTTTGGTTTTTTTTTCTTTTGTCGGCTAAATTTTGATTAAAGCCCAAAAGGGCAACCATTTTATTTCACCTTTGTTCTATGCTCGCAAGCCTCGCATAAAACCGATCGATTATCCAAAATTGATTGATAATAACAACTTACTAACATACGAATCTTTTACAATCTTTTATTAACTGATGCTCTCATTAGTTCAATCAAATGACCAAAACTTCAAGTTACGTATGTGATGTGATCACTCTCTTCTTTTCCGACAAAGATGCGTTTTAATAGCTGGTCCCAATTTCTTATGTTCTACTAATTCCTATGTTTGAGCTTATGGACTTGTCTCACACATTAAAATATTAGACACAATTGTTCCAAATACAAGACCATATCCATAATCCAAAGAGGATAATATTCTACTCTTTCTGTTTCATCAACAACCCCTTGGAATCTTTTGCATACAGAAAAATGAGCATCTCAAACAAGTAAAAATCTAGACGAACCGGTTCTGTAAGAAGTTGACACTCAAAAGAAAATGATCGATACACCCATCATGAAGCATCCAGCCGAGACCCAAGGGCTCAAACGCTCACCTGTAACAAGTGATGACAAACCAAAGTTTAATCACCAACTGAAAATGAATCACAGTAACTACTGGAGGATATAGCCTGAGACTATATTATGTGTCATCATGCATTTGCTTAAATAGGAGATCACCAAGGGAATAGAACCCGGGTTTTTTATGTGTTGCATTTATATAGTTCAATATTAGTAGCTGCATTGATTACTAGCAAGTTCTTGCTCCTAGAAGGCCAATCATTACTCGCTATTAGAACATATGCAAAGAAGTATTCTTCAACACAATGTTTCTACAAAGGAAAAGGGTGCAAAAGCCTACCTATTCTAGCAGCCTTCCAAAAGAATCCTCGGAACCTGCAACGATGAATCAATGATATGTTACAAGTTTTTTTCAGTTTTGGGAACCTATAAGAGTTGAATCAAAAATGAAGAAAACAGGAGAATAGAGAAGATACAAACCCAGTTTTCTGCTCCAAAATGGCAGGGAACTGCATCTTGAGATATGTGCAAGTGCAGATCACAAGCAGCACCACCGTCAGAAACGAATGGAAATTGAACAAAGCTGACTGTAAGATAAACAAAACTCTTAGCTCAAATCACTGAAATAACAAAATTTCACAAATGGACCAGAGAAGGCAAATAACTACCATTGTGTCTGATCACTGAAGCAGCACTGCTTGAGAAGCTAAAATAATTGTTTCCTTGAATCTGAAATAACCAAATAAACAATAATGGGGATCACATGAGAATCGATTCAAGAAGAATCATAACTAAACACATTTTAAAAAAAACTGAGTAAACACAATTATCATCAAAACCTAACAAATCATCACCACAGAGATTTGTGGAAGAACAAATCAAGGGAATGTTCATCTATATCGTCAATTCTAAATCAGATTTACTATATTAGAAGCATCTGTGAAATATCTAATTATCAGATCATATATGGAATCGAACTCCATAGCGGTGACTCGAGAGAGAGAGCAGCAAATCAGAAAATTGAGAAATATCGATCGGTGGATGGGATATGATACAAAAAGGGAAAAGCAAACCTGAAGTTTGAGCTGAAATCGACGCTAATGGTTACAGAAATTAGGGTTTTGAAGCTTGAATCTAGCCAAAATATCTGCGAGACGTGAAGAGTGGGATCGACGAGAGACGGAGGAGGAGAGAAACGTTCCCGTGAGTTATTATTATTCTGGTTTTCTTCTACATGTTCCCTTTTTTACCCCTCTCTTCCTTTGATATTAATATTAATATTATTTTAAAACAATTGTGTAAAAATAAGTTTTATATACACTAATAATCAAAATTCTTAATCCATTAAATTCACAATTGCGTCGAAAACAAGAATTATTTTGTTTGGGAATGTTATTAGGGTAATATTAGTAAGTAGCCTTTGACCGAGAAAGAATTAACAAAATAACCATGTGTCAGATTTTTTAGGAAAATAACTCTTTTTGTGGTGGGGTAGGGGTAGAGAAAAGACCAATTAACCTTGCAAAACCATAGCTTTTACAAGATGAACCATTTATTAAACAAGTATGAAATTTACAACGATATGATCGACAAGATTTTTCCGATTAAGATTTTGGCTTGAGATCTAGCGTGAAACGATACTATAGTTTTGGCGTTAGATCCGGTGTTCGGCGAGGCTCATATGACATTGGTGGGATGCAAAAGGCATAATGAAGATTATGGATCCCGTGGCGGTGGTCGTCTTGAGGTGGATACGGTGGTGGTGGTTTCTGTGAGAGAGGTGGTTATGGAGGAGATAATAATGGAGAAGATCCGACAAGCGAAAATTAAGGAAAAGATAAACAAATCATGGTGGTTTTAAGAAATTGCATGAATCAAATTAAAAAAAAAAACGTATCTTCCAAACAAAAAACCTTGAAATCTATAAATATTTAATGTGTTTTTAAAAAGAATAGCATGTCGATAGAAAAAACGCATGACATATTGAAAATTTACATGGTGATTTTAAGAAATTGCATGAATCAAACTAAAAAGCGTATTCTCCGAACAAAAAACTTTGAAATTTGTAAATATTTAATGTGTTTTTGAAAGGAATAGCATGTCAAAAAAGAAAAAAGCATGACATATTGGAAATTTACAAGGCAAAGAAATAAACAGCATGTTGAACACAAAGATAACGCTGCATCGGAAAACATTACATGAAGTTCGGGAAAAAAACACAAAAAAATGAATCTGCGGCTGTGGAGTTTCTAAAGAGAAACTGAAATTTGGTTAGCCCATAATTCTGGTATGAGGAAAAGGAGAAAATATGAGAAGGATCTCTAGGCTATGGAGAAATAGGAAGAACCGGACAATGGGGAGAGAGATCGATTGGGAATCTTGACAAAACCATCAATTTTTTGTCGAGAATTCTGACAAGATATTGGACCGGAGTTGCTGCCCGTTGAAACTACAGAGATCTGGAAAAAAAGAATTGAGATGCTGCTGGTTGAAACTACAGAGATCTGGAGAAGAAGAATTGAGAGATAAAAAAACAAAAGAAAAAAGGTTACTTCAGTAATTGCATCTACATCTCCGACAAAGCACTGTAGCCTAAGGTTAGTTTGTTAAATCTTTTTGGTTTCATGGTTACTTTATGCA